CCTCCACGCAACGCACCCCTGCCTGCACCTCCTGCGGCATCTGTTGCAGTGTTCTTCCACACAAAGGCTCTCTTGTAAGCCATCGCACATCCATACTGGCATATATTTCACCACCAATGCTATCCACAAGCTAGCAGTTTGCAAGGTCCACTCTCCCCCTCTCCCTCTGTCCAAGCTGTGTCACAGCAGCAGCAGTACAGCCTCCCCGTGAAAGAACGCGCTTAAGGATTGAATGCATGAACACGGCATAATGAGCATCGCAGCAGCAGCAACGACATTAGACACACTGCAACAGCAGCAACGCTGCTAAACAACCATGCCTGTAACGGTCATTCATTCAACCATGCCTCCCAACCGTCTGTCAGCGGCAGATACGAATCAAGTACACATCAGCTCGCTCTCCGTCACCCCGTAAGTCCAAGATAGGTGAGAATGCCGCAGAAGGGAAAGTGATGTACCAACGTACTCAGGTGACGTACGAATGAGCGTTTAGCGTTTCAGGACTACACATGTGCGTTCGATTAGGATGCGTGTCATAGCCATTTAAGCAATCGCCACGCACGCTGAGGAGGATACGATGGCAATTGAACCACTATTGCAGGCTACGTGAGCAAGACAACCCCAGCCAATGACCTGGAAGGGAGCATGCACTTCTTCTAACAATTTGCTTATGTCTACGCAACTAGCCGTCATAAGCAGGAAGCTCGTTTTTCAGCGCCAGCAGTCAACAGCACACACAGAATCTGTCCCGTGCTCGCCGCAGGACTTCCTGCGCGCTTGCATGCGCCATGTGCACACACGGAATGTGCGCAAGCACCTCCCCGATCCCTCGTTGTTTACCTCCCATCTCCCCTTCTGCCCCCTCACGCCCACACCGCCAGCAAGCTCATGGACCCCGCCCCCCCGCACAGCGCCGCGAACGCCGCCAGCCTGCTGCGGCTGCTGCCCTGCCCCCCGCCCTGCCCCGCCCCCGGCGCCATTCGCCCCATGTCCTCCGCCACCAGCTGCACCAGCGAGATGTACAGCAGCAGGCCGCCGGACACGCCGTTCAGGGCGCCCTGCGTGCAGCAGCGACACAAGGGTTATGTAGGTGGCAATGCAAGGTAAAAGGCCCCATGACAACCGCCCCCACCTGCACTCCCAGCGCGCGCCGCGACTCCCCGTCGTACGACTGCGCGATGGCCATCCCCACCGCGATGCCCAGCGGGCAGGTCAGCGAGTAGGTGGCGATCATGGCGGCGCCCTTCCAAATCGAGAAGCCGCCGCGGACCACCACACTGGCCAGGCTGATGCCCTGCGCGCACAAGAGGGGAGGCGGGGGAAAACAGGGAGAAACTAACCGACCATGTGACAAAGGACAGAGGACAGGGATGCAACAAGCGCCTCGCTGCCGATATAAAGCAGCCCATCGCTGGAAACCCCTCAAGCAAGCAAGCCATGCGCCTTCCATGTCCCTTCCATTATGCACCGCTAGCTTCCGCCATTCTCTTCAGACGTTATGCTACACTCCGCCCTCCCCCGGCCCTCTCTTGCCCCCTACCTCGAGCCATTGGTGGAAGGCCAGCGCCAGCAGCAGCGAGCGAACCTCAGTTAGGTCGGTGCGGTTGACACCTAGGGAGAGCCCGATGATGAAACTGAGGGAGCGGGGAGGAGGGCAGCGAGAGGGCATGGAGGAGCCTTTGGACACGGATAGGTGGAGAGGGAACAGTTCGGAGCGGCTTTGGATGTATACGCATTGTTCGCCTGCACGTCTGTCTTGCTCCCTCCCCGCCAGCTCCACCCCACCTGTGGAAGATGCATCCCAGTTCAAACAGGTACGCCACCACCCGCTGCCGCAGCCCGCCCAGCGTCTCCACCGCGGCAGCAGCAACCCAGTTGGACGCCGACCCACGGGTCACGCACACGTGGCTGTGACCCTCCCCCGCAGCAACTGGTGCGCATGGCAGCGGCGGCTGTGAAGGTGACAATGGGAAGGAGTGGGCGTGCTTTGCCTCATCGGTCCGCACCTGTACCCCCTCCAATACCGGTGTTACTGCGCAGCAGCCGCAGCCACTGCAGTGACTCACAGTCAACGTCGTTACCGCTGTCAAGCCCCAGGACTGAAATGAGCAAAACAATGGCATGGGGTATGACACTAATACGGGCTTACCACTCGACAACCCGATGCGAAGGTTGAGGAGTGGCCGGTGCTGGCATGAGCACCAGGGATTAGTCGGCTGCCTGAGAATGAGGACTTATGCCGACGCGGAATGTGGCCAGATGACACTCCGCACCAGGTTGTGGTAGCCAAAGGCGCCGCCCGGTAACCCCTATAAACGCTGGCGATTCCATAAGCGATACGACGCGCCGCGACGTCGCAGAGGCCCGGCTAGGCAGGCGGCTGTGACCATGCTTTCCCGAATGCCGGCGCTGAAACGGCTACTAGATAGCAGGCTGGTGTACTAACTAGGTGCTACACGATAGGGCTGGCCAAGCCGGCTATTGCGGTGCAGCGGTGATGGCGCTATGCATAACGATACTCAATGCTCAGTACATGCTTAATAGGCTTTGTGGAACTCTGCGGCGATTACATGGTTGTAATCCCACCATGCGGTAAAGCATCATGGAGGCCACGAAAAGCGCCGACCAGGCGCAATCCGAAGGCAAAGACTGCGGCACAAGATCTGTCGCTCCAGGGAAGCAACAACGAACAGATACACGAACGCGGCAACTCAACCACTGGTATCACTCAACCGCTGGTATAAAAAGAAACATAAAGATAACTGCAAGTGCCTACGAGTTGGACATGCTTGGGCGATGCAAGCAACCAACCGACCTGCTCTGAAACCACGGACCATGATTTCGCATACGCATGGTTAGGACACGACAGCTGTCAAGCCCCAGGACTGAAATGAGCAAAACAATGGCATGGGGTATGACACTCCCCCCCACGCCCGAGGGAAGAAGTCACAAGGGCGGAACACAAAAAAGGAGTACCCCAGATCACACTGATGACCGGCAAGGTCAAACAGGCAACGGCATGAGAGTACGGTCAACGGAACATTAACGTAGGTACGAGCAAGCAATACGCTATCCGCTAGTACGGCAGAAACTGAGCACGCACCGACCCGTGGGCCAGCAGGCAAGCACTAGCCATGGCAACACCAATCCGGCAAGGGAAAGGCACGCGGCTACAAACCAAGAACACAGACCAGCTGATGCACAACTAAGCAGACATGGCAAGATGCTCTGTCCTAAGTGCAGATCCCCTCATCACCACATCCTAGACTGTAACTGCAAACTGACTTCTCCTCGCGCCAGTCAGGAGAAGCAAGCACGCTGACCAACGTCAATCCTATCCTGAACAAACATGACGGCCACGCGGCGCGGCGTGCCTTTTCCGACCTCAAGCGACCTACAACCAATCTACCCTGAACGACTCAAGACCACGCGGCTTGGCATGGCTTTCAGCATACACTAGTCACAAAGAAGCCCCTACAGGCAAGCATACAAGCACCATGAACAGGTCACTGCTGCGGCAAGGCAGTCTGTGAGCAGCTGTATGGCATGAACATTCACCGTCGGTGACGGCCCAGCAAGGCTTAATGTACAAGGCAGCAGCCCTCCTGTCCTACATGTAAGCGCAGTACGCCCCCCCAGACGGAGAGCATGAACTGAGGTATGTACGCAACCCCTCTCGCACGACACTATAACCAGCACACAGTCCGCAGCTAGTACCCCAAAGCGCCAGTACCAACATCCTAACGACTGCATCTACGACAAACCAGGGTTCAGAAGGCCTCGGAGGTCGTGGTGTCTCAATCGCCAAGCAGCTCCATCGACAGAACCGTAATGCCCAGGCAGGCCACCGCCACAAGAGCAGCACCCGCAATGCTGCGCCAAAGTGCAACGGTGTGACCGGCTGGTGGGTAAAACCGTGGTGCACTCGACGACCGTACAGCATAGAGGTCGTGGCTATGGCGGCTTGCGGGTTGGCCAGGACCCTTGGGTGCTGCAGGACTGAACGCTGCCGGTTGTAGAAGATGTAGAATCAGGCAATGATCAACGACGGGCTGGGCTTCGAACGAAGCTGGCTGTGCGGACGGGCTGATTGGAACTCGGATTGGGACAAGGAAGGGGACTGCAGAGGAGAAGGCAGCGCTGGGACACCAAGAGATGCCAAGAAGCCAGGACGCCCCCAACCTGCCGGGCTGCCTAATCGGCTGCGCTGTATGCAGACGCGACCAGGCATGTAGACGCGTCAACTCAGCAATAAAGCACATGGCGCCCAGGAAGAGCAGGGCTGCCAAGCGCCCCCCCCAGATAGCCGCCATGAAGCTGGAACAAGTGAAACAGTCAACACAGTCGGCGAAGGACCATATTGCAGCTCCAACTGAAGTAAACCCAATCAATGCACCCATGGCAGGCAAGCCGAAGCGTCCCGACAAAGCTTGTCGCTGACGATGTCGCTCGCCATCCCAGCAAGAAGCCGCACAGGACGAGAGCGGGGCTTTTCGTGGCAATACGGGCTTACCACTCGACAACCCGATGCGAAGGTTGAGGAGTGGCCGGTGCTGGCATGAGCACCAGGGATTAGTCGGCTGCCTGAGAATGAGGACTTATGCCGACGCGGAATGTGGCCAGATGACACTCCGCACCAGGTTGTGGTAGCCAAAGGCGCCGCCCGGTAACCCCTATAAACGCTGGCGATTCCATAAGCGATACGACGCGCCGCGACGTCGCAGAGGCCCGGCTAGGCAGGCGGCTGTGACCATGCTTTCCCGAATGCCGGCGCTGAAACGGCTACTAGATAGCAGGCTGGTGTACTAACTAGGTGCTACACGATAGGGCTGGCCAAGCCGGCTATTGCGGTGCAGCGGTGATGGCGCTATGCATAACGATACTCAATGCTCAGTACATGCTTAATAGGCTTTGTGGAACTCTGCGGCGATTACATGGTTGTAATCCCACCATGCGGTAAAGCATCATGGAGGCCACGAAAAGCGCCGACCAGGCGCAATCCGAAGGCAAAGACTGCGGCACAAGATCTGTCGCTCCAGGGAAGCAACAACGAACAGATACACGAACGCGGCAACTCAACCACTGGTATCACTCAACCGCTGGTATAAAAAGAAACATAAAGATAACTGCAAGTGCCTACGAGTTGGACATGCTTGGGCGATGCAAGCAACCAACCGACCTGCTCTGAAACCACGGACCATGATTTCGCATACGCATGGTTAGGACACGACACCGCGTTGCGGTTGTCGCCATTTGCTGTTACACGATGACCCCGCTTGTCGCCCCCACTAGCTGGGTGCATGATGTGTGTCAGGTGCTCAAGCCCCACCATCAGCAGTACACCGCCCATCACGCAGACGCCACCAAGGGGGTACTTGGAGCCTAGTGAAGACATGTCCGAGATGGCCTCTGAGGAGGTGAGGAGCAGGGTAAGCAGCCGTTAACGTTATGTGATAATTTTGCGGCCGATTCGTGATGAGGCATGTGTGACCCGCGCATTCCCATGCCGTACCTGGAATAACGTGCACCAGCGCAAGGGTTGCGATGACGCCGGCGGAAAAGGAGCGAGCCAGTCTATTTGTTGTGCTGTCAGGGTCACGGAAGACCTGCAGACAAGAGGCGGGAGGGATAACAGCAGCGATGATTAATGCGGTGATGGTAAGAGCGATTTGTAACAAACAATCCTTTTGTTACGGTATCCTGGAGTATATGTTATCAGTATTGCGTTTGATTCAGTCTTGGTTTCTGCATCTTGCGAGCGTATCTCGCCGATGCTAAGCCGCAAAGCCTCTACGGAAGTCGCCGGTGTAGGTCATGGCAGAACGCCAACTGTAATTTATATAACTGAGGATTGGTAGGGGGCGTCTACTGCGCGAGCAGTGATTGCGTCATGCAATAACCGCCCCAACGACAACCTTGACAGCTCTTCCGGTGCACTGAAAAATATAGTTGTGCCGGAAGGGAAGCATTCTTGAGAAACAGTTGCAAAATGGCAGTCTAGCTTGCCGACGCTGAAAGGTCGCGAATGAGCGGGTTAACTGACGCAGACGTGACGCCGGACATTTATGCTAAACCATACCCATACCTTGAGAAACAAAGGCGGAAGGCCGCCTATGAAGCCTGCTGCTAAAACGATGAAAATTGAAGCTATGCGCAACGTTTGGGTGTCATCACTCGGCAGCACCTGCTCTTCCCCTTTCCCATCGGGTGGCAAATTATAAAACAGTGCACGAGCATATTGCAATTGAGCCATAGCGGGAAGTAACGCCGAAAGCGTTGCCGACAAGATGACCAAACTTCGGAGCACAAAGGAACGTAGACTTAATCCAAGTATCTTTTACAAACGCTGTTATCACTAACCTACCTACTTGTTCCTGAAAATTACAACCGAACCTAGTGATTGCTCGACCGAGTACGTCCGTAGTACGATTCCTTATCCTACCTTGTACCTAGTTTCGGATCGAGTACCAAAAGTACCGAAATTCGGGGCGTGCTTTCGCCAATTCATTGCGCCATCCACTTAGCCTAAAATAGGATGTGGTGCACTTGCAAGCCCGTCAGCAGGGGTATGTCCATGTAACGCTCGTCGTCGGACCACCGTTCGACGACGCCTGCCTACGGTAATGCATGAGCTTCATAACACCTAGCGCGTAGTACACTTTACATAGCATACGGTAACGAAGTGTTTTGCTCATGTAGCGGCGCAGACATGTACGAATACATGCGCCAAGTTTCTGCAACAAGTGTGGTGGGTGACACTGTAAACGAATCAATCACCTCCTTTAGTAAGATAAGAAACGTAAAACAGTGTGTTATATACGGCAGCAGAAAGCGGGAACGGGGCTATAAACGCACCTTCCAAACAGTACACGCCTGCCTGCGCCTCCTGCGGCATCTGTTGCAGTATTCTTCCACACAACTGCTTTCTTGTAAGCCGTCGCACATTAGTACTGGCCTATATTCATCACTATTGCCATCCACAAGCTAGCAGTTGTAAGGTTCACTCTCCCCATGCATCTCCCTCTGTCCAAGCAGTGTCATAGTCGCAGCAGCAGCAGCACAGCCTCCCCGTGAAAGAACGCGCTTCAGGACTGAATGCATAAACACGTCACATTGTGCATCGCAGCAGCAACGAAATCAGACACACCGCAAGCAACGTGGGAGGGGAGCTAAACAACCCTGCCTCCCATCCATCTGTCAGCGGCAGATACGAGTCAAGTACTTAGGCCAAAATAAGCGCGCTCCCCGTGACCGTAAGTCCAAGATAGGAGGGGATGCCGCAACAGGGAAAATTGACGTACGAACGCGCTAGGTGGCGTATGAATGAGCGGTTAGCATATAAGGACATCACATGAGCGTACGAGTGGGATGCGTGTCAAAGCCGCTAAACCAATCGCCACGCACGCAAGGAGGATAAGATGGCGATCACCTCCCCTTCTGCCCCCTCACGCCCACACCGCCAGCAAGCACATGGACCCCGCCCCCCCACACAGCGCCGCGAACGCCGCCAGCCTGCTGCGGCTGCTGCCCTGCCCCCCGCCCTGCCCCGACCCCGGCGCCATTCGCCCCATGTCCTCCGCCACCAGCTGCACCAGCGAGATGTACAGCAGCAGGCCGCCGGACACGCCGTTCAGGGCGCCCTGCGTGCAGCAGCGACACAAGGGTTATGTAGGTGGCAATGCAAGGTAAAAGGCCCCATGACAACCGCCCCCACCTGCACTCCCAGCGCGCGCCGCGACTCCCCATCGTACGACTGCGCGATGGCCATCCCCACCGCGATGCCCAGCGGGCAGGTCAGCGAGTAAGTGGCGATCATGGCGGCGCCCTTCCACATCGAGAAGCCGCCGCGGACCACCACACTGGCCAGGCTGATACCCTGCGAGTGGTAATGTGTATAGGGTTACTCGTACTGCTTAAGAAAGGGGAGGCGTGCAAGGAGGGATGCTTTGCTCGCAACCGGACCTAGCTTGATAACTATTCCGCCCTGTTCCCTTTTGCTCCCTGCCTCCTCCCCCCCTACCTCGAGCCATTGGTGGAAGGCCAGCGCCAGCAGCAGCGAGCGGACCTCAGTTAGGTCGGTGCGGTTGACACCTAGGGAGAGCCCGATGATGAAACTGAGGGGGCGGGAAGGAGGACATCGAAGAGAGTATGCAGGAGCCGTTGGACACGGATAGGTGGAGAGGAAACAGTCGGGAGCGGCTTTGGATGTATTCGCATTGTTCCCCTCGTCCCCCTGCATGTCTGTCTTGCTCCCTCCCTGCCAGCCTGAACCCACCTGTGAAAGATGCATCCCAGTTCAAACAGGTACGCCACCACCCGCTGCCGCAGCCCGCCCAGCGTCTCCACCGCGGCAGCAGCAACCCAGTTGGACGCCGACCCACGGGACACACACACGTGGCTGTGACCCTCCCCCGCAGCAACTGGTGCGCATGGCAGCGGCGGCTGTGAAGGTGACAATGGGAAGGAGTGGGCGTGCTTTGACGCCTCCGCCTGCACCGGCACCCCCTCCATTACCGGTGTTACTGCGCCGCAGCCGCCGCCACTGCAGGGGCCCACAGCCACTGTTGCGGCCCCTGGCCCTGCTGCTGCCCCTCCAAGCGCCGTTGTGCCGTCACCATTTGCTGTTGCCGAATGATGGTGGTCCCGCTTGTCAACCCCGCCAGCTGGGTGGGAGTGCATGATGTGCGCCAGGTGCTCCAGCCCCACCATCAGCACCACACCGCCCAGCACGCAGACGCCACCCAGCGGGTACTCGGAGCCCAGTGAAGACATGTCCGAGATAGCCTCTGAGGAGGTTGCGAGGGGGAAGCAGTCGTTCATCCTTAATAGCAGCAGCTGCGACAATGTGACACACGTGGACCACCGCTGAGGTGAGGAATGAGTGAACTTTGGGAAACAACCGCGCCACACAATACCACCACCCATTCGTCCATCGTATATCTCCGATGTCATACCTGGGATGATGTGCACGAGTGCGAGGGCTGCGATTACGCCGGCAGAGAAGGAACGGACCAGGCGGGTTGTGGTGCTGTCTTGGTCACGGAAGACCTGCGGCGACGGACATCAGCGGCAATGAACATGTAGACTCAGGTCGACGTTTGGAGTGGAGTTTGAACACACGGCAAAGCGGCGTTAGGATCCTTTTCGTAGCATCACGCGTGGCGATGGCTAAATTAGCTGGCAAGCCACAATGTCGCATAGGCTCATGCCATTGTGGAAAGCACGTGGGTAGGTTGTCGCAATCAGTAAGACGTATGACAACCAGATGTGGTGGCGAATACAAGCAGTGTATGCGTCAAGCTTCTCGGCTAATACAAGCAGTGTATGCGTCAACGTTCTCGGCTATCCTGGTAAAAAAGAAAGCTGGCAGTTCGTGCCAGGAGGATAGCATAAATGACACGATTGAGAACTGCTGAATACTTTCTTCAGCGCTGAAAGGTCGCGGATAGCCGAGCTAACTAACGCTGACATGACGTCGGATATACATGCTGAACCAAACGCATCCATACCTTCAGGAATAGAGGCGGAAGGCCGCCTAAAAGTCCAGTTGCTAGGATGATAAAAACCGAGGCTATGCGCAAAGCTCGAGTGTCTTCACTCGCCAGCACCTGTTCTTCCTCTAAAACATCCGGTGGCGTATCGTATAATAATGAACGAGCAAATTGAAGCTCAGCCATGGTGCCTAGATATGCTCCGCTGGTCGGACTCGACCAAGCGGATGCGCTATCCCCGCCTAAGTCACGTTTAGTATCAACGGTTAGAAATTCTGTAGGCTTTGCTTATAGGCAAATTGCAAACTCCTACACATCGACAGCTATACGGTGTGTCTGTCGGCGCCATACATTGTCGTATTGTACCAAACTTCGGAGCTGTCCAAGGTGAAAAATAGTCATCATAGCTTACCTAATATAACCTTAGTGCAGTCACGGATACAAGGCAGTCTGTATTGGTGGTTCAGTCCGACTGACCACGCAGGTAGTAGGATTGCCCGTCGTACTTGTACCAATTTTCGGAGCGTGTACCAGGTTTTCGGAGCTTGCTATTGGCTAATAGCAGGGTTTGCCGCATTAATCAGCGGCCACTGTGCCACATTTTTTCTATGTTCCCTTGTGGCGCTTACAAAAGATACCGGTACGAACCCGTCAACAGGGGCGCGCTTTCTGAATCGGATGATTCCCCCTTTTCGACCCCTGGCGCGAATTCCCAGGGTGATCTCTTTACCTGGGACCATATAGCTCACTTAAATCGTCTTGTGGGTTCACCATCTTGGATAACCTAGGATACCTTGAAACGGATAGGGGGGAAGCAGCAATGGTTCGCCAGTATCGATCCGTTTTTCCCGCGGTGATTTGTCACTGAGGTTTGTGTGAAGTATAAAACAATATGCCTTGTCTACCACACCACAGCGTCACGTGCCCAAACGAATTTGGGGCAGTTTCGCCATTCCCCGCCTCCTACCGTAGTTGGTTGCGAAGGGTTCCCATACCTCATTAGCGGTTGGCTGCCTATGCAGCTGCTGCTGAACAACCTCGCCAACCGCCCCAATCGATGCTTCCATGAGGACAGCCCGGGTGATGCCCCAAAATTGACGCAAGCAGGAGAGCGCGTGCAAGAGCTTGGAGCCCCAAATATTTATGGTGTAAGCATGTCTCGGTGCCCCGTTGCTACACAAGGCAGGCGCAGCAGCACTAACGGTCCCTACAGAAACACCCATCCCAACATCATCACCTGCCGCACACAGAAAGCCAACGGTGAACAAACACTAGGCATGTCGTGTATACGTATATTGGGAGCTGGTATACGGTATTATACGCATAAATATGCGTATCATTATAGTACGCGCATGTGTACATGGCTGACCGTAGACATACCGGTCTAGGGCCGCGCTCATACGAGTTCCACCATACGCAACGTAAATGGGGCTAACCGGGCAAACACCGCGTGTACCCGCCTCTAGGCGCCCACAGCCCCCCTACACGCCAACTGCACGACGGGTTTGGGGCGTTTTCCTGTTGTACGGCAGACACATCCAGATTTCACCGCATACGGAATTTGGGCTTTCGTACGTATTTCGCATACGCTGCCCTAAACCTTTATCCGTGTATTATACGCATAAATATGCGTGTACGTAACGTATAGTAAAATATACGCCTAACAAACACCACTCCCTCTCGTGTCCTCCATTCCGCCGTCCCGGACCGATACATGCACGTGCACGTGCACTACTTCCTAGCAGTGTCAATCCTCTTTTGATCAGGATGCAAACAACGTAACATCTCATACGACAAGGATTGCCACGGCGACATGCGCACTACCATGGACCACGCTTCCCCTCAGGGCCCCAACATCACACGCCAGCCTCGCCCCCTGTCACTCTTCTCCCCCTCTCACCCCACGTCACTCTCCCGTCAAGCGCCTCATGCGCTCCTCCTGCGGCACAAAGGGCCGTGCCTCCAGCACCACTCCCTCACCCAGGCCCCGCTTCTGCTTCTTCTTAAGCTTCTGCAGCTGCCGCTTGCTCAAGCCGGCTGCCCCCTGCTCCGAGGCGCCCCCACTTCCTTCTCCTCCCGCTCCTTCTCCTCCCTGCTCCTCTCCTTCCCCAGTACCTCTCCCACTTGTACCCGCACCCTCACCGCCACCACCATTACCGGTACCTCGCTCCTCTTTCCTACTCCCGCCGCTCCTCTCAACTCTAGCTGCTGCTGCTGCTGCTGCGGCGGCGGCCGTGGCCACTGCCGTCGCTGCTTCCAAGATGGCTGCCCCCTCCACAGCCAGCGCAGGCAGCGCCGCAGCAGCCGCCTCTACTGGCGGGGCGCGGCGCTGGCGGAAGGTGTCCGGGAAGGGAGTGCCCTTGAGGGGCGGCAGCTCTGGGAGCGGTGTGGCGGGGAGGCGAGAGAGAGAGAGGGGTGCACGGGTGTGGGTGTTGGGATGGCAGAAGGTCCAGGGTGGTGGGGGTGCGAGGTGGGAGAGGACATGCTTGGGGACGTGGTGGGGTGCTGCTAGCCACAACAGCAGCGGCAGGCGGCGCTCCTTTTAACAGCACGCAGCAGCTCAAGGAGGCTCATGGTGGACCACTGCAACACACCCGCACCGTGCACTCTACGCAACCTCGCACACCTTCGGGCTCCAGCACCACTGCCGTCCCTGCAGGAACGCGTGAGAAGAACCGGAATTGCCAGCCGGCAGCGCCACCTGCTGATCCCGGCGCCGCCGCTGCTGCCTCCGCCGCCTCCGCCTTCTCTGCCGCCCGTGCCTCCCGGCGCAGTCGCTTGGCCCCCGGCAGCTTTACCTTTAGCCGCCCCTCCAGCAAGGAGTCTAGCGCAGCGGCCACCTGCGGGAAGTGAAGAAGGGAGCCCATGTGGGAGGGGTGCGGTACGAGGCAGGTGGTACGGGAAACGTCGCGAAGGAGATGCAGGATTGGCACTGGCTGCACCTCATGCTCCGCTCCTGTTTCACAGTGAGAGGGCCTGCCATCAGCAAGCTGCGTTGCGGGGGCGGGCCTATGATGCTATGCGGTCCAGAAGGTATCGCTGGGGCGGCTGCAAAGCCGCCCTGCCAAATGGGCCGGCATTGTCACGACCCAGGAGGGCATGCAAGCGGTCCCGCCCTTCCCCTCTCCTGCTCCCTATGTGTATGAGTCCGGGGGCAGACAGAAGGCCCCGCCCGCCCCCTTGTCGGCACTTACCTTCAGCTGTATTGGGTTAAGCTGGTCCAAAGGTCCGTCCTCATCCTCGCCGCCACTGTCATGCTCTTGTGTACAATTGCCGATGCTCTTGTTCGACGTGCGGTTGCGCTTCCGAGTTCCTGATAGACGCTGTTTAGCCTATAGAAGGAGTATGCCCAGATAATACTCTTAACTGCTACTCACAATCGACATCAGGCTTGCATGACGACAACATACCTGCTCGGCAACCTCCTTTTGCTTGCTTGTTATCTCTTCGAAAGAGACCGCTACCGACTGGAACGCCGTGAGATCTTCGGACGAGTCACTGCTTGAGCTGCTGCTGCTTTTCGCCTTTTTCGCCATTTGTCTAATTCACTTGGGTTCTGTTTTATATGAATAGCTATATTTCGGTAATACTTGTAGCCTCAAACCGGGTGTCGCGCGGAAGTATGCCCTTGTTTGCCCTTGGCGCAAGTGCGCATCGTTTACTAGCAACAAGTTTTATAGGCAGACGTCAAGACCATGCGTTAAATGACTAGCGCTAGACGATGAGAATGGGCACCATGGCAAACAGCGCCCCGGATGCGCACGACAAGCGGCTACTGCACCACCCAGCTCACTAGGTGATAAGGTCGGAAGAAGCACTCCCAACAGGTAATGCAACTCCGCCAGGGCAAGCAATAGTGTACGCAGTAGCCTTGCGACCAACCAATGCCGTTTTAACTGCTTTGACCCATGTTTCTTCACGGCTTGCCTGGCATGTCGCCACAGGCCAGGTGCCTTGCCTCCAAGCAGAAGCGGCACGTTATGCGCAGCACAACGAACACTGAACGCGTCACAATCGACAACCAAACGTGTTCAAGTGTAGCGTCTGAGGAGCGGCCCTCATTCTAATCAGCCACGAACAGGCTACATGTGCGCCATGCTGTCCATGCTTGCTGACGTGTGTCTTGCAGCAGATGCAACCGATGCGCACACAACCAGAAACTTTATCGCCGGATAGTCCGTGCACGAAGTAAGGTACGCATACCGAAGGCGTGACGGCGGGTCCCGCTCCTGTACGACATTCGTAGCCAGCTACCGGTTCGGATAACTGCCGTACCGCTGCCACAAAGAACATGTGTCCTCATCAAGCTCAAGCGAGCAACGCATATCATTCCATCATCCAACCGCAAAAAGGACTACCAAGAAGCTAAAGATGCAATACGAACGAGGTGGAGCACAGCATGGAAAATGGTGGCATACGAAATGACGTTATTGAATTACGAAGGTATTTATTACGAAATGTCGCTCAACTGTCGTGCAGAACGTAGCTACAATATGGCATACACAATGCATCGGAAGCCAGATTGTTGCAATGCATAAGGGGAGTCAGCTCCTAAGCAAGGGAGAAGGTAGTTTGTGGCTTCAAGGTCCCTCCGTCCCATTCCCACTTCTCAACCTGTAGTACCGGTACGACTCCTACGACAATCCTGGCATGGTACGCATTCGGCCGCCGTATGAAGGCAAAAACACGGCTCCAAAATTCCAAAGCACTGCGCAACCGAATTGATGAAACGTGTGGCACTTGGCTTGATGCAAGGCTGCCAACTAACCTACGGCACATCCCGGGCGTCCTGCATGGGAGGGGCAATGTTGCACTCCGCAGCAGGACGCAACCCGCATTCCAGCAACCAGCAAGTGTGGGGCATAAAGCGCTCGACTGTCCACTTCCTGACGTGGCTTCCTTCCCTCGGTTTCATCACAACCTCGTGCGTTGTGCAAGGGGAATGCGTCCCGGCAATAGCAAGCAGGCCCGCTCGCCCCAACCGCCCACACTCTTTTGCCGTACGGCAGCGCTCTTCCTAGCACCCGATCAACCAACGTATTACCCCCTCACCCAACAAACGACTTCTCTAGCTTTGCCGATTGATACAAAAAAATTGTCTGCCCTCCTACAGCGCTCTAAGAACATTTTTGCCATGAGAAGGACAGATACCAGTACCCTAGAGGCACAGGTTACACCATTCAGGATGCGGACGCAACTCTTCTGGACAACTTTTAATCCCCCATATGCCAACATAATTCGTGCTGTGAACCTCTCCGTCAATGATCAAGGGACACCGACTGTGCTCTACAGGATGCACACGAACATGGAAATAGGTTGCACACTTGCATACTCTGGTTGTGGACCCCAGGTGGCCATGAGTAAAGAATGGGAACCCACTTCATCCCCTTGTTGACAGTTAACCGAAACTATACAAGACACGTTCAGCGTGCTACGAACCAAGCCCCCAAAGCATACCATTATTACGGTCATTCATTTCGCCAATCCTGCTGCCAAGCGAACCGCCGGGTTTTTATAAACGAATGGGTTACAACAGCTACTTCAACTCACCACACCGAATGATGTCGGGTATGCAACGACAGTGGCAACAATGAGACAGTGTTCACACGTCCACAGACCCCATGGGATACATGCGCTACAGGCCCATTGTTTCAGCACTGTCGTCCTCCCACCCTCAAGTGACGCTGTCAACCCATCCATGCGACCGCCTCAACGGGGGGCTATGAACGCCCACCTGCGCAATCCATCTTAATGTTTATTCTGTACAACAGTTCTCATCCATCCGCGCACTAACCAGCCCGCACCAGCGGCATCCATCGGTCCCCGGAAGTCACCTCAAGGCCACGGTTACTCCGCATACGTTGTAGCGCACAACCCCTCGCTTTGCGTTGCGTTGTGCCATCCCTGCAGTCCATGTGGGAACGCCTACCTGTGGGTCCTGCGTTTCCCGCTGCCAGGCTGCTGCAACTACAGCTGCACCGCACCTGCCCCTGGCGCAGTCCCCGAAGTCGCCTGCTGCCTCCTGCCCTGACCCTCCGTCTCGCCCTCCCCTTCTGCCATCAGCAAGTCATTCAGGCTCCCAAGTTCAGGTAATGACACGCCTGCCGCCACCGCTGCCGCCCCGTCCGCATGCCCACCATTGCCGCCGCCGCCAGCCCGCGGCGCCGGCAGCGCCGACAGCAACGGCGGTGGCGGCGGTGGCGGCGCTGAGTTTGGTGTTGCGAAGGGTGACAGCGGCAGCAGCTGTAGCGTCATGGATGTCGTGCGTGGAGCCCAGCCGCCGCCTCCACCTCCGTCACCAGCACCGCCGCCGCCGCTGCTGGCCATGTTATTATTCATGCCGCCGCCTGCACCGGTGGCATCGCCGGCTCCGACAGCAAACAAATCGCCTCCGCCGAGCTCCCCAGTCGTACCCCGCTCAGACTCGAGTCTCGACGGATTCAGACGGAAGCCATTATCGAGGGCGGGCTCGGAGGCCGCCGCCGCTGCCGCCGCCGCCGCCCAGGCCTCCTCCGCCTCTCCTCCCATGCCCTCCAACTCGGCCATTCCCGCATCTTCGCCCAGACCCAGCTCCGGCTCCATTTCTGCCTCTGGCGCCCTGATAGATGACGCCGCCACACCAGCGCCGGCGGCGCCGCCGCCGTCAGCCTCCATCTTGTCGGCGCCGTCGCCGTCAGCTGCCTCCGCCGGCGGCCGCATCATCTCAGCGTCCATGAACCACTCCATAAACTCCGACAGCGTGCCGCCAGACCTCCTGACGGGGCAGGTGCCGCAGGTGCTAAGAAACGGAAGAGGCAACGCAGCGCCGCCGGCGGTGGTGGCGGCGGCGGCGTCCGCGGCAGGTGGCCCCGCCACCGCCGCCGTCCTGACGTCGGCAACGGAGGCGGTCCCGTACATTGCAGCGGGCATCTGGGCTAGGTCTCCCGCCGATGGTAGCTGGGTTGCAGCTCTGTTGTAGCCTGCGTCCTCGGAGGGTTGATCCCACTGCCGGGCTAACGGCGCCTGAGGCCATGAGGCAAGGTCTTGCTGTCGGGCGGGTTCGGCAGGAGTTGGTGGCGGCGCGGGCGGTGGTGGCGGCGAGGGAAAGGGTGACACGGGCATGCCCGCTCCCGCCGCCGCCGCCGCCGCTGCCGGTCCAAACGTCGTCGCTGGCGGAGGCACAGATGGGGGAAGTTGCAGCGTCCAGTTTGTCCATGCGGCTTTAGAGCCAGCGGCATTGCCTGCGGCGGCGGCAGCAGCAGCAGCAGCAGCGGCTGCGGCGGCGGGCGAGTTGGGACAGCTACGAACTACCCCAGCCTGCACGGCGGCAGGAGGCGACGGAAGCGCCGCCCATTCCACTCCTCCTCCGGGACCAAACCCCAGACCCGGGGGCAGCGGCGCCGACGCCGCACTGCTGAGCGCCAGGCCCTTGTCCCGGGTGAAGCCTGCACCATAGGTCACCGGTGACCCATGGGTCATCCTTGCGGCATCTCTTTGCTGCTGCTCTTGTTGCTGCTGCTGCTGCTGCTGTATAGCAGTTTCCAAGATGGGTACGGCAGGTGCCGTCATTCCTTGACCAACCACGTCCATTGCAGCAGCAACAGCACCACGCATACCGCTGCCGCCGCCAGCCGCCAGGCCCTTTCCGCTGTTCGCGACGCTACCACCGCTGCCCAACCTGCCACCACCCGCTCGCACACCTTCGTCCTCATCGTTCTGCATAACCTCCGAAACCAACCGCCAAGTATCAAGCGTAACCTTCCGCGCCGCCAGTGCAGCATCGTCTTCCAGCTCATCTTGCACCGCGCTGCCGTACCTAGCGGCGCCGGCAGGTACGGCTGGTGGCAACGCAGCTGCGGCGTCGGTGTCGTACATTTGGACGGCTTCAGCAGAGCCGTACAACGCGCCGCTGCCAGCGGCCGTCGCCGCAGACTGAGGGGACGGCAGAAGCATTTGCTGCTGCTGCTGCTGCTGCTGATGTGTCAGCAACTGTTGGAAGCTATATGTCGGCACGCCAGGCTGGGTCTCCATTTCACCGGCGACGGCTGCGGCGGCAGCTGAAAACTCGTTTATCCTTTCAGATGCCTCCCCCGCACTCCCAGCGTCGGGGGCTGAACTGGCAGCGAATGGGAAAGCGCCGGCGGGCGGCGAACCTGACGGCGACGGCAGCGGCATGGATCGCGCCCTGCTCCGAGCCAGGGTCTCCACGCTTCGCATGACGTCCCCTGCCCGATAGGTTGCACCTACACCGGGGGGCTGGTGGAAGAGCCTCAGCACGCTGCCGCCGCCGCCGTCTCCAGAAGCCTCCCCAGCGGCCGCCGGCAGCGTAGCGGAGGTAAATGCCGCGCCGTCGCCGCCTCCGCCGCGGCCGCCACATTGTGCCTGGTCCCTGGTAATCCACATTGACGACGGCGGCGGCGGTGGAGAGGAAAAGCCGCCGGCTAGGTCGGCGCCTCCGTCGCCGCTGCCGCCAGCTGGCGGAAGGTGCCCTTGCGGCGACATCATGTCATGTCTTGGCATGCCGCCGCGAGCCGGCGTCGGCGGTGCTGACGCCGGCGACGTCAGCGGCCGACCGGCGACGACGTCCAGAGCTGCCTCATTGAAATAGCTGCTGCACGGCACGCCGCCGCCGCCTGCGTATCTCTTACGAATGCCTTGAGGCTGTGGCGGCGAGCGAGGGGCCGTCGGCAGAGGTCGGTGTGGCGTACGCGAACGGGAAGCGCCGACGCCGCTAGGGGAGCTAGCTAAGCTGCCGCCGCCACCACCGCCGCCAGCGCCGCCAATACGACGACGGGGCACTGAGTAGGTCACGGCGGCCTTTCCAGCGCTGTAAGAACACGGATCCACATCTACATCACCTCGACCTGCAGCCAACTCGCCGCTGGCGCTGCGCTTGCAGCTTTCGGGAGAGTAGTGATGGCGGGCCTGGGCGAGGGCCGCCGCCGCGGCGGCAGCGGCGCCGCCACTGCACAACGCCCGGCTCTCGTCCAGCAGTTGGGCAGAGGTGGCTAGCAGGGCGTCAGTGGAGGGCGGGGCGGCGGCGGAGGGAGGCGCCGTGAGCCCCTCGCCGCTGAAGCACTCGCCTTGTTGTTGTTGCTGCTGCTGCTGCTGCTGTTGCTGCCACTCAACGTAGCCCGTCGGTAGTAGCTGATGCTGTTGCGGCTGCGGCTGATTTTGTTGCTGTTCCCATTCCGTCGCTTGTATTGGCTGTTGTTGCGACACTTGAGGCGAAGACAATGACTGAGGCAGTGACTGCAACCAGGCCGGCTGCTGCTCCCATGACTCGTGCGGCGGCGGCGGCGGCTGCGACCGCCACTCAAGCTCTTCGATCGGCGTCACTGCCTGTTGCTGATGGTGGTGGGCTTGTTGCTCAGCAGCTTGTATCGGCAGCCAGTCCTGCTGCATTTGGGCTTCTGGGGGCATCAGCGGCATCAGCGGCGGCGGCGCCGAAGGCGGGAAGCCACCACCCGCCGCAGGGGCCATCAAGGATGGTTGCATGGCTGGCTGGGCTGAGGCGGAGGCGGGAGGCAGGAAGGCGGCGAAGCTGGGCCCCGAAAGCACGTCGGGCATCATCATCATCATCAGTCGCTCGTCACCCGTGGCGCCGGCCTCCTCTGCTTCCATAGCGCTTGCGGGAACTGAACGACGTGGGGGTTGGGAAGGGCATGGAGAAGGGGCGGCATGCGGCGTCAATGAGACAAAGTAGCGGCTGATGGCTTGCTCCACATGTGCACCTCATACGGCAACTTAAGAAGCAAGGGGTTATGGCAGCGCCACGCAGCAAATCACTAGTGCTCTCATTCCTTCATCCTTATATCACTCCTGCTAGCTATAGTGCCTAAACTCTTCAGCCCTCCTCCCCCATGAGTACGGTACCATGCAACACCCACTCACCAGCCTCCTCTCTGCCGCCCCCGCCTCCGCCTCCGCCGCAAACCATGTTCCCAAACACGGGGGCAGACGCCGGCAGGGGCGGCAGCTGCAGCATCGACCCGCCTGCCGCCGGCACCTCCCGGAAGCCGCCTGCGCCGCCGCCGCCACCGCCGCTACCGCCGTACGGCTGCTGGTGCGGCGACAGCGCCATCGGCGATTGCATCAGGTGGCCATGTGCGGCGGCGGCCGCTGCGGGGGGCGCATCCAGCAACACCCCGCCGCCGCTGCTGCCGCCACCGCCGCCGTTAGCAGCGCCTGCAGCAAAAGCCGGGTAGGGTTGCCGACGGGCGCGACTGCGGCGGCCAGGAGAGCCTCCCGGCGAGCCCGTTGCTGCGGCGACAGAGGGAGGAGCGGACGCGTAGGAAGACATGTGCTGCACCACCGGCATCGTACTGACGCTGGCACTGGCGCGACGACGACTGCCCGCGCCGCCTGCTGGTCCCGCAGCGGCCGCAGCGGCCGCCTCCGCCGCTTCCGCCGCCGCTAGCGACTCCGCCTCCGCCAGTTGCAGGTGCGCGGATTGCTCGTCTTGCTCGTCCATGGTGCAACGTACGGCAAGGATCATGGCGCGCTTGGACATTCCGCGCAGGCGCTGGAAGCGGAGGGGGGGGCACCGCGCAAGGGCACCGCGAGGAGACAACAGGGAGAGTACCAGCAACAGCAGCCGTCAACATGGCTAGTGGCCAGCAAAGCAAGCCCGGCAGCAGCACGTCTAAGCACCGTGCGGCAGCAGCCCTTCCTCTTCCTTCAAGCAACCGGATGGCATGAGATATCCCCCCTGCTCTAACCTCCAACATCGGCTACATGCCATTGTCAGCGGAGCTCGTCAAGGCTAGCTTTAGGTCGTCTCCAGACCCTATCCTGCAGTTCCCTCACAACGACGCTCTACACCCAAGCGTCAATCCCACCCCTCCATACACCTGCAGCACCGGCATGGGCCGCCCCCCTCCCTTCCTCCCCCCTTCCCCCGGGTGGCGTCTCCCCAATCCCCCATGCCCCCAACCCCCACCCCGTGGTGAACAACCCATGGTGAACCCTCGGCGTACAGCTCATTGGTTTCCTCATTTAAATCCCCACACACACACCCACCTGCAGCACCGGGTCGTCATCGTAGTCGGAGCGAGGGTAGTTGAGCTCCGCCGCATCGCCGCGCATGCACAGCGCAGCGCGGTCGTACGCCCTGCAGTAATGCGGGGCAGCAGGCAGCGGGCAGCGGTTGATGGGCAGCGGTTGATGGGCAGCAGGCAGCGGGCAGCGGTTGATGGGCAGCCGGGTCCGTACCCTCACCTTCGCCTCACCACCATCAGGGTCGCAGGCTACTAACCACCCGCCCTCCCCGAGAGCCTCCCACCTATCCTATCCCCGCCCTCCTGCAGCTCACCTTGCCGCCTGCTTGGCAGTGAGGAAGGAGCCCAGGTGCAGCTGCCGCCCCTTGCCGCTGCCGGTGCTGTCACCGCTGTCCCAGATGTGTGCCTCCCAACGGCCCGTGCGCTTGTACTAGGGAGGGGGCGGGCAAGGGTGCGCGCACGGACGGAGCAGCGGCAGCAGCGGATGGAGCAGGAGGCGGCGGAGGCGGTGAAGAGGAAGCGGGCGTATGCATGCAAGGGATTGGGGAAAAGGGCAAAGCCGACGTTATTAGGTGTCGCCAAGCGCGCGAAGGAGCGAAGGGATGAGGAAAGGAGGCTATCCCTCGCTACTGCCGGCAAGCACCCTTCACAGATACGGGAATCACAATCGCAGACGCACAAGGCGAGGGTTATTAACGCCCACCTGTGACACCCCGATGAAGGGGCTGCTGCGGCTCTTGGGTCCGGAGCGGCTCTTCCGCCGTGCATTCGGTGACTGCACGCCGGCAGCAGCGGCGGCAGCGGCAGCAGCGGCGGCCGCACTCTCAGCCGCCGCGCCCTGCGCATCAGCGCCGGCTCCGGCGCCCGCATGCGGTTGTGGAGAGGGCGGGGAGGAGCCCGGGCTCGGGTAATGCTGGTGTGCAGCACCACTGTTTCGGCCGCCAAAAGTAGCAGCAGCAGCAGCAGGGCTACCGCCGCTGCCGCCTGCAGCAGTAGCAGCATTAGGAGGGCTGTCAGCGCAGCTGCCGGCGGGGCTGCTGGCGGCGGCGCTGCCGGAATCGTAGTACTCGCAACCTGAGAATCTGCGCCGCCGCCAGTGTCCTTCATTCGCCGCTGCTGTGGCTGCGACGGCGGCGGTGGCGGCGGGGTTTCGTTTAATGCCTTCGTAGAAGCTGCCCCCGCTGCCGCCGCTGCCTACCAGGTATGGCTGTTCGTACGCGGCCGGTTGTCCGCTTCCGGCGGCGTGCGCCACTGGCTCCAGCTGCTGGGGGTGCTGTTGGTAGGGCTGCTCTGGCCCCGGCCAGCCCTCGTCCGCAACGCTGCTGTGGCCGCCGCTTTGGCGGCCGCTAAGCCCTCCTCCGCTTATGCCGCCGCTCTGGCGGCCGCCGCTTAAAACCAGTCCCTGCATCGGTGCTGGGCCTGCGAACCCTCCTGCCGCCACCGCCGCCGCGTCTGTTGGATCCAGCATGGCAGCACCTGAGACGTTAGGACTAGCAGCGGTGGCGGTGACGATGGCAGCGCGATCGACGTCCAAGCCGCTTGGATAGGAGGTCGTCAGCGGCCCGGATGACTTGCCAGCCAACGGAGGCGGCGGAGAGGCGGCGTGCATGGGACGCAGGAAGCCCGCTTCGTGCAGCGCTGCCGTCGCCGCTGACGGGTAGGCTGCGAACGGCGTGGCGTAGGCTTCAACCAAGGGGGCGGGTGGGGCTCCGGAGGCGCCGGCGCTATTGTAGCCACAGGCTGCTGCAAGTGCGGGTGACAGCTGCTGTGGGGGTGCGGTTGATGGACGTTGGGGGAAGGGGTACTGCGAGGCCGGCGATACGGGCCGCTGCTCCTGGAATTGTTGTAGCTGCTGCTGCTGGTGCTGCTGCTGCTGGTGCTGCTGCTGCTGGTGGGGATGGTTGTAGTGGTGGTGGTAATGGGCTGTGTCGTACTGGTGGTTTAGAAGAGGCGGTGGTGGTTGCTGCGACGACGGCAGCGGCTGCTGCGGCGACTGCAGGTGGAGCTGCTGGAAGGGCGCTTGTAGCTGCAGGTGCTGCTGGTCCGGACAAGGCGACGAGCAGTAGTCCGCTCCTCCTCCTCCTCCTGTGCTTGCCGTTGTGGTGGTTGCGGTGGCGGTGGTCGGGGTGCCCAGGTTGCTACAGACGGACCCGCCCCGCCCGCCGCCGGTGCCGTACGACCCCCTGCAGCCGTAACCCATGTTGTCCCAGCCGCCACGCCCGGAGTCGACGCCGCCGGCGGCGGTGGCAGCGGCAGGTGCGAAGGTCTCTGCGGGACCGCTCACTACACGCCGATGCTGAAAACCCGCCGCGCTTGCCGTCGCAGCAGCGGCAGCGGCAGAAGGGCCGTGTTCATGTGGGTGCCAGCCAGGAACTGAGAAGGGGCCCGCAGGCGCCAGGTCCCAGCCCGGTGCAACACAGGAGTCAGCCCCAAAGCCTCGCTGTGCTGGAAGCTGCCTTTGTTGGTCCAAGCCGCTACCGTAGTTGGAGACTTCTGTTTGATGATATGGACCTGCTGTTAAGCCGGGATGATAGCATGCTGTTTCTAGGAAATCGTCGTGGCAACCGTTCATCGCCTGCAAGCACGAACATACACGATCACGCAGCTCAAATGTTTCCTCGGGCGCGAGCGGCTTTCGCGTTTGCTCACCTAGCAAGCCTTTAGCGGCGGGCCTAGCAGGTAGCTTGAAAAGGGCGGATGGTGACGGCTGCTGGGGCTGGAGCCAGCCCAGCAAGGAAAGCTGTTGTTGTGCGAAGGCCAAAGCTTAGCCCAGGCTCCGATTCGGCGAATCAAGCGGTGAAACGCCGCTGGGCAGGTTGCCAGCTCGGCTTTGCTAGCATAGGAAATATGACTAACCACTAATTACTGATCTGGCGAAGTAGCGAGTCACCCGCACAGCGGCAGGCTGTTGCAAGCGACGTTAGCGAGAAGCCGAGTCCACAGTCGAATTTTAAGCGTCCAAAGCCATATGTTGCGCAAGGAAGGCAGCAGATAATTGATGCAAGCAACTGTGAGTAACCATTGTCTCGGGATGCAGTTCGACAACGATGGTCACGCAGCAGTACGTTTACGTTGACCAGGGAGGGAGCGTAGCCGATCCCGGTCAGCCTTTACTCATCGCATACGCACGTAATCAAGCGAGCGTTGGACCCTCCGCATCCCCACAGCAGAGCTTCTATGGAGAAAAAGTGGCCAACGGAGGGTAAGAGCTGTGTAGGAGCCAAGAAGATCGGGGCGTCCCGAGACGCTGGAGCTGTCCGCTGCAGCGTGTCTCGGACCGCCCGAAGCAAGCGTTAGAGGATGCCCTAGCATGCAACAAATAGAATAACGAGCAACATGCATGTTTTTTATAGACTCTTTGGAAAGGCTGCACATCTTAGGGTCTAGTCGGCCCGGGGGTCATCAGCAGGAGTCGTGCTCCGCTTCGCAAATGCGGAAAATGCGTTGTTGCGACTCTGGCCCAACAGAGTTCATAAACACATAAAGTTCGCATGCTTGCCCAGCGCCTGCCCGCCCTGTCGCGCGCCAAGTTCTTCCTTTGCAGCACGCTCAGGGCGGTCTAAAATAAACCATCCGCAGCAACCTTCCGTGCGGCTCGCTACGAACAGAGTGGTGCAAGCGAGGTTCAAGTAAGCGATGGGCCCAACCGCTACCCTTTGTTCGGCAAGTCCTGTGCCTCGCTCAGGCCACACATTCCTTTCCCACCTTTCCTTCCAGCCTTTCTCTCTCACTGCACCAAGCTTGCAACAGCAAGTCCGCCTCATTCCAAGGCAGACCTTGGCCGAATCCTGGTGGCAGCGACGGTGCGTCCAAAATGTAGCCCTCCGATTCCGAAATAAACTGCTGCTCGGTTGCTGTCGCAGCGTGCTGACTTCGTGCGCTACCATCATCGCTGTCTGCGAGCTGCTGCTGCGGCGCAACGCGAACCGATGACGGATCTGGCATCGTGGCTGCTTGCGTGGGCGTGGGGAAGAGCGGCATTAGGGGCAGGAAGCCGCCGCGGTTTCGGAGCTCAGCCTCGGCTGCTGCCAGCTGCTGCAGCAAGTGCGGCTGGTAGAAGACCTGGATGCGTGCGGGGGGGAAACGTGGATGGGGGTTACGGATAAAGCGGGAGTGAAAAGAAGTGCACTGCTGTTCATGCTGTTCCTCACACGAAACAGCCGTACGGGGACGGTTCCCTTCCGCTCTTCCTCGCATGCTTCCCAGTTACAGGAGGAATTCTTTATGGATCCTAACCAGCAGGTCCTTTATGGATCCTAAACACCCCAACCCAGATCACACACCCGCCACACCTGCGGATACAACGCCTGAAGCGTCTCTCGCACTTGCTCCTCTTCCGCCGCCTCCGTCGACGCCACCTGGTGCCCCCCCGAGCTGCCTGCTGTCACACCCCCGCCGTACCGGCGCCCTAGCTGCAGCAACCCGCCCACCATGTCCGCCACCATGCCTCCCTTTTGTTGCGCGATGAGCTGCCTGACCCGTGGGTCACTGTGCTGCACCGCCAGCGAGGGAGTGGAGTTCACCTCCAGCAGCCAGGGCCTGTATAATAAAAATGAAAAATATCACATTTAGGACGTTAGGCATGTGTTTATTATTGTGCCATCTCGTCTCTAGGATTAGGTTGAACGTTGAAGTCCGGGTCTCCATGTCCCCCGCTTGCATCCTAGTGTTGCCTGCATCCATCCTTATCGCCACCCATTAGGCTCGCACCCCAGCATGCGCACCTCATGTTGCTGTCTACAAGGTAATCCAGCCCAAGCAGCTCAAAACACCCGCCACTTGCGTTCGTGCCGCCATCAGCACCCGCAGCAGCAGTACCGCAACCACCACTGCAGCCACCGGCTTCTTCCGCCCCTAGCGGCCAGCCTGACCGGACGCCCCGCCGCCTCAGTCGGGCGGTTTCAGAGCGGACGTGCGGCAAGGCGGCTGCCAGGGTGAGAGCCGCGCTGCGCCGTAGCCGCCGGATGAGCAGCCTGGGGGGTGGCCAACACACGGAAGGGTCAGTGGATTGACCCATGGGTCACCTGGAATTCAAATGCCATTTTCGTGCATACTTGGGTTTGCAGAAGAGCACATCAGCAGATGCAGAGCGGAGAGGGGCCAGCATCAACATCAACATCACCAGCGACCCGTCAAGCCCCCGCGAAGCACCACGACAAGCCCGTTAGCAAAGCAAGTCTGCAAATCACGAATGAAATTCACATGATGGCCGAGCTTACCCGAAGCGCTCTTGCCCCAGATGCTCCCCGAGCTGCTCCAGGCTCCACACAATCCCATCCACGTTCTGTGCGTAGTTGGTCACATGACCCAGGGGAACCTCGCAACTTCGGGAGGAGAAGGCGGAGGTGGAAGGGGAAGGTGTGAAGCTGCGGGGTGATGGGGAGGGTGGTACTGCTGTCATCGTCGCCAGACCTAACCGTTGCATAGCGGTCGGCGTGTATGTATCCTCCGCCTCCTCCTCCTCATCATCATCATCATCTTCTTCTTCCCCCTGCTCCTCATCCTCTCCTTCTACCCACTCTTCCCCGTCGTCCCCGCCCTGCTCCGCTATCACAGCCGCAGGTGAGGCGCTTGCTGCGGCTGCCACAGGGTGCGGCAGCGTGCCTTCACCCAAGCCATCCACGTCCTCGCCGCCCTCGCTGCCCGCGCCACCACTCCCGACCTCACTGCTGCCGCCCTCGTACGCCTCCGTCGCGAACAACACCAGCCCATTTTCATGCAGGTAAACCCGCAGGGGTTCCTGCGCCTCATGCCCCTCCGCCTCCGCCTCCTTCGCTGACAATCCAACACCCCCTGCTCTTGCCTCCACTCCTACCCCCCCTCCTCCTGCTGCTGCTGCACCTGCACCCGTTGCTGCTGGGGCTACTGTCCCGCTCAACACTACCGCCCACACCCGAATGCCGAACTTGCGGCCGCCGATGAGCAGCGGGTCCTCCACATAGCGCTGAGCGAGCTGGGGGGGCCGGGCAAAAGAAGAAACCCAATGGAGGGGTGGAAGGTGGAAAAAAGAGGTGGAAGGGGATGCCGGGGAAGAGGAAAAGGAAGAAGACCATGTTGGCAATGGCAGTGGTAACCCGTGAGAAGACATAGGTATCGGAAGGGCAGGATACGGTACCCTCTATACATGTACAGAAAAGGGATGCTTGCTGCGGCCCTTGCTACAGCTTTGCTACGGCCCTTGGCAGCCGCTATGCCAAACACGGTACCGGTAAAAGATGCCGCCGAGACAGCAGCAGGAGGCCAGCTTAAGGAAGCGCTGCTGGCGTCTTGTTCGCAACATCCGCGCCATGTTAGCAATTGTAAAACTCACCACAAAGGGCCGAGGCCGGTCGGGGTCCCGTTTCCCTCGCGACGGCAACCCGCCGCCTCCACTGCTGCTGCTACAGCTGCCACCGCCGCTACCGTCACTGCTTGTAGCGCCAACTCCAGCGATGCTTCTCCCCATCTCCTCCGTCTCCGTCTTGTACGACAGCACATCCGCTTGCCGCTGCAACACAGCAGCGAGGGCGGCCTCCTGCGTTACCAGCTGCAGCCCCTTACCTGAGGCCCGAGGGCGGGGATGGGTTGCAGCGGCAGGAGGGTACGGTAGGACAGTGTGACGTACGGGGGGCGCTGGAAAGGAGGGTGGAGGAGGCTGATGTGACCACCCAAGCCGTCGCACAGCCCTCGCCGCTCCATCCCATCACCCATCTTTTGCAACCCAAATTGACCCATACGCCATATGTTTGGACGGCGCAGTTGATTTAACACTCCGTTTTTGCGGCCTTGTTAAACTAAACACACCGACCCACCGACCCACCCAGGTGCTGTGCCGTCTTCAGCATCCACAGCCGCTGCCCCTCCCCCTCCCCCTGCTCCTGCTCCCTTCCGCCACCCGCCCCCGGGGCAGCGCCGCAGGGATTGGCTGCCATCCACTGCCTCCACTCCCTCAGCTGCGCCGGAAGACGGAAGGTGAGCGGCATCAGGCAGGCAGCACCGGCGGGGCCGTAGGCCTGCATGGAAGGAGGAAAGGATGAGGTGGGGGGTGGGGATGTGTGAAGTTTGGGGAACAATTGTCCCTACTTGGTGTCACCAGGTTGTCGTACAAGGCACAGGCCGTCAGACGGGCACCCTGCACGCAAAGATAAAGCGCCAGGAACCTACCCCCGCCCTGGCCACCCATCCCAGCCCTCTCGCCCCAGCCTGGTCCGCACCGCCAAATGCCCGCCTGCCCAGCCGTCCCCTTCCCAGCACGCCAGCTACCGCCCCAGCAGCTGCAGGTCCCCCACCACCCTTCAGGTCACCAGGAGCTCGTCAGATTGTTTGCTAGCATCATTAAACACCTTGGGATACTTCTTTTATCCCAAGGGTATCTTCCCAGCCCTTCCGGACCAGGTCAGTGTTTGACCGTGATCCAGTTGAGCTACCCCCCCAAACCAGCCCATCTCAGCCCAGCCACAGCAGCCACAGACCAGCCACAGACCACCCGAGCAGCCACAGCGCGCCTGCATGCATGCCAGCAAACGTACCTGTGTGAGGGTGTCCGCTAGGTTCTGCTTGCCGCTGAGGCTGCGGGTGCCGGGTACCGCGCTAAGCAGCTGGCGGGGGGAGGGACCCTGCTCCGCGGCCTGTGGGAGGAGAAGAGAGGGGGGAAGGGTGCGTGGGTTCGGATGGGAGAGCGGGGCAGGGAGGAGAGAGGCGCTGGGGGAGGTGACAACGGAGTAAGGGTTACAGTGAATGCACGCCAATGGCGAGAGAGGAGCACCCATTTCCCATTCATTCACGCCCCTCATGACGTCTCCTTTATTCCATGCTGCCTCCCTGCTGCTCCTCCCTGACATCTTCCCCCGGACAAGGAACCCGGTCGGGTTCGGTGGGTTCGACCGGAGTTGGTCGCTTAGTCATCACATCATAACCATACATACAGAACCAAACATACAACAGACACATCCACCAGTAGGACCTGGGTAGGATGACGACTAGGGCAGCCCCGTTAGGTCAGTACACCACCTCCTGCATCCCCAGACCTCCACCTAGCCCTCAGTCCACTCCCTTAGCCCCCCCTTCGGAACACCCCTCCCCCTCCCCGTTACAACAACACCCCCGCACCTGCATGGCAGTGCTGGCCGGGCTCCACAGCACCTCCCACCGCCCCAGCCGCTGCCACCCCAGCGGGCCCCGCTCCGGGTGCTCCTTAGCATGGCCGCCCGCCCGCTGCCCGCCTGCCGCCGCTAGCGCCGCACGCACCAGACAGTCAGCCCCGCGGCCCTTGAAGAGCTTCTCATCGTGCCAGAAGCTGCGGGCGGGTGTCGTGGGAGTCACGGGTGGGTCGTGACGGGGAAGGTGTAGGAGGAAGGCGTGTGGGGCAGGGAGGTATGGGCGGTGGCTGGTGAGAGGGCAGCCGGGAGGAGAAAGTGGAGAAGCAGGTTCACAGAGGAAGGAGCGGAAGAGCTGGAAGGCCCTGTGTACGTATCAGGGAAGCAGGGAGTGGGAGCAACGGGCGTGGCTCGTCTACTGGATAATGACGCACGCACCGAAAAAACGTTACAACGCCGGAGCCCTCCGCTTTCGGGGCTTCCCCAGATGTGGGCAAACATGTTTGACCGGGTGCCCCCTCCTGTTGTCGTTGCTGCTGCAAGTCCGTCCCTTGTTGATGCAGCTGCCGCTGTTGCTGCTTTTCTGGCTGCTCCTTGCGCCGAACCACCTGCTCCTCCCTCCTCTTGGCAAGCAGGGCGCGAGTTGCGGGCTTCAAACTGTATGAGTGGGCCTTCCTGGGTGGTTGATGTGGTTCGTGCTGCAGAGAGGGTGGAGGCGAGGAGGGCAACTGAGGTGACGGCTGTGCTACAGAAGGCGGCTGATTGGGCGTCTTTGGTTGGCTGGGAAGAGGTGAATCGCCATCGGCTCTAGACCCGTGTCGCGATGCGGTAAATGCGCTGCTGGACCATGGACCCGACCTTGCGGCCGAAATGCCTCCGACATGTGAGACCGGTTTTCCCAAGAACTCGGAATAACATGTTTTCTCCTTAGGACTGGTGTAAGGAGCACTTGGGTTCACCCTACGTCTCGCGACGACGGATGCTGGGGGCGACGCACGAATTACCATTCTTGGCGGTTTAATACTAATGCAAACCTAGGAATTTAATTGTACAATTTGGCCCGTAAGTTCATGGGACATAAGCGTAGGTTGCTTCAGGCGACCTTAAACTTGCGCACATATGCAAGGTCAAATGTGCATAGTAGCAAGAGTATTTCCCTATTTTGTATATAACCTCGTGCCATTACACTTCATATACGTTTAGAATTGCCTTGTACGAGGCCAACCGCCCGGCTACGGTATGCTTGCCGGCTTGCAATCGAATTGCACCCGTGTGCCCGGGATATTCCCCCCAGAGGTGGGGGTTGAATACTAAGACAGCACCATAAGGCCCATAGGGTTGTGCGTCGTACTTGAGTCGTTCGGACTCAAGTACATCCCTGTAAAAATCGCATTCCCGGGAGGTTCCTCCACAGGTGGGCTGCGGCGGGGGCAAAAGGGGACTGCCTACGAGGTTGGGCGGGTCAAGAAGACTGCTGAAGCGAGCCAGCTGGAGACCCGCCTCTAACCCCGAACCCCTTAGAGCCGCCAGAAGGCAGGGATGCCGGGATTGCGTGCAGTCCGGCGTCCTAGGAAGCTGTGAGGGTCCCCGTCTATTCGGCCGGTTGGGGCCTCGACGGAGGCCGGAGTAAGGGACCATCGCAAATGATATGTTAGCTGTTGTCCTTGTCACCAAACTGACGTGCATTTCAGGGGGCTTGCTTATCTTTGACGGATTGCTGCTGCTGCTGCCGGTGTTCCCAGGTGCAGGGTTAGCGGCCACAGCCCCACGTGACGTGCGCTGCGCTTCTGCATGCGGAAACAGGAAACAGTGCAACTGCGTATCAGGACTCTTACAATATCTTTGTGATGTATTGTTTTGTTCTCTACTGACACCTCACAACCTAATAGCGATTCAGCAGCAAGGGAATGTAGCGAGACATGATGGCTTCCATAGGGGACAGGAAGCGATTCAGCAGCACTACAGCAGGGCCCACCATTAACATGTAACAGCAGTAGTCACAGCACCACCCAAAATTTATAAACGTGGACAGCAACGGGGTTCACAGTCAACTAGGAATTATAATAATAGTAGGGTTTTCATCTCTTAAAAACAGTTTACTCTCAGAAAATCGGGCCACAAGAGCGATTTCTGTTTGGTCGTCCAGCACTCTTGGCAAGTGTCCTGCACAGGCCTCCTGTCTGGTATATCCAGGCCAACAGCAGCACCAGGGCTCCGCACCACCCAAGCGTCCTCCCCATCTTTTCCTCGGTAAAGAGTCCCTCACCGAAAGCACCATCCCGCACAACATAACTCTCTATAGCGCGCATTGTTGCCACTCCGCTCTTTTGACTCACCGGCTAATCCGGGAAGCGACGACAACAACAAGTGTAGGCACGCAAACTCTCTCAGCTAGACGTCCAGCCTACTTCCTGCTCCTCCTAATCAAAGCAAATCCCATCACATCCATGTTCTCATGTTCCATACCGCCACCGCGGCGCCGTTGGGCGCTCAGCACCATCGTGCACACATCAATTGCCGTGAGTCAGTTCCGCTCGACAACCCAACCACGCCATGCGGCCTCACACCCGCCGGGGCAGCAGCGGATCGCGGCCGTGTAGGGGTCATCTCCGTCATCACTGGCGGTGTTAAGCGGGGAGCAGCAAGGCAGCCCCGCATGTCAGGGCTTTTGCAAGATGATGTCTGCATCAAAATCTCGCCCATTGTTCGCGCACAAGCTGCTCCAGGTGAACGACATATCAAGGGATAAAATACCCCCCAGAACACATACAGAGCGGCCGCTTCCTTGGACCAAGGCGCAATCACAGCCACCGCCACTGTTCCTGACCGCCACTGACCAGAATTGATCAGCGATGGAGAATAGTACTGACCGCAGCAATAAGCAAGCAAACGTCAGAAGCAGCAGTTGGTATTGGAAATAGCGCGCCAGGATCATGAGAACAGTACAAAAGGCCCTATGTTTACCCCATACCCCGAAGACCGCGGGTACGATACCCAGGTGATCCCCCATCGAGCAGCCGGTGATGCAGCTGCGCCCCTTCACCTCTCCATTGCACCACAGCACAGGAGTGGGGCCACAACAGCTGCATGCTGTTCGATGGGTTGGCAGGATCAATTAATAAACACAATTAGGCAGAAGCGGACCGAATGAGATCCATTGTACCCATCAGCCCCTTCCACGCCCCTGAATTTAACAATAAACGTTTTCGCGTGCCTTGTCCCTTAATAAAGGGTCGCAAAAGTGAAGTTAAGCCGGCATACAACACGTCGGAAAGCCCACAGGTTGCTTCCAACCAAGCTCGATTAGCGGACAGGTTACGCGCCTTTGCCGCCGTGATTTTGTTTCTGCAGATCGCTAATCAACAAGCCCACAGGCACCTTATGCATTCCAACGCTGCCTGCGACATGTGCAAGGAAGAAACCACCCGTCCTCCCCATCCTCCTCTCCCCCTTGATAATCCCCCTGTTCAACCACAGCCACCAAAAACCCAACAATCGATGGGAGCGGACACCCCTCGGACATCCAACGCCGCAACCCAGCAACGTGCCAGCGCGGCGGCGTGCGCAGTCAACAGCAACAGTGACGCGGCTCAGGAGGCCAAAGGGGCGCACCAACCAAGCCAAAAGGTTTCAGAACCCAGCGATCAACAAACGGCTCTCTTCGCACGACAGTAAGCGTATTGAATTCGCAAGGCAAGTTCAAAGGAGCATCCGGGGGTCAAAATTTTGGCAGCTGATACCATGTGGCTGTGTCGGGAATCCTCCACCACTCAGCCTCACAGCAGAACCGCAAACCACCCGCAGCATCCCTGAACTGCAACGTCGGAAGGAATCGCTGCACAATCACCCTTGTGAAAGCAAAAAACCAAAACACGCAATACAACACAAATACCAACACTAGGCAACACCAAATGATTTGAGGTTCGCACCGCAACGCCCAACAGACGCGCAAAAACCGACACAATTCTCGGGTTCAACAAGCCACGCGGCTCTCCCATAGAGCGAGCGAGGGGTACAAAAGCAGCAGCATGACGAGCAGCCATGCAAATCCCGACCTGCAATCTCCTACTATCCATGTTTGTTTAGAGATGATGTGAGCGAAATGAAAGGGAGCGGCGGTAACGAAGCAACGCATGCACACACGTTCGCGTGTGCATACGCGCTGTGCACTATATCTTGTTGCCCACAAGCATTATCTAGACCGGCTTTTTCTTCTTCTAGGGCCGCCAGAGGGCAAGGGCAGTCAAAGGCTATCGCACCGATCGCCAAAAGCCATAGCCGAAGCTGCGACGCTCGCCCGTAAGGGACCCAAATCCGATGCGCACACAACCCCGTCCGGCCAGCATCAGCGGGCAGTCATAAGGAAAACAACTGTCCGTGCACCCGGGAATGGCAGACGTGCACCGGACTGCTGATGTGTGACAGGACGCCACCAAACAACACTGGCAACAAAGCCAAGACTAAGCCCACGCAAACCACACGCAGCAGGGGATCACACCGGGTTCCATGTGCAAAGTCAGTGAAGGTGGGAAAACCGCCATAGCATGCGCCCGCTTTGCCCATGTCCATTAGGCCATGGTACAGAAGCTGGGACACTATAAACCTCGTAATCACGCGAAACGCCGGCAAAGTACTAGAGCACAATGGATAATACATTCATAATGCCGCATCATTCGTTTACGGATTGGTGTTCAGGCACGCGAGTATACCAAGTCGGCTAGTGGGATTCCGACCAAGCCACGAATACATTAATGAGACGGGGAATTCGTGTAACGTTGATAAGCCAATTGTCCGGCAGGCGCCTTCCAATCCTCAGTATGCCGCTGCAGGAGGGACAGCAGCCGCAATGGGGCCAACAGGACCGCACGCCGCACCAGCTGCTACCCCGAAATACCGGAGGGAACTGCGCTGATAGGGGCTGTCGCCGTTGCACGGCGCGCAACCCTCAGGACCCGCAACCTCCGCCTCCAAGGGTTTCGGCATGGAGGCGGCGGCTGCAATAGCTCCCATCGCTGTAGGCCCCAGCGGCGCATAATCCTCTGCAGCCACTGCCCCGGTCACCGTGGCCGCCGCAGATATGGTGCGACACAGCGCGCCCACTCCGCCCGCACTGCCAGTAATGGGACCGGGCGGGGATCCGCCGGCAACACCACCAAACATTGCAATACTGCTAAACGCCACATGCAGGGTCGCCGGGTTAGCTGCCATGCGGGTGCTGCCGTCCATGGAGGAGCACTTGCCGGGGCGATCGGGGGCTGCAATGGCAGCCAAGGCAGGCGGCTGGGGCGGCTGCGGCACCGGGACGCCGAGCAGCTGCATCAGCTGGCGACAGCCCTCCGCCGCGTCCTCGTCGCGGGTGGTGGCGAGCAGGCGTGTGAGCAGCTGCACGGCGCCCCAGGCCTTGAGGCTGCGGACCACCTGGGCGCGGTAGGCCGCCAGGCGCCCCAGCATGTACAGAACACCTGCGTAGCCAACAGGAGTGTGAGAATTAAGCGGCAGTAAAAGACCCATGCGGGACGCATTGGTTGGTGAAACGGTGTTAACGGTAGTTGAAACATGCACGGGGGTTAGTTAGCTATACGGGCTGTACCCTAAAAGGCAAAGACTCCGCTCCCCGCCGCTGTCCCCATCAGCAGTACTACTCACCCAGCGTGACCACGACGCTGTGGTTGGCCTGCAGCACCCGCAGCATGGCCAGCAGTGCCGTATCCTGGCAGAGCTTGTCGCGAGAGAGGCCGCCCTCCGACAGCGCGCTCAGCACGCAGGAGGCCGACTGGCTCACATCGCTGCGCTTATGGCTCAGCAGGTGCAGCAGCGGTGGAATGCAGCCTGGAATGGCAGCAGGATGACGAGGGGGCAGAAATGTTATGCGCGAACCAGCCAGCTACCCCACAAGCCGCCCATGCCATGAATGCTCCAAAGCTGCTGCCAAGCAAGCCTAGTCAGGCAAAGTACAGTGTTACGGTACCGGCCAAGCAGCACATGGTACTGGGAAAAAGGCACTGTGACTGGACTCACCCGCCGCGTAAAACATGTTGTGGAAGACGCGGTGCTCCGAAAGGTTCACCAGCACCGCCAGCGCCGCCTCCACCACGTCCACCTCGCAGCAGTGCGTCAGCAGCGGCACCATGCGGAACACCGCGTTGTGCCAGAAGCTGCCCTGGCTGCTGCTGCCCCCCGCCGCAGAGCTGACAATGGCAGATGCCGAGAGCAGGAGCTTCAGGGCCCGCAGCAGCACATGCGTGTCCGTGGAAGGGTGCAGCAGCTCCGAGGCAACCGTGAGCAGCGCGGGCTCCAGGAGCTGCATGGAGGGGCACCGTGCGGTGGAGCTCGCCAAGCCAGAGGAGGAGGCACCTCCCGCCGAGCCGTGGTCCGAGGGCTGCTGCTCCTTGCAGCCGGGAAAGCCGCAAGAGCCGGTGAAGGAGCCAACCGGCGACACCAATGCAGTGCCGCTGGAGCTGGTCCCGCTCGGAGCGAAGCAGAGGGCGCGGCATGTGACTAGGGCCTCGGTTACGATGACGCTGCTGTGTCGGTTGCTAAGCATGGAAAGAAGGGCACCCTTATTCGGGTGCTGCCACAAGGACATCTGCGGCGGGGGAGGAAAGGAGATTGGCATTAAAGGGGACAGTAGACGAGCAGGAGGGTACATGAAGCAGGTTTAGGAACCGATGGACGGGGACGTCAGACTGTGAGCGATGAAGCACAAGGAAAGTGTGCCAAGTTCATCAACCAACGGCCGTGCAGTAAGCGTTATGGTCGTACCTTATCCTTGGCGTCATTCTTGCAGAGGCAGCAAATCGCCTCCAAGGCACTAATTAGCACTTGCTGGTCCGTGGCCCGCCTCAAGATGTCCAAAAGGGTATCAAGCGCACGGAGTTCATGGCAAACCCGGCGATTAGCTTTGTCCAGCAGCAGGAAGCTAAGCGTGTGAAGGGAGCGCACGGTGCGCGTAGGCTCCTGCTCCGCTGCCAACATGTTGAGGAGCGGTAGAAGAGCGCCACTATTCCTGTGTTTACAATAGCCGAGGTAAAGTGGCTGTTACAGCAAGCAAACCAAGCATGATACCAAGAGGCATTGCATCGCGACACATTTGCAAATGCTCTAGGCATACTACCTGCAAGCTGGAGTCTTCAAGACCGGCATCTGAGCTGACGGAGCAGTGTTGAAGTTTAAGGTGGCCTCCAGCAGAACTTGCTTGCACAGGGAAATCCTCCGCGAATTGTTCTACGCAATGAAACAGAAATTAATGCATAACGTTACAGCCATGGCAGCAAGAGAAATGTTTAATATGTTCATCCACATCCAAGTCAGAGTTCAGCGTTGTGTGCGTCACTACCTAGCGCACCTGTTGTTCTTCAGCCTCGCCAATAGATGTAGAGGATGTATCCGTTGTCACGTCGCCGCTGCACGTTGACCGTGTCCAAGAAGGAACGAAAAATGCGCCGGAAGGCTCACGCCGAAGACCGCCCTCTGGCGGCAGCAGTAATTGCTCCATATTACCGTCAGGTGAACTGCTAGCGAAGGTAAAGGGCACTACGGGACTGAGCCTGACGCCCCGCCGGCCAGAAACGAGATTTTCGACTCCATTTCCTCTGCAGAGACACACAACACCGGATTCTCATATTAAATTACAGGGCTAACGAAGGTCTAGTCACAACGCCTGAATGAATGCCCCAACAACGCAGGATAACACACTGATAAGCTGCGCACGATTCCTGAGGTAATGTGCAGGGTGTTCACATCATTGCAGCCGAGACTAGTCCCACCTGATACCAAAGGCTCAGCTGCCTATACCACAAGGTAAAAGCCTTACAAAATGGTGCGCTATGATTTGCGTGCCTAGTAAATGAGCTAATAAACCGAAATGAAGAAGAGCGGCTATCCTTCGCGTGTTTGTTACACGTGTCTTTCCATCATACTGGTGGGTTCAGGAAAGCATAATTCTGCCAGCAAATATGCCGTACAGCTCATGTGACAATTATGCACGTGAGCGCCAACGGACGACAGCGATGCGCCAGGTCACACCTCCAATAGACAGGTAGCTCATTGGCCCAGGTAAACATAAATCAAGCGTTTACCTAACGTTACTTTCCAGTCGGGCAGTTAAGTGCACGAGCGATACGACAGTTACACGACATCAAGCATCCAGCACCGCAGCCTGCTGATTGTCGTGCGTGGAGGCTGGAATAATCCAACTACTAGGAGTCAAACGACCCATATGTTTGAGGTATCGGCTTCAACCATTATTAGCAAAATACCCAGCCAGCTAGGCTGATCCAAGCTGGGATATTATGGTTGGATACCAGATCAGGTATGATAAATTGTATGCACTTCTGCAAGAGACGTGCTAGGTAGAAAACGGGTTCATCTCTATCTACCTGCTGGCAAATGGCGGCCCAAATCCGTGCCCGGTGACACCAACACTATGAAATGTCGTACGGTGGCAGACGGTGGTAAAGTGCCTGGCTGTCATGACGTATCGCGTGACTGACTCCTCTCGGACGGCCACAGCACACTTCCCCACAGCTACAAGGCCAGGTCAAGGTTCTTGTCGCTGCAGCAACTCTCTCACCCAATGCCACGCAGAAGTCAGATGCGGTCTCACACAACTTCCCTAGACTTCAGCAACAAGGATTCTAACTGGCCTGCACTTGCACGTGGCCCGCACAGCAAGGAGCGTACGCACGGGCGTAGGTGGTCCGGCGCGCCACCCGCGACTTCTTGAATAGGCCACCACAATGGGGGCACAACTCAGAAGTAAGGACATGAAGGGGCATGGTATATTAACGTACATGCACTTACGCCATGGTCCTCCAGGTTCTAACAAGTGTCAGCCTCCAGCATTGCTTTCATGCGGCTCTGGTGATATGACAAATGCACGGATAAAGTCAAAGAAGCCCATACCCTGACACTTCCCGGTTCCTTTGTTCAACGAGAAGAAAGGCAACACGGTCACAATGCAGTAAAATGGTATGGCTTTGCACGACCAGCAGCATACTGGATCAGCACATCACCAACAACACAACACGCGTGGCCTCTTGCGAAGCCCATGCTTTCGCCGCTTTCGCACCGCTCCTTCCGAACCCTCTCATCTGCCTCATCAGTGGAGCCGTCCTTGCAAACTAAGCCATGTGCATGCAGCAGAAACGCCAAAATGTCAGAGGGGGGCAGTACGGCTGATCAGGGTCGCTCGCCGTACAAACGCCAAACTCCCCTACCATCAATCTTAGTCAGGGTAGCGGCTGCCCGCGAGGTCGGTCGGTAAGCCCGAATAGGCACCACAGCCACAAGCAAGGTCTCGAGCTCTGTCGAGCACAACACACGCATGCAATCTACTGTCCGGTGCACTCAGCACGACGTCAGCAGCATTGGCATGCTTACCACCCCCACACAGCATGTACCTTTCGAGATGGATTGAATGCATACACACACACGCACGCGAGCACGCACACGCGGCCATATAGCTCACGCACGAACGAAGGAGACGTTGCACAATATCCAGCAAGGCCCCACTGTTCAAACGCTTTGGTTGTTTTATAACAAGAAACCAAACAAACACACAGTCAGCTGCCCGTCAGGCGGTGGCTTGTGCAGCAACCCCATTCGTTCCGAAACCATCCCCCCGTCCACCGCGACGAAAAAGAAGGCAGGGCATCACACCCACAGCGTTCCAGGCATCCCCACTGCGATATCCGGCCATCAAGCAAAATCGTTTCGTCCTATCTCTGCAACATTCCGCATCGGAAGGAAAACCGCTACGGGGAAGGGTGGGCCAGATATGTGTAACACGCAACCCGCCCAAGATATTCCTAGCTTTCAAGTCAACTGCGGCCATGGGTTCAACAGGAAAACAACACAACTTGTGACTGTGTGAAATGCAGTTTGTGTGAAGCCAAAAAGAAAATGCGGGAGGTTAATAACGACCGTTCAACAGGTCACGCTAGACGTAATCTACTTTGCCACTTCGGAAAGCCCAGAGGTGAAAACCCGGATCACTGTGTTAACAATGACATTTGCCGGCGCACCAAAGTCCAACAGAAACAACTGACAGGTTTGTAAGTCGCCATTAGTCAGCATTTTGCGTTCATCCACGCACAAATGCAGCCTCCCCCAGCAGCCCCCTCCTACCTTACAAACACACCACCCCAATGGCAACAAGCAGCAACAAACCCAAGTAAGGCTAGCGCAAACAAATGAGTCTTACGCAAGAAGAATCCCCCCGTTGTTCTTCAATGTACTTGTCAAGAAAACGCGCTACGCCGGATCTATGTAGGTCATAGGGATAGCCACGAAGGCGGGGTTGGCTGCTTTTGAAGGTTTTCCTGCCTGCCTCTGTCTCTGTACCCGCACCCCGCTATAATGCTAAACCGCGCCCTCGTCATAGAAATGGTTCAACGTATACCCCGGCTGCCTCATTCACTCTTCGGGGCCCCCAAAACTGTACCGCACTGCGTCGTACTTTGCAACCTAGTGGGCGTTGGCCCCAAGTACCGGTATCCAACCATACGAGCGAGAGAATACAATTCATGTAGGGCCTTCCTAGTCCTGAAAGCACCCCATACACCCCCAACAATGACCCCCATAACTTTACTTTCTGAAATATTTTAAAGAATACTCGTGCGCCAGCAGCCGGCAGCAGCGTACCTTGGTATAGCCTCACAGCACTTGCTGAGCGCACACATCCAGCAACACGTTTTTTTCGATGTGCCTCGTAGCCCTTCATGTCACAGGGCGTCAGATGCCTGGTAGCGCCTCAGCCTTTCTGTGAGCTCCGCGATGTGAGCCTTCTGCTCGTCCACCACCGCCTGCAGAGCCGCGATCGTCTCCTGCGGGAGGCAGGCAGGTGGGAGGCAGGGAGGAGGCAGGGGTTGTGAAGCAGCAGGACAGGTGCATGGCGTGTGATGTGTGGGGCCATGGGACGTATGCCGTGGGGTAACCAACATGCAAACCGGGTGAACGAACATGCAAACCGTCGATCTTTAGAGGCAACGCGATCCGCTCAGCTACGACAACTCGACTGCCGTAGCCAGGGCCGACCGACCCACGGGTCAGTCCGGGCCACTTCGCCCCGTCCCCCCCACCGCTCCCTGAGTCCTCACCCTCTGACGGCTTCTGAAGCGCTGCTGTGCCACTCGGTTGCGAGCGCGGCAGTCCTCCTGCTCAGGTAATGGAGGCATGCAAGCAGGTGCTATTCACAACGAATAAATACGATACGATGCGATACGATACGATACTTCAGTAAGCCCGAGGCTAGGCTAGGCTACGGGCGGCCGAATAAGAGAGGCACGTGCCTAATCTAGAAGCGTGTCTGCTGGAAGAGCGGGAAAAAGCGCGAACGGAACGACACTACCGGTAACGTAACCGTTATTTTCCAATACACACCCTTTACCCACCCTCTGCTCCGAAGCCGCCTGCGCCAGACTGCTCTCCACCTTGACCACCAGCTCCCGCAGCGCCTCCTGCTCCAGATGGATCTTGCCATGGGCGGCGCCTGGGGGGGGGTGAACATGCATGCAGGGTCGCACAGCCGCATGGATGAAGACCCATGGGTCACGAACGTGTGCTGGACACTTCACAACTACATACGACGCCGTGCACTGCCGTCAAATACCGGGTAACTGAAAAGCCGCCCAATGGCGCACGCATGTAAAGGTCGTCGTGCCTAAAAACATGGTAGCATTAGAAGCACAGCCCTTGCATGTGGAAGCTCATCGCCCATCCCTCCTCCTCCGAACCGTTTTCCAACAGTCATGCTCCTAGAACTACCCACGGTGCTACTCAGCCCCACAACGCTCTTCTCACTCTTGGCGATCTCGGCAATGGGGCCCAGCTTCTCCATGACCTTGGGCCTGCGGCCCGGCCGACTCCGAAACCGTGTCGACAGCATCTTCAGGCCGTCATCCTCCGAAATAATCTCGGCAGCGGCGGCAGCAACTGGAGAGGTCATCTCCGCGGCGGTAGCAGCCGCGCCGGATGGACCCCTTGTCGTGGGTGCCGTTGGGGAACCGCTACCCGCTGTTGCAGCAGCAGCAGCGTCGCCAGCATCGCCGTCAGCAGCACCTGCGCTGCCGACGAAGGCAGCTGCCGCCGCTGCTGCTGCTGTTTCAGCGCGTTCCGCCGCCGCAGTCGCGTCCACCTTCGCAGCTTTTGCTGCAAAAACGGTGGCAGCACTCCCGACAGCAGGAGACGCAGGAGCCGGGCGGCGCGGGGATGGGAGCAGAGGTGAGGAGGCACCCAAGGATGCGGTGCTCGACTTGCGTGATGGCGACGGCAATGCAAGACCTGCTGCAGTTGTTGCGAGGGAGGAATCGCCGCCGTCGCCGCTGCCAGCGCCGCCGTCGGTAGCGGGGGCCTCAGGTACAGTCGGCCCGGCGGTGCCAGGGGGGTTTGTCGCACGAATGGGGCTCACCGGAGTACAGGGCGAGGAGACGAGCTGTGGCTGTGGAGACACGGCGACCCTTTTCGGCCGGCCGCGTTGTGGCCGTCGCTGCTGCTGCTCCTCCGGCTGCTGTTGCTGGAGTTGCTGCTGCTGCGGCTGCTGCCGCTGCTGCGAATGGAGATGGTTGTTGTATTGCTGCTGTGGCTCCAGCATGCCCATGTCTGGCGTTGCAACGGGTGCTGCCGGGAGGCCTACCGCTGCCGGCGGCTGCGGCGAGCTTGGGGGCGCTCCTCCCAGTGTTTCAGGAAAGAGCGTGGGGGGCGGTGTTAAGCCCAGAAAGGCTGACTGGCCCAGCTCTGACGCGTGCGGCTGCATGCCTGTGGTGAGGCATTGGTTGGCTGGCAAGACATCGCACAGCAAGTGTGCCACACAGCCATGTGCGAGGTGCGGCGCGGCAAACATGTCTGTGTCAGCAGGTCCCAAAGGTCCGACGCCAAAAAGCTGCAGACCGGTGCCATATGTGTTACCGCAGCTGGAAGGTCCATCTTGGATTTCGCAGCTGGGCCGTGCTTGACCAACAATATACTTGCCTTTAAATTCTCCATGTCCGGCAAGGTGGCTTGCCCCAAAGGCGAGCGGTAGCGGACCATGTGAGTTACTATTTGTATCGCGGTAAAGGCTCTGCAAAATTTCTGACGTATGTTGCTCGCCGGGCGGTGCCATCGTCCTCAAATAGTCTATACCGCCTCCGGTGTTGCCAGGAGCAGCTACCGCCAAGCTTGGGTGGTGGAGAGGTCCCTGTTGAAGTGTAACGCTGTGCCCCACGGCCTGATGTTGTGGATGCCTTGGCAGTTGGTTCCCAACGGCGACCTCTGGAGTCCATCTGGAGGACCAATTTGCAGCAGTTGGTGCTGGACTTGAGAAGTTGAATGCACTGCAAGATACCCCCTGGCTATGCTGGTAGCCCTGGGACAGCAGCGCGTCGCGCGACGTTTGTAACATAAAATCACTAGGCTCAGACGCGACGCGGACCAGTTCACGGCGAAACTGCAACTCAGGTGTGAATTGTGGATGCCAGCTGAATGCACTTGTGTTGCAGCCGGAGGTACCGGTACAAGAATGTCCGGTAGCCCCTATGCCTGGGTAAAGCTGGCCAGTTTGCGCCATTCCTATTTGAGCAGGAGCACTCATGAATGTTTCAGACCGCTCCAATTTATTAAGTATGCCTGAGCGGGCGCGCGAGTCGTTGGGGTATCTGCAGAGCAAAAGCAAGTGTCACCGGAAAAGCCCCAACTTCAGCAACCACAAGGTATATTTAGAGGTCTATGCACTCTAAGAGGTAGCAAGCTATTTACATCTACGGATGGCAGGCCTGTCTAGGCCCTCGGTCATAGATTCATCCGTACCATCCGAGGATCGCCGGAAGGACTACCCCATATCCGAGTCTTCCAAGCTTTATGGATATAGAACAGCATTTTATATTTAAAAAGCTTGGAATATCATAGCCCTTCAACGTTTGGACCTCGCCACGGGCACGGCCGCACGACACGGATGCGGTCCCCTTCGAAGTTTGGAAAGAGGAGACTAGGCCGCATAAGACGCGCGAGCGATGTAACGCCACATTTCCTGAAAATGAGGCACTTCCTATTTTGTTTTGCCATTGTCATTACTCATTAACGGGCACCTGTACATTACGTACAGTCCTCAGAGGACTTCCTTGCACATATCCCCAAATGCGTATACTCTGCTATAGTTAGCAATGTGAACAACTTGAGTCCATTCTTCTTATAACAATACTTTCGGTGATCGAGAGCTCCCGGTACTGTTATTATAAGTAGAAACGCGCATCCAGGAAAGCGCGTAATTCCTTGAGTTATACTTCGGTGCTGTCTACCGGACGGCCTCAACGAGATCAGTGCAAACTTGGTATACGTTGCCGATGACAGGCGGATTCGAACGGAAAGGACTGCTTGCAGGGCAAGGCACAATCATATAATTTCCCGCGATTATTGGCTATTGCGTCAGATTGCGTAATACCTTTGTTACCGAACGCTGGAGGCGTTAAGGATGTCAGGAAGGGTTTAGCGCACAGTCGGGAACATAGGTCCTCAAAACAATGCGAGAAAACATCAGCAAAGGTGCCACGTCATCATCAGGAAAGCTTCCTTGGAATGGCATATGTGGAATGATCGGCGCGACACCGGCGTGTCCCTGCCTTGTGGGTTTTTTGACCTGGTTAGGCTCACCTACAGGGAAAGGCTTGCTGGCGCGCAACGTCATCATCGGTTTGCACTGCTTTTGCTCGGTTGCCAAAATACTTATTGGCTATGTTGTTGTGACATGCCCCATGGCGTCGGCCCTGCCACATGCCTCCAAGCCACATCCTCGGTGTCACCGTTATACCGGTACACGCTCGAGCATCGCAATCCGCAGCGCCTCGCAGCTCTGCGGCTGCCGTGTCAAAACGATACCAATTTTGCATGCAAGCCTTACGTGCATGCACGCATATTGTAAGGCGAGAGGCAACGGTCACCGGACCTCAACAACAACACCCACTATCAACCCAACCGGGAACAACGGAAGCTACAAAGCGCCGTACGTCGTGGCATGTCCTCCTCCTACGCACTGTGCGAGTCGCCGTGTTTGTGCCTCACGTGTCTAGTCAACACCGATCATGATGGAACGCACACAATATAGCAACAATGTCAAAGTTGGGTAAGAGGTCTAGGTCTCGCAGGTAATGTCCAATCCTAACCATCCTAACCCCACCGCTGACCCTCACCATCGCAACTGGAAAGCAAACACCACCCTTGCAGCAGCTGTCACCGCGGGCGCTTGCACGCATAATGGATGTGCCCCGGGCTGCTGAAATACCCCCACAGGGATCACGAGGAGTCTAATCACGACTGACTAGCTGGACGAAGTCAACTATCCTAGCACAGCCGCCAGAGCACATGTGTAAAGCATACACACACATACATACATGCGGCCATTGTCGATCCCTCTGCCGTGCTAAGTTGTGGCAGCAAGAAACGCACCACATGTCCAAGATGGGTTCCGTCCACTGATATCCGGAGTACAAAGCCATTTAAGCAGGGCAGCCATACCACGACCAGGGCTCCTCCCTGCCACGGGCTACACGCGGTTCCTCCTCTCCAACCGGTTCCACTTCTTCTAACGCAAGCAGGCGTGACTACGGACCCGGAACAGGGCCACCTATCGCCATCCCTGCTGTCATTGCATGCGCAGTTTCTCTCTGCATCCCTCGCTGTCCCTGGGAACCAACCCTCCCTCCGATAGCAGCTACTAGGAGGAACATTCCAAAACTGTAGTACGCTCAGCCTCCTATGGCAGTTGGCGCATCCTTTAATAGGAGAAGGCGCATCCTCCTACTCTGATACCGGTAGTAGGCCTGCAACCGTAGCAGGCGCACCCTACACTACTGTAATCGCGCCCTGTGTCGCGTAGGCCGTTCATTGGTGCGGAACTCAAACATCTGCAGCTCCCCGTAGTTGGAAGCGGTGCCCTCGGACTGGGCCTCGAAGGTGGCGTTGTAGGTGAGCGGGGTGCGCCTGGGGAGAGGGGGGTTGGGGTGGAGGCAGGGCGGGCGGAGGAGGGCGGGGCGGGGTGGGGGCGAAGCCGGGGGGCCGAAAGGGGCAAGGGGGGTATCTTTCTTAGCAGGCATGCAACTAGCAAAGTACTGGACCAGGAATGAAGCCATGTAGTAATCGCCAGCAGGCGCCAGCAGCAACCCTCACTCCGTTTACCCAAAGCCATCCACCACACTCGGACCCGCCACCACCCTCTGCCAAACCGCGACCCACTTTGACTCGTAGGCACTTCGCCGGGTGTTGCGCCTGCGGTACAGTACCACTCCCACGATCAGCAGCACGATCAGCAGCAGCGCACCGCCTCCCGCCCCGCCGCCCACAGCGGCAAACATGCCGCTGCTGCTCTTCTTGGTAGTGCCGTCTGCGGGGTGAGGGCGGGCCAGGGGCGGCACAAGTGACCCATGGGTCATTAGCGAACGGGAACCCGACGTAGGGTGCGTTTCAGTAATGACGGTTGATGAGAGGCGGTAGAGTGTGGCTTTACGGTACGTTGGTTTGATCTGGATTCAGTTGTAGTTTCGCTTTGGCAACTGCCAAAGTGGCTTGACTTGGCAGTTCCCCAGCTCACACCACCCCAGTTTCCAGACTCGTCATGGATTCATGTTTGTCCGTAAACCCCTTGACAGACCACCACCCCCCGCTGCACCTGTTTGTGTCTGCTGGGCGCCCCCTGGAGCCGGGGAGTTGTTTCCGTTGTTAATGGGGGAGGAGGAGGGGGAGGGAGCAGGCGAGCCGCCGCTAGGCGAAGGCGAAGGTGAAGGCGAGGAGGCGGATGAGGCGCCGGGTGGCGGGGGCTTCTTGGCGGGGGCTGGAGAGGGGGAGGGTGGGGGCCGCTTGCGTGGGCGCGGCGGCGGGGCGGGCGGCGACGGGGGCGGCGGTCGTGGCGGCTGCGGCGGCTTGATCTTGGCCATGGCGGTGTTCACGTAGGTGCTGATGTTGGTGGGCACGCCGTTGTACTGTGCGGAGGTGGATGGGGGGGGGCGGGGGAGTTACCGGTAGGAGGGGAGGGGAGAGGAGGGCGAGGAGGAGGGGGCGGGGTTGACAGGAGAAGGAGGAGGTGGAGGGGATAGAGGTAGCAAAAACGCACAACAGGAACAAGAGTACAAGGGGCGGTGAGATAAGCACGTCAAAGGCCGACCCATGGTTCGCTGGACACGGGACACGGGAGGTGGCGTACGACAAAGGGAGGGGCTTGCGCGTTGTGGAAGAGGAGCAGAGCAGCCTGCACCCTGCCTCCCACCTCTCTCCACGAACCCCCCACGCGAGCTGCCTCGCTGGCCCCTTCCTCTGCCGAACCCTACCCTTACCAGCATGATCCCCTTCCTCTCCCTCCTTTCCATCCTAATGCGGTGCGTATATCCCTATATATCCCTTCTTTTCCTTCCTTTCCTCGTCGGCATGTTTGCCAGCCTCATTCAACCCATTGGGTATCCTTCTTTTCCTTCCTTTCCCCTACCCTGCCCTACCCTGCCCTACCAGGCACGTCAGGTCGTACAGCTGCTGCAGGTCATCAAGGTACGCCACCCCCTCCGGCAGGGTGGCCCCCGTGGCGGGGCACACCAGCCCGCCGCCACCGGTCACCGTTTGCGGCTGCAGGGCGAGGGTGAGGGGGATGTAGTCGTAGGGCGAGGCGAGGTAGAGGTTGGCCAGGTGCGGCAGCATCCAGAGGGGAAAGGTGGCGTTGATGTGGTTGGAGGAGATGTCGAAGAGGGGCTGGGGGGGCATGGAGCCCTGTGCAGAGGGGGGGGGGGAAAGAGGGGAAGCGGGGAGGGGAGGGCTGGGTATAGCATGCATGCATACTCGTAACAGCGTAAAAGAAAGGCTGCTAGGCTGGATGATACTCAAGCCGTTACTGCAAATATTACTCTACCCTCGTTCCTCCTCCTCTTCCCCCCCTAACCCCACCTGCAGCGCCTCGTCCTGCACCGCCTGCAGCAGCAGCTGACGGAACAGCCGCATGCCCCCCAGCCCCGACCCCAGCTCGCCCGTCAGGGCGTTGTGAGAGACGTTGAAGTAGAGCAGCGAGGAGTTGGCGGGCAGGCGGGAGGAGACGGCCTGGGGGGGGGGAGGTGGGAGGTAGCGGGAGACGGGTAATTGGCGTGGGGTCAGGAGAGGCTGTACCCCTTCCCGCTGCCCGACCTGTGCTGCGGGCTGCCGCTGCTGGTGGCGGGGAAGTACGAGGGCAGCTGGCCGGGGGCGCAGGAGGGGGAGCAGGTTAGAGCGGTGCTTGGCGCTGACGCCTCCATCGGCCCTTGTCAGCTCTCCTCCCCACCCTCCCTTAAGTAAACCATGGCTGGCGCTGGCCCTCCACCTCGCCCCCCTTTCCCTCTTGTTGCCAATCATGTCGTGTTACCAACACGGTCGTTCCCTACGCCTCCCCCCCTCCTCCCTCACCCATGCGGCTCAGCTTCATGTGCCCCCCCACCTTCATGTCCAGCGTGAGGCTGTTGTCCGCCAGGTTGAGGTCGATGAGGGAGGGCAGCAGCACCACCTCGGGGGAGCCTAAGGGAAGGGGGGGAGGAGAGTAGATAAAGAGCGACCAAACCATATGAAACCAAAGGATACGGCAACGCAATGGGTATAGGGGGCGGCAGGGGGTGCAGGGGAGAGGAGGGAGGTACCAGTACGGCAGGAAAAATAATGGGCCCACTGGCCTGACCCAAATGTAACAACCCCCCACCACCTCCGCCTCCGGACCGTCGGCGCGGCGGACTCCCCTCGATGCACTACGCTACTCGGCGTCTTCCTATCGCGAATGGCCATGGCTGCAGTAAGTCTCATCGTTACGGTAAGACCATTTCTTGTTTTGGCTTGACTAATACGGGTGGGCTGGGATGGGCCAATTAGCAACCCATGGTGGAGCCTCGTCATTCAGTTTGTCAGTGTTTCTTTATTTTTACCACCTCCGCCTTCACATTCCCCGCCCTTGCAGCCTCCTATGCGGTCCCCTCCTTCTCCCCCTTCCTTGCCCCATACTTAGTCAGCCTCTCCTCCTTCCTCCCCCTCCCTCCCTCGACTCCCCCCCAACTCACCGCCCGTCAGGCTGTTGCTGCTGAGGTCGCAGCCCAGCAGGAAGGAGCTCCAATTGCCGCCCGGGAGGGGGCCGCTCAGGTGGTTGCTGGCCAGCCGCAGCACCGTCAGAAGCGGGTTGTCAGTCAGGGCTGGGGGGGAGGGAGGGGGGGGGGGGAATTACATAAGTGAAACAACCAGGAGCGGGGGGTTCGATGGAGTTTTGCGGCCAGTTGCGGACACCATCCTACGATGATGCAGTATGTTCCTACTCGCGGCCAGATTCTTGACACACTGACACACACCCTTCCCATCCCTTGGCCCAGCATTGCGAACACGTGTCAGCTGCATGCACACTCGACCGCCCGTTCGCGCCTCCTCCCCACTCCTCCCCGGCCCCCGTTTGCCCCTCCCATGCAGGCTCATCTCTCCCCTCACAACCATCCCACCACTCACTGGCGGGTAGGGAGCCGGTCAGCTGGTTGCTGGACAGGTCCTGCAGACAGGGGTTTTGTAAACAGAGGGCGGCAGCAGCAGCAGGGCGGCGGCAGCAGCAGCAGGGGGCCGTGAGGCAGCGAGGAGGGGGCATGGAAGGGAAACCAACCCGCTGAAACGGAGACCACAAGTGCGGGCAAGGCAATAGGGAGGAGGGAGGGGTGGGATGGGGGGTTTACAGGGTATAAAAGATTGTGGGGGTGGAGGGGGATGGAAAGGGTATGCGGCACAGGTAGGACCCGGCAGGCGGGCAGCGCCCCTCTACCATCCCTCCCATTTGCCGCCACCCCCAACCCCCCTCCTGACCCCTCCCTCGCACCAGCACTCGCAGGTCGTTTGCCACGTCCAGGGAGGGCGGCAGTGGGCCGGTCAGCGAGTTGTCAGACGCCTTGAAGACTTGCAGCTTGGTGGGGAGCGGGGGGATGGTGCCTGGGAGGAGGGGGAGGGAGAGGAAGAGGATAAGGTTTAGATATAAGTTACAGACTTACCACTAAGAGGGAAGAAGTAGGGGAAGGGGGCGGGTAGGGGGTGATGGGCATGCATACAGATTTTGCGCAGGAAAAGGCCCCTCCACACAACACCCTCCATGCAAACCCCCTGCCCAGGATTTCAGTGCTTCACCTTTCCCCCCTCCCCCTCCCACCTGTGAGGCTGTTGCTGCTAACATCTAGGTAGGTCAGGTTGGGCGCATTGATGAGGCTGGCGGGCAGGGAGCCCTGGGGGCGGGTGAGGAAGGAGGAAGAAAGAAGAGGAAGCGGGGGTGGGGAGGCGGGGGTGGGGGGGTAAAGTATGCTGGTACCATGGTGGCAGTATGCGTCGGGAATACACAAACGTCCCGCTCCATCCGACCCACGGGTCACTCTCCCCTCTTCCCCAGTCCTTCCACCCATGCCGCATGTTTTAACGCGGCTCAGTTGCAACTACCCCCACCTGGAATCCCGGGTTGCTGCTGGAGGGCCCCGAGGGCGGCCCATTGGCGGCCAGGTACAGCGCCATGAGCGGGCAGCCGGGGGAGGAGGCAAAGGGGGCGGGCAGCTGCGGCAGGGCGCCGGAGAGCAGGTTGTACGACAGGGAGAGCTGCAGCAGCGAGGAGGAGGTGAACATGCAGGCGGGGACGGTGCCCTGAGGGTAGGGGGGAGGAGGCGGGTGGGGAGGGAAGGAGGGAGGAGGGGGTAGGAAGTTAAGTGGATGTGTCCGCTCGTACCGCCACACGCCCAGCCTTTTTCCTCCCTATCAGCACTGCTTCAGTACAACAACCCCTGATTATTCTCCTACCCGCCCCCTTGGCCCCTCCCAGTTAGCACGGGTTGGCTTCTCATTGGCCCTCCTCCTTCCCCTCCTTCCACCGTCGTTTACAGCATGGTTTCTCTTCCTCTGAACCCCTTCCCCGCTCCCCCCCCTACCGTGAGCAGGTTGGAGTCCAGCACCAGCACCTCCAGCGCCCCCCCGGCCAGCAGCTCGCAGCCCAGCGGCCCGCTGAGGGCGTTGCGGCCCAGGTAGAGGCGGCGCAGGGGGCCGCGGGAGGAGGAGGAGCCCAGCAGGGGGGCTAGCACGGAGGCAACGGAGGAGAGGGAACCTGGGGGTGGGGGAAAAATGAAATAAGTGAAACAACGAGTCCCAATCCCATATCCCGACTCATGCAGTGAGCGCATTCGGAGACACTATCCTAAACACCTGGGGGTGGGGGGGTGGGGGGTGGTTAGGGTTCCCTCTGGGAGGAGGGAAAAAGAAGAATTCCCGATCGGAGGGATGGAGGGTGAGGATGAACGCCACGGGGGTGCAGGGTGAGATCGATGACGGCGCTGGACACATAGCAGCCAGTAGCATGGAGGTCTGGTGGTTTGGGGTTCCCCCTCCTGCATGTGTCCTCACATAGGGGCTTTGATGAGCCGAAGACCTGCCTCGCCTGGACCCCTTCCGCCCATTGTCCCTCTCCCAACACATGTCCTTTGATAATCCCACCTCAGCCTCTCCCGCCCCTCCTCCTTCCCACTTCCCGCCTCGCCCCCCACTTATTATCGAATCCCCCCCCTCCTCACCGACTTGTCCGTTGCCCGTCCAGTCCAGCACCTGCAGCGCCGCCAGCTGCCCCAGCTCGGCGGGGAAGGAGGGGCACACGAAGTTGCCGGTGTCGCCGCCCGTCAGGACCAGCTTGGTGAGGTGACCCTGGGGGGGCGGGGAGAGAAATGGGGGGGAAGAAATGGAGGGTCAAAGACCATACTAAATCATAGGAAGCCGCAGGTTGGGGCAGAGCAATAGGGAGAGGAGGCTGTAGGGAAAATGCGGGGGAGGGATGGGGAGCAATGGGGGGAAGGGAAAGGAAGAAGAGCAAGTTGGGAATGGTAGTAGCAATCCCTAATCAACGCCCCGCCGGGGCATGGGAGGGGAAGGTATGGGAGGGGGGAGAAGCGTGGGAGAGGAGAAGTGAACAGCCAAGGGCGGAGTGGGAATGGCCATTCCACCACCGTTGTGTGCTTTTCCTTTCCCCCTCCGCCTTCCTTCTTCCTCACCCCTAGCCTCTCACCCAAAACCTCCTTGCCCCTCCCCATCCCCTCCCCTGCCCTCACACACCTCACTGTTGCACATGTTGGGCGGCTGCGCGCACAGGTCCTCATCCGCCGTCGCATTGGCCGCCACCGCCGCATTGAGCGTGTTGCAGGAGTCGGGCAACAGGTCGTCATCGGGCGAGCAGCACTGCGCGGCGATGGAGGCCATGAGCGCCACCTCGGAGGCCGCCAGGCGGGGCTGGGAGGTGACGGTCTGGATCTGCAGGGGGGCCAGGAAGAGGGGGGGAGGGAGAGGGAGGGGGAGAGGGGGAGGGGGAAGTAAGGTTAAGCGGACCTCAAGGTGGTAAGATGGGACCGGTCCACACTTCTACAACCAAACCCACTCCCTTCCCCCTTTGCCCGCATCACTTCCCCTTCCCCCCTCCGATTTGGACTCCGTTCCTTCACGTTTTGATTGTGTTTTCCTCCCTCCCACCAGGAGCTCGTCGGCTTGTTTGCCAGCCTCATTAACGTCTCATTGGGTATTCTTCTTTCCCCCACCTTGATGGCGTATGTTGACAGCGCTGTCCCCACCGCCTGCACGCTGAGCACGTAGTTGCCCGGGTAGGCCGCCAGCTGCGTGCGCTTGAGTGCCACCACGTCCGCCCCGATGCGCTCCGAGGAGGAGGCCACCACGGTGGAGCGGTTGGGGGCCAGCAGCTGGCTGGAGGGGTGGAGGAGGCGGGTTGGGTGGGGGGAGGAATACATGATAAGTGCAGCAAGTGAGCGGGAGGAGAGGGGGGAGGGGTGGGCTTGGCATTGTTTGCCTTTACCTCTTTTTCAGCTGTCTCTGCGGTTAGTTGTTTATGCCCCGGGACTGTGGGGCCCTTTGCTACAGCCGTGCCCCTGTATCCGGCAACCTCCACACCCACATGCTCCCCACCACCGGCCCCCCCCCCACCGCACCCACATGTCCACATCTCCCTCCTTGGAGTCCACTGCGATGACCAGATCGTAGGTGGCGTTGGGCGCCACGGTGACGAGGAATTGCGCGTAGTCGCCGTAGGGCAGCGGGTCGGGGACTGCGGGGGGGGAGGGAGGGAGGGAAAAGGAAAATGAAGAAAGGGAGTCCCAATGCCATATGCCGAATCATGCAAAAGAGGAGGGGGGGGAGGGCCCGCGTGGAGGAGACGGCCAGGAAACTAGGAACATGGGAAACTAGTTGCGAGGGCATTAGGGACGAACCAGGTGTTGGGTTGGGAGTAGCGAATGGGCGTTGAGTCTAACGCTGGCCCCGTGAGGGAGATTGGTCATGCCCCAGAAGGACAAGCGGATTAACGAGGTATGGGATGATTGATGGGCAACGCAGCCCGCACGGCTTTGACAGCCGGGCATGCTGCAATGAAGGTCACTCCGGATAGCCTATTCTGGCAGATGATTTTCCCCCGAATGACCTACCTTGGCAGTTAACCGGTAAGGTCGCGTCACCCTCGCAGTAGGTTTGTAGGTTTCCCATGTCGCGGACAACCGCTGAAGCCATCCACAAGCTGCTACCAAGGAGAAACAGGGTAGGCCAAGCCCGCATGACCATCAGTGCCTTCATCCTTGCTTCTAGAGTTATTCCGGGAGAGTCGCTAGTTGGTGTCGGTCAGATGGCAACCGCATTGACTGAGGCTCGAAGGGGAGGTAACCCCATGTCGAAGCAAATTAGTTCAGCTTTTTATACATATATATAAGATATGCTTATAAATAGGTACAACTCGCGAAGTAGGCAAAGGTTGGCGACGGTTTGGTCGCAGAATGAATTCGAATTGCGTCGTCAATCGGGAATAGTAACAAATAGTTCGACAGATTTGTGGAAAAGCTGAGTTGCGGCAGAACGTAAGCCAATATGGCGAAACAGAGATACAGCAGCTGATGAGCAGCTGAAGTATACTAGCAGCCCTATACCCGAAGCATCATCAATTGTGTAACCAATTTGAATTAATATACTTTCCAGGAATTAACGTCCTTGGTGGCAGCCCCCGCCTCTCCGAGCCGTACACATGAACCTCATCGCGAAATCGACTTTGCTTGTAAATGCAGGGCAGCCACGATAGGAAAGCTGGATGGGTCGGGATGGGTTGGAGTCAATCTGATGAAAGCAATTGTATTGTTCGTGCCCCCCATGCGTCAGAGCACACACGCCGCGACACCGGCGCCCTTCAAGTGTAGCAAGTAGCACGCAGCACCGCCAGCTGCCACTCCAGGACCCTTCGCACCGCCGGCTGTCCGTAGATCGTGAGGAGCAGCAGAGACAGGATGATGTTGGGCGTAATGGGGAGCGAGACGCTGACGTTCTGATGATTGGCAGAAGGATGCTTGGTGATGGCAGTTTGCTTAAAAACAGGCGTGTTCAGCATGAGGGCCCCTTAGCCCCGTGTGGCATGCCCACACTTCTGCCAGCCTCACCACCTCCGCAGCCCCAACCTCTGCCGTGTACCACCTCCAAAAGTTGCAAAGGCAGCAGCTCAACCAACTAAACTGCATGCAACCAGCTGCATGCACCCCTTCACCGCTGACCCACATCAACCCGCAGCAAGGCGCCCCGCGGCCACAGCAGCAGCCCGGAGTCCAAGATGGCCATATACGTACGGCAGTCCCTCTTGCAAGCATTACCGGATTTGCTTCGGCACTAGGCTGCACGCAAGGACTGTCCCTTAACTCTGTTGATCCGCTCTTGCTCCAAGCCAAGTGGAGTCCGAGTGCCCTAGTACAAAACAAAGCCCCAGGAAGTGCAACCCCAAGCATGCTCCCCCCTAACACGCCCCTGCACTCCTCCTTCCTCCTCAACACACCGAATGCATAAAAGCCCATTTCTAAACACAAGCATCCATCTCCCGAACGCACACGTCTCCCACACTCATCACCCTAAAAGCGCGCGCGCCCGCACACCCCGTCAAGCAGACACATTCCCTTCTGCAACCCCTCTCCCCTAAATACCAACCAAGTCGATCCAAGTGCGGAATAACCATCCCCACTAACTCCTTCCCACACCTGCTCACCACCCGTATCCTCACCCACAGCACCGCCCCTTCTCCCCAGGTGCCCTCCCCATGATGCCCGCACCCACCTCCTCCTCCTCCTCCTCCTCCTCACGACCACCACCATCACACCCTACGACCGCGCCTCCGTCTGCTGCCGCAGCAGCCCCCCCTACCGCCCCGCTCCTGCCGCCCCCTCCCGCAGCAGCCCCCCCTACCGCCCCGCTCCTGCCGCCCCCTCCCGCGGCAGCCCCCCCTACCGCCCCGCTCCTGCCGCCCCCTCCCGCGGCAGCAGCTCGCACTGCGCCACGTGCTGCAGCAGCTGGTCCGCCAGCACCAGAGCAACCATGGACTCAACCATGGGTACGGCACTGCAGGGGGGGAGGGGGGGGAGTGAGAGAAGGGGGGGGGGCAAGAAGAGGAAACCCCAGCCATGTAACATGGGTGTTAGGGTTCTTGATGGTGGGTATTTCTCGAGGTTCAGTTGTAATGCCCAGCACAGCACCCCTCCTTTGCCCAGCCCACCCTGCAGCCCACCCCACCACTTCTTACCGCGGCACCACGCAGGGGTCAAGCGCTTATGTGGGTCATGTCGCCTTCCTTACCCAGCACAGCCCCACCCCACTCAGCACCCCTTCTCCACCCACCGCGGCACCACGCAGGGGTCATGTCCCCTCCCCGCCCAGCCCCCCACCCCTCACATGTTGCAAACCATGAGGACGCCTTATCACACAGTCCATTAGTTGTTTCCTCTTTGCCCCCCTTACCGCGGCACCACGCAGGGGTCATGCCGCCCTCGCGCCCGCAGCTCCGTCTCCGTGCCCTCCCGCGTGACGGTGCGCTGCTTGATGGAGATGGTGGAGGTGGGCTTGAAGGCCACGCGGATGACAATGTCCTCGCCGTTGCTCAGCCCTCCCTGCACACCGCCGCTGCGGTTGGTGCGGGTGCGGACCTGGAGGGGGGAGGGGGGGAGGGGGGAGGAGAGGAGGGGGGGGGTAGGGGCGTGACTCCTATGTCCTGACCTTCCATGTAGTAGGGCACAGCTTTTGTCCCCCTTACATCCCTTTCCCCTTCCTCCTGGCTTCCTCTAGTACCTCCCCCTCTCCCCCCTCCCTCTTCCCGTCTTCCTTCTCGTCAGTTTCCTCATTATGAACCCTCTTCCCTCCCCTCCCTCCCTCCCTCCCCCAGCCCTGTCCCACCGCCCTCACCCTGCCCTGCTCGTCAATGTAGAACTCGTCGTTGTGCTCCGAGCCCAGCATGGCGGCACCGCGGAAGCCGCTGCCGATCTCAAAACCCTGGGGGCAAAAGACCATACCCATCCATGGGAAACCACAGGTTAGGTCAACACCCTGCCCTACTTTACCCCCATTTAGGTTTTAACCCTTCTACCTTCCGTTGTTTCACCCTTACATAATGTAAACCCCGCCCCCCCCCCACCTTTGTCGCGGGCAGGCTGAGCATGGCCTTGGCCAGCTCCGCCTCCAGCTTGTCGAACACGGGGGCGCCCAGGCCGCGCGGGCAGCGCCGCACCACGCACGTCACCTCGCCGCCGCAGCTCTCGCCGCGCACACGCACCTCGTTGATGGCTGGGGGTGGCGTGGAGGAGGAGAGGACAAGGGGAAAAGTGAAGGGGGGGAGGTGCCCGTCAGCATGCGAGTCACTGGGACGCCCTCAGCTCAGCAGGTCCAAGGCCCTAGCCCCGGCAGCACCCACCCGCCACCACTCCCCGCGCCGCTCCAGGCGAACAATGCCGCCGTACTATTCGCATCCCGTCTGATACCCATGCCCCTTCCCAGCCCACAGCTGTCCTCACCCCTTCCTGTTGCAAATAACCCCGACAAACATACGGTACCCTTGACCAAACCGTTGGCTTGCCCACCCCCTCCCCTCTCCTCCCTCCTCCCTCCTCCCTCCTCCCTCCTCCCTCCTCCCTCCTCCCTCCTCCCTCCTCCCTCCTCCCTCCTCCCTCCTCCCTCCTCCCTCCTCCCTCCTCCCTCCTCCCTCCTCCCTCCTCCCTCCCCGCCTCCCCCCGCCTACCATCAATCATCTTTGCCGCCGCCTGCTGGTCCGGGCAGCGCACGATGTTGGACTCCACGTCCGCCAGGCTGAAGGAGCCCAGGTCCACCTGCGACTCGATGTCGCGAACCTTGCTTACGAAGGCTAGAACCTGGTGGGAGAGGAGGAGGAGGCGAGGTGGGGGAGGCAGGGAGGGCAGGCCGTTTCTAGGAGGCTGCCGGAGAGTATGAAGGGAGAGGTTGGTGGTTTGGATTGCTCACAAACCCGGTCAACCCTCACCCATACACTCCGCATGCCTCACGTCCTTCTCTACTATCTGCCAGTGAGTAAGATAAAATGGGTTGAATACGGATAACCCATTTACCTCCGTGTCTGCGACCACTTTAAGGAGCTTCTTGGCAACTGCGCCCGCGGCAACGCGGCCGATGGTCTCACGTGCTGAGCTGCGACCACCACCCGCAACCGCGCGGATTCCATACTTGAAGTCGTATGTCGCGTCGGCATGGCTTGGTCGGTAAGCCACCGACATTTCCGAGTAGTCTTGCGACTTTTGGTCCTTGTTGCGGACGACGATGGCAATTGGTGTTCCTAGTGTCACACCGTCCACAACGCCCGAAAGGATCTCCGCAATGTCATCCTCCTTTCGGGGAGTTGTGATGATGCTTTGCCCCGGCTTCCGGCGGTCAAGCTCCAGCTGAATTTCATCCTCGGTGATAGGCAGACGCGGCGGCACGCCATCGATAACGCAGCCGACGCCCTTGCCGTGCGACTCGCCAAAGGTAGTTACACGAAAGTTGTTTCCATATGTACTGCCAGCGGCATTAACCCTAAGGCGTAGGCTGCGAGAAGAATTGCGTGGGCAGCGAGCAAATGCGCGCTGCCCTTGTAAACGTCCGATACTCTGCATTTTTGTATAAACTTTGTACTCTGCAACAATCAGCAATTTGTGATAAGAGCGACTTGGTCTCCGACCGATCGCCGGCTGGATCGTACAGCGCAAAAGCCAGGCTTGAAGCTCCTACCTCCCCCTTTTCCCACCCGGTTGCTACGGACCTCTGGATATACGTCACCTTTATTAGTTACAATGCCATCCTAGCTTTGATCTTTTGTTAGATAGCCTGCATTTACGTCAGCCTAATAGGACTTGCTTGAGGCTGCTTCCGTGACGCTCTACAGCGATCCACGAGAATCATGGGGCCGTTACGCGACCAGGTCAGTGCGGGGATCTGCTGTCCTCAACTCGACGCAAACCCCCATTACAAGCATTCCCATCGTCTATCCAAGGCTTAGAACTTCTAGCCAGCCAGTCCGTAGTGCCCAGCAATTGCCTCACAAGCATTTCACGCCATTAGAACCCACTGCCACGTCTGTGCTGACGCAATTCATGTCACTGCCCTCCATCCATGCAACAGCCCCAGGCGGCAGCGCCAGCTGACGAGCAAAAGCAGCGCAAGTCGCGGCTAAATGAAGACAGTAGCCCCTCCTCTTCAGCCGTGAACGCCATTCCCAACCTCCTAGTCATGACGATTACCGCTGCTGCCGCCGTACTTTGCTCCTGGGCTGCCGTACATCTGTTTGGCCAGCGGCGGCGTCAGCGTCAGCGGCAGTGGGGTCGCGTGGACTGTGGTTGGCGGCCTCAGGAGGGTTTCCGTGTGGTGTTTGCTGACACCAGCGATAAACCCTTTCCCCACCTGCCGCCCCAACCTTGCGAGGTTGGGGCTCTGGATGGCGGCGGCGGCAGCACCGGAAGCATCGTAATAACCAGTACGAAGGACGGAGACGGTGCCTCCGCCAGCATTGCAGCGACAAACACGTCTGCTACGCCCACAGCGGCAGTAGCGGCGGTGGCGGTGGCGGCGGAGGCAGGACTAACAACTGCAGTTCCAGAGCCCGCTACTGGCGGCGCCAGCATCCCCGCCGTCGTCACTCCCACAACAGCTGGAGTCGTACATCCCTACCTGCCCCACATCCAACGCCTCATGGCGGCAACCCACTGTGCCGTACGACGCCACCCGCTGCCGCCACCGCCACCGCCGCCGCTGGCGGCCACGTCAGCAGCCGAGCTGGCGGCGGCGTTGGCGGCGACGGCGATGCCAGGCGTGGACGTACTGCTCAGCGGCGGCGGCGGCGGCGGCGGGGTTTCGGAGGGCGCTGCCGCCGCCGCCGCCGCCGCGGAGGCATGTTGCCGTACAGTTGCCGTCGCGGGTCCGCGGGTGCACTGGGTGTCCTCTCCACAGCAGCTGTATGCGCTGGGTCGGCGACTGAGGCGGGTGAGGGGCCGGGAGGGGCTGGCGGGGGCTTGGGGGGGAGCATTCGGGGTCGGATAAGCCCCTCAACAATAAGCCCCTATCCATTCGCTCCCCGTTACCACCCGTTCCTTTTTCCCCAACTCCAACCCCAACCCCAGGAGCGGCAGGTGGGTTTGGACCTGGAGGCCCACTCGCTTCACTCCTACCTGGGGCTGGTGTGCCTGCTGCAGCTGGCAGTGTGGAGGCCTAGCAGCGGGGGAGGAGGAGGGCGCAGGCAGCAGCAGCAGCAGCAGCGAGGGAGGACAGCAGCAGCAGCCGCACGCGGCAGGGGCAGTAAAGAGGATGGTGGTTATGATGATGAGGAGGAGGAGGAAGAGGAGGAGCAGGTGGAAGGCGGGGACGAAGGGTGTGATGATGGTGGTGGAGAGGTCTGGTTGGTGGATGTGTTGGCGCTGCATGACCACGTGGGGCCGGCGCTGGGAGGCCTCTTTGCTGACCCACGGGTCGTTAAGGTGAGGCGCGGATTGCGATGCTCACAAGGAAAAAGAGGTAGTCTCGGATCCCTTTCTTCGCTGGCTTGACTTGTATGGGGCACTGCTTGCGCGGATGGAAGGTTGTGTTGGCGTTGCGGAGGGTGACAGAAGGTTGATTACCGGTAACTGAGCCGCAGAGACACTGACCCGATGTTTGGGAGGGCATGAAATGATGAGTGCCCTCCCAAACCGCCCCCTATCCTCCACCCACCCACCCGCTGCCCCCCCTCCCCTCCGAAGGTGGTGCACGGTGGCAGCAATGACGTCATCTGGCTGCAACGCGACTTCCGTACCTACCTGGTCAATGTGTTTGACACGGAGAAGGCATGCCAGGTGGGGCTGAGGGGGTGTACATTACCAACATGTACGGCACCTGCACCTGCATCCACAACGGTACCTGCAACGGTACCGGGAACGGTACCTGCGATGCAGTCGTACGGCGGAGGTTTCGCGAGGGCGCTTGGTTTCTTGCTACTTGATACCGGCTGTATGGGCCAGGGGGTGGGCGCTTGGACGGAGACCCTGTTGCGTAAACGTAAGCACCCATTTCTCAACCCATCACCCCCTCCGCTCAGACCCCGTCCTTCCCGCACCCTCCCCTGCCCTGCCTTCACCCTTCCCCGCCCCGCCCCGTCCCTCCCCCGCCCCGCCCTGCCCCCAGGTACTCGGCTACGACAGCCGCGCCCTGTCCTCTCTGCTGCGTCGCCACTGCTCCCTGGACCTGTCAGCCGCAGCCAAGGCGCAGGGGCAGCGGGCCGACTGGCGCCGCCGCCCGCTGCCGCCGCCGCTGGTGCGCTACGCGGCCGCTGACGTGGCGTACCTGCCGTACCTGGCGGAGGTGCTAAGGCGGGAGCTGGCGGCGGCGGCGGCGGGGGTGACGGCGGGGATAGGTGAGGGAAGGGGGGCCGGGTGGGATGGGAGGATGGGTGCGCGTGGGTGAGGAGGAGTGGCCGGGTGCTTGGAGATACAATAGGCGCCCTCACGCTGTCTGCCTTGACACACCGCAGGCTGGTCTGTGCCACCGTCTGAACAGTGTAGTGGGGCAACAAGTGGGACGACGGCGGCGGCGGCAGTGACAGCAGCAGCAGCAGGCGCGGAAGCCCGCGGGGAGGAGGAGGAGGAGGGCGAAGGAGACGGAGGCTACATCCTCGCTCCGTTAGTTACCGTGGAGCCGCTGCAACCCCTCCTCCGGAATCAACACAGTGCGGTCGCCGCCGCCACTGCTGCAGCCTCAGCAGCAGCCCCAGCAGCAGCCTCTCGGCCGGTGCCGACGGCGCTAGGCCTTGTGCTGCTACGAAGCCATCAGGTCAGTCTGACGCTCTACCGAAAGCCGCTTTCGGACGCGGCTGCAATGACGGCAACTGGGGCAACAGTTGGCGGCGGCGGCGGCGGCGGCAGTAACGGCAGTGACGGCGGCACTCCCGCTGTCGGCACGGCTTCCGCCGCCGCCGCCGCCATCCTTAAGAAGTTCTTCTCCGCCGGCGGCGGTAACGGTAACGGCCACGTCAATGGCGGCGGTTGCAACGGTCATTCTCCAACGGAAGGCGTTCCGTCGCCAAAGGTGTCGGCGGCGGTGGCGACGGATGCCGTACATGCCTTATGTCGCTGGCGCGATACGGCGGCTCGACGGTACGACGAGTCGCCTCAGTGGGTACTGCTGGATACGGCAGTGGCGGCGCTAGCGAGCGTTAGGCCGCCGCCGCCGAATGGTACGGCACTGCTGCGACTGGTTTCGGAGCGAGTGGCGGCTGGGAACAAGGTGTGTAGATAAAACCTTAGCCGCTAGGTGTTTGATGTTGTACTTCCTCCGTTCCTCCGCCGCTCCCTCGCTTTTACTTCTTTTGTTGTCATCTTCTTCTTGCATGCTTGTAAAGTGATTTGCATATCTTTTTCACCTACTTTGCCCCTGTGTGACCCGTGGGTCATTCCCACCGTCTCCACGCCAGCCACTGGAATCCGAGCCGTACGCAGCTCGCTACGGCATCAGTACGGCCCTCCGGAGCCATGCAGAGGCGCTGTGTCGTCTCCTTGCAGCCTGTACAGCGGGGAGGAGGAGTATCCCCTTAAAAGTAGGGCCCACCGCAGCAGCAGCGGGTGGGGCCACAGTCGCCGCCGCTGTTGCCGCCGGTGCCGGCCATGCCACGTCAGCAACGTCAGGAGCAACAGCGGCGGTCGCAGGGGTGTCGCCGGCGGCGGCGACAGCTCGAGAGCGGGAGCGGGAGCGACGCAGCTGGTTGATTGAGAAGTTCAGCGCCAAGAGCCAGGTGGGGGGTGGGGGGTGGCGTACTGTGCGGTAGGGGGTGGGGTGGGGGGTTGTGGGGTGTCTGGGGAGCCAGGGGTCAGAGGGAGGAACCAGCACGTTGTGTAGAGGACCACAAGAGCCAGGTGGGGTGGGGTGTCCGCGGCCGAGTAAGACCGTGGCAGGGCACATACATCAACCCGGTAAGCAATTGGTGCTGACTGCAGCCCATTGCTGACTATCCAACCCCTCTTCCCCCCTCCCGCCCCGCCCCGCCCCGCCCCCCCCGCCTCAGGTCTACCAGAACTGCCGCATGCTGAGTCGCGAGGGGCAGCTGCTGTGCTTCTGTGACTCCCGCAAGCTGGCCTGGTACCTGAAGAAGGGGATTGCGGTGCAGGTGAGGGGGGAGAAATAATTGATAAGTGCAGCTGATAACTGTAGTCCTAATCAGGTGGGGGGGCGGGGGGTTGCTGGGTGAGGTGGAGGCGGTGAGGGGTGGTGCGTGGGGTGCGAGGGGTGCGAGGGGTGCGAGGGGTGCGAGGGGTGCGAGGGGTGCGTGGGGTGCGAGGGGTGCGAGGGGTGCGTGGGGTGCGAGGGGTGCGTGGGGTGCGAGGGGTGCGAGGGGTGCGAGGGGCGTAGTCGTTAACTCTTACCCCTCCCCCTCCTCGATTCCATTCACCAGAAGATTGTCGGTTCGCCATCCTCTTCCAACATGTTGGGTATTCTTCTTTTACGTCCCGCCCTTCCCCCTCCCCCTCCCTCCCAGGTGTGCGAGGAGCCCCCCACCATCCAGCTGCTGTTCGAGCACCAAAACACCGACCAGGAAGTGGGTGAGTGATGGGGGCTGGGGGGGGCAGGGTCGCTGGACGCATGCAGGCAGAGAGGAGGTACAGCAGGCGGCTGTGGGGCAGCACTCGCCCCCTCATCCCGTGCAACCCACCCACCCACACAAACACACACATGCACGCACTCCCGCTTCAAGCGCCCCCTCGCCCCATGCAACCCACATACGCACGCATGTAAGCGCCACCACTTTACTCGCCGTCTCGCCACATGCAACCCACACACGCATGCAAGCACCCCCGCTTTACTCGCCCCTTCACTCCATGCAACCCAAGCACGAACACATGCAAGCACTCCCACATTACTCGCCCCCTTGCCCCGTGCAACCTGCACACGCATGCCTCTCCCACCCCCCCCAGGCGCCGACGACTTCTACACCCAGTCCAAGTCCAACCGCTGTGTGGCGTGCGGCTGCTCCACCCACTACCTGCGCTACCGAGTGCTGCCCGCCTGCTACCGGCGGCACATGCCGCCCGAGCTGAAGAGCCACCGCTCGCACGACGTGGTGCTGCTGTGCATCGACTGCCACGAGCGGGCGCAGAAGGTGGGGCTGGTGGGGAGGAGGGTGGGAGGGTGGCTTTTATGGGATAGAAAGGTATATGCATCGGTTTGCTGTACCAGTGTTACACCCTCCCTTCCGCGCCCTTTTCCCTGTCCCTCTACCCCTCCCTTGCCCCACCCCTCCCAACTCTCCCCTCCCTCCCCTCCCTCCCCCCCTCCCAACACTCCCCTGCCCCGTTCTCCCCCAGGCTGCCGAGCGCATGAAGCGGCAGGTGGCCGCTGACTACCAGGTGCCGCTGCTGCCGCCCAGGACACCAACAACAACAACACCGCTGCAGCAGGCAGCAGCAGCAGCAGCAGGGGGAGGAGGGGGAGGAGGAGCTGGAGCTGGAGCTGGAGCAGGGGGAGCTGCGGTTGAGAAGCCAGAGCAGACCGGCCTGGGACAGGGTCCCATTGAAGACCTCCGCAGCGGTGGTGGTGATGTGGGCAGCAGCGGTGCGGTGGGAGCTGAGGCGGATGCGGATGTGGGCTGTGGGCTGCCGGGCGGTGTGCACCCCAGTGCCGCCCGGCGTGCGGCGCTGGCGCTGCAGAAGAGCGGCGGACAGATGCCGCTCAGACGCGTCAGGTAGAGGAGGGGTAAAGAGGAAACAACTAGAGGAGGGGGGGGCGGCGGAGGGGGTGCTTTGTGGGGATGTGTTGGGCGATGTTTGTTGGGCGGCGGGGATGCCGTAGTGCTAGGAGGGGGGGGTCCAGCCATGTGATGCGCCACCGGCTTCAACTCTCACACCTCCCACCATAGTGCAGCCTTGTCAGAGGTTGTCGCAACACTGTAGTTGGTTCTCTTCACCACCGCCCTCCCCCTCCCCATGCCCCCCCCCCTCCCCATGCCTTGTCATACAGCTCGTCAGTTGCTTTGTCAGTGTCTCATCATCATATATATATTTTTTACCCTCCCCATGCTTCCCCTCCCCCCCAACCTCCCCTCCCCTCCCAAGGCAGCTGGAGGGTGTCATCAAGGCGGCGCTGGGTCGCGACCCGGGTGCGGAGGAGGAGGGGCTGCGGCCGGGGGATCTGGAGGCGGCATTGCTGGCGGGTGGGTGGAGGGCGGGGTGGGTGGGTGGGTGGGTAGGTAGACGCTGGGTAGAGGGTGGGCGGGTAGAGGCGACGGAAGGGGAAACCGACTGACCCGGAGCATGATGGCTGGACAGCTCTCAGTGTTCCCTGCTGCTGGCTGGCTGGCTGCTGGTGGTGCGCCCCCCCGCAGGTCTGGGACGTCGAGGTCGTAACAAGTTCTTCCGTCACCAGCAACAGCAACAGCAGCAGGACCAGCAGCAACAGCAGCAGCAGGGCCAGCAGCAGCAGCACCTACAAGAGGAGGAGCAGCAGCCCCAGCCCCAGCAGCAGGGAGACGATGAGGCGGGCGCCGAGGAGGTGAAGCAGCAGCAGGCGGGCATGCAAGCGGGCGACGATGATGGCAGGGAAGCAAGCAGCCAGAGCGGCACCATGAACACTGCTACTGCTCCTGCCGCTGCTGCTGCCACCGCCTCCGCCACCACCTCCCAGGCCGCAGCTGCAGCAGCTGCCGCCACGACAGCTGTTACCACCGCCACCTCTGCCCCCACCGCTGACCGCTGGCTTGACAGTGGGCACATGTGGCACGGCGAGCAGGTGGTGGCACGGGCGCTGCGGCGGGGCGGGGAGGGGGAGCTGCTGCAGCTGGTGAAGCGGTAGGAGGGGTGGGGGGAGGGGAGGGGAAGAGGAAGCAGCTAACTGAGGTCAGGGGAGGGGAGGTATGGGAGGTGGAATTCCGCACAAGCTGGCATTCAGGATTGCAGGCGGGGAGGGGAGAGGAGGTGGAGAGCTTGTGGTGTGATGGGCCACCACAGGTCGCCCTTGTGACAGGGGAGGGAGGGGAGGTCGTAGCTAACCCTTGCTTGTATCGTTTTTCACCCCTCAGCTTCCCACCCCCCCTCCCCTCACCACACTTTTGAATTTCTTTTCCCCCCCTCTCCCCCCCTCCCCAAGCTTCCGCACCTGCTTCGTGGAGGCGGTGCAGCCCCAGTTCCTGCCGCCCGCCTGGGGGGTGGACCACGCGGCACGGCGGGACTTCGGGCCCTACTCCGTGTATGCCAGGGAGCGGGCGGCACGGGGACAGGGACAGGGGCAGCAGGGGGGGCAGCAGGGGGGGCAGGGGGAGCAGGGGGGGCAGGAGCAGGGTCTGGGGCAACAGGGGCATGAGCAAGGGCAACAGGGGCAGGGTGAAGGGCAGGGGCAGGCGGAAGGGCAGGGGCCGCAGCAGCAGCATGAGCAGGGGGGCCAGCGAAAGGGGCAGGAGGGAGAGGTGTAGGGGAGGAGCTGCGGGCGTGTGGGGACGAGGGAGGGGCGTGCAGGTGAGGGGCGGCGTGGGCGGCAGCGGTACTGGGCAGACGACGAGACGAGTGTTGCAGCAGCAGCCGCAGTAGCAGCAACAAGAGGGGAAGAGGAAGCGGAGGTAGAACACTGAACACCTGGCGTATGAAAATAAGTCTAAATCAATTGGAACCTGGTGTCATGTACAGCAGCAACTGGCCGCCGGACTGACACCGACCCACTGGATGAATCCTGGTGTCATGTACTGGGGGGCAACGGAAGCATAGAGGCTGGCGGCGGCGTGGGGTTGCTGGGTGTGGGTCTGCGAGGAGCGCCTGCAGTGCCTGCTGTCTAGGGTGCCTCGTGGGTGCGGTTGGTGAGATGCATAAGAGGTGCTGGCTGGCAAGCATCATGGGCGGGACCGGGTCCGGGACACCAGAGGAGGCGGCTGGCCGTGGGTAGCGTGTCTGGAAGATTCCGTCTGCAGCATACCGGTATGCAGAGTGGAGGAGGGGGGATAGAGAGGGAGGGCTTGGAGGACTTCGGGTCCGGCCAGGGGTGGTCAGGCAGCGCCGTGGGTCTTCGCGTCAGCAGCAGCTTGGATGGGTGAGACAAGGCGTGGGGCCGGCAGAATGGGGGCGTAGCCCTGAGACAAAAAGTCAGACCCTGATGGAGTGATGGGCCTATGGAGGTCATGCTGTGCGGCAATTTGCATGTCACCTGCCAAAGCCCGCCGGTGCCATACGCCTAATGCATAACATGATACATACCAAAAGGTTATATATGCGTATGTTTACGCTATATCGTAGCCTCCGTTGAAAGACAGCGGCGCACGGCGGCACGGGGGCTGGTGCACGACCATTTGTAATCATTGCCGTGGAGTCGTGACTGTCAGGCGCCTCCAGTCACAAACAGGCGCAATACACCTGATCACTAGCGCTTGCTTCGCTTCCGTGTCATTTTGCGCCTATGTCTATGGATTAAAGCTTGCCCACGCGACGTCGATCGCTGAATACATACACCGAATTGGCGCGGGAAAGGGGTTAACGGGGCAGCATGGGGGATTTAGCGCAAGCTGCCATGCTTCTTGATTTCAGCAAGCCTATAGATGTAGGCCTGCTCGATGCGACAGTAAACCTCAGCATGCAGTCCGTCGTTGGAGGCGAGCAGCAGGTGCGCATAGCACAGCCAGAGGCAGCTCAAGATGTCAGATGCTTATGCAATATCCGTCTTGCAGAGAGCGGCTGCGGAAAAGCTGCTGCTGGAGTTCCAGGAGCACCCGCAGGCTTGGACGCGTGTTGATACTATCTTGGAGACGTCTCAAAACCAGCCCACCAAGTACTTCGCACTTCAGGTTGTGTCTATCGTTGATCATGTGTGTTCCAGGATGTTAGTACTGAGGTAACGCCGTTTTGGCGCAGATCCTTGAGAATGTCATTCGCTTCAAGTGGGGGGCGCTGCCGCTGGAGCAGCGAGAAGGCATTAAGAATTACCTTTCCAATCTGATCATTCGCTTCTCCACAACCGAGGAGCTGTTTCGGAAGGAAGCCACCTTTGTGAACAAGCTCAACATCCTCTTGGTCCAAATCCTAAAGCACGACTGGCCCACACGCTGGAAGAGCTTTATCCCGGACCTCGTGGCAGCGTCACGGACCAGCGAGACGTTGTGCGAGAACAGCATGAAAATCCTCAAATTGCTCAGCGAGGAGGTATTCGATTTCTCACGCCTGGACCTGACGCAGGCCAAAACCAAGGAGCTAAAGCAGACGCTTACGGTGGAGTTCAAAGCCATCCACGAGCTGTGCGTGTTCGTACTAAACAACACGCGCAAGCCCGAGCTCATACGGGCCACGCTGGACACGTTGAGCGTGTTCCTGACCTGGGTCCCGCTGGGTTACATCTTCGAGGGAAACCTCCTGGAAATGCTGCTGCAGCTGTTCCCGCAGGCGCCCTTCCGCAACGTGGCGCTGCAGTGCCTGACGGAGGTGGGCAGCAGGGCACATGGGATACGGAACGTCGTGTAAAGTCCGGGGCCATGCATAGCCTAAGCGCCACCGTGTGTGCATCTTGTGCCATGTGTTGTCTGTCTCGCCTAACCGCTTGCCCCGAGATGTCCTGGGGTAACTACATACCTCTTAAGCGGCGTCCGGGTTGAGAATAACCAATCATGCAGTCCCCCATGAAACGTACTCATTCATCCCCATGCCACGTCTTCCACCGCGACCCAATTGGACTGCCGCCCACGACCCGTACACCTGACACCTACACCGCTCCCACGGCTCCCTGCATGTTCCCGCATGCTACCGCACCCGTTCTACCCCCCGCCCGTTCCTCCTCCTCCCTCCATCGGGTATTCTTCTCCCTCCCCTCTGCCCTCCCTGCCTCCCGCAGGTGGGCTCCCTGCAGATGTCCACGGAGTTCAACGTGCAGTTCGCCAAGTTCTTCGACTACTTCATGCGGCAGCTGGTGCTGGTGGTGCCGCCCAACGTCAACATCCCGGAGGCCTACGAAAAGGGCACGGATGACCAGCAGAAGTTCGTGCAGAACCTGGCGCTGTTCTTCACCAGCTTCTTCAAGGTGGGGTTCAGGGTGGGGGTGCAAAGGAGGCTGCGGTTTGGGAGTCCGCGGGTCTGGGTTTGGATGGTGGGGGTGGTTGAGGTGGAATGTTGGGTGTGGGGTGCTAGCGAGTGGGGTGGGTAGCTAGGAAGGGAACCCGCCTTCAGCGTGAATTGGGTCAGGGCGGTTGGTGCTGGGTGTTCTGCTGAAGGGGACTGAAACCGGGGTAGCGATGTGGGTTGTCCAGCTGAGCTGAGCAGCGAAGCGAAAATGGCTCCGCCGATTTGGGTCGGCTGCAGCCATGGCCTCCACTTCGCAGCCATTGCATTGGGCTGCCCGGGTTCCCTATCCAGAGCGCGCATCCCGCTGGGGGAAGCCAGGGCCCTCCTTGCCCCCGGAAAGCTGATGAAAGGGCGGGTAAGGAGGAGCCCCGGGTAGGGAGGAGCTTAGCCCCGTGAGGGCTCCACTTCGGAGGACGGCGGCCGTGGCGAGCGGCTGCTGCTGGAAGTGCGGCTCATACAGCGCATGAGCCCGTGCTGCCTGGGGATGTGCTTGACGTGTTCCCCTGGGGGCGCACGTGTGCCGGTGTCCCTCTGTGCCACGTGCGTATCTCATGTGGCTGGGAGAGATGTGTGTGTGGTGTGGGGTGGGACGCTGCTGGTTGGGTCCTTCCTTTGCTTCCAACGAAGCACGGGCAAGGATTCTTTAGCAAGTCATGGGTTAGCTCACAGCAAAGCACATGGAAAGGGGCTCATTGCTGGCTAAGAAGCCTCGGGGCGGCCTGGGCCCCACGCAGTGGCCTGCGCATGGGCGAGCCATGGCTCCACCGCCTGCCCCTTTGCACACATGCCGGCGGGCAGTGGAAGGCCCCATGCGGGTAGCGGCACGCGCTGGGTCCTTGACGGGAGCTGCGTTTCCTGCTGCTGCGTGCGGATGTTGCTGCTGCTACGGTTGCTGCTGCACAGGCGCGGTTGCTGCGTAGAGGCCCTCCGGACCACCTAGCTGCCGCCGGGTGGGTTCGGTGAGCAGTCGTACACCGCCGCTGGACATGCGCTAGCGTTAAATCTTGCGTGTCGGGTCGTGGCCATGGCCCTCATGGGGCTGTGGGCCGCCATGAGGCTTCGCTGTAAGGAGAGAGGAGGCGGTAACCCACACTGCTTAATGCCGCAGTGAGGGGGCCGTCGGCGGGCGCCTTGGGGCGTTAATTGAGGATGTTGCGCCCTGTTGTGTGGCACCGGGGTGTACAGTCCCGCACAGTCCCTAGATATGGGAAACATGGACGATATGGACGCAAGAGGGCCCTTCCAAGCCGACCCGACATGTCGTGCAAAGCGCAAGCATGCTGCAGCGGGATGCGCTGCGCTGGATATACCGGTATACCACCTGTTATGCTACCCCATACTGCTACCCCACCCGAGCTCCCCTTTGTGCCCTATTCCCACACAACTCCCACAGCTCTCCCAGCACCTGCCTGCACGCTCCTGACCTCCCGCATGCAGGCACCCGGCGTTTGCGCCGCCAGTCTCTTCACCTCCCTGCTTCCTCCGGCTGCCCTTCGCCCGCCTCCCTCCACCCGCCTGTCTCCCTCCCTGCCTCCCACCCCCCTCAGGTCCATATCGGCATCCTGGAGACCCCCGAGCTGCAGTCGCAGCTGCTGGCGGGGCTGGATTACCTGATCAACATATCCTACGTGGACAACACGGAGGTCTTCAAGACGTGCTTGGACTACTGGTGCGGGGGAGAGGGGGAGGGGGGTAAAGAGGAAAACTAAGGAACTGGATGACGAAGCTTTACCAGGGGGAAGAGGGGGGAAAATTATAGATGAAAGCAACAACGGAGTCCCAATCCCCAATCCCGACTCATGCAGTGAGAGGGGAGGGGGTAAAGAGGAAAGAAGAGTGAAGGGAGGGGGGTCGGGCCGGGGTGGTGGAGCATATGATGGTGGTGGTGGTGATGTTGGTGCCCCTGTGTCGGGAGCAGTGCCAAGTCGGTGGGTGCTCTGCTCCCGCCGGGGGAGGCAGGTGTACGGCAGCGGTTGCCACCCGGTTGCGGCCCGGACAGCTGGCTTCCTTGCGTTGTTGGCGGTGCGGTGACAGCCGCATGCCGCTACCAATGGTACCGCCCAACGCTCCATGCGTATGTGAACATCATCTGCAACCACCCTATACCTCCCAACCACCCTGCCTTCAACCACCCTCCTTCCAACCCACCCTACCTCCAACCACGCTACAACCACCCTACCTCCCAACACACCCTACCACCCCCAACCCCCAGGAACTTCTTCGTGCCCGACGTCTACTCCTCCTCCTGCACCGGCGTCGACCCCACCGGCGTCTCCTTCATGTTTGCGCCCCCCGCCACCCACGGCGTGCCTCCCGCCCCCGGCGGCCGCAAACTGCTCTACCGCACCACCCTCTCCAAACTGCGGCAGCTCATGATTTGCCGCATGGCCAAGCCGGAGGAGGTGATTGTGGTGGAGGACGAGAACGGCAACATTGTGCGCGAGACGATGAAGGACAATGACGTGTTGGCGCAGTACAAGTCGATGCGGGAGACGCTGGTGTACCTGTGTCACCTGGACTATGATGACACGGAGCACCAGATGCTGGAGAAGCTGAGGATGCAGGTGGGCAAGGGAGGGGGAGTAAAAAATAATGAGACACTGACGATGCAACTGACAAGCTGTATGACAAGGCTTCACCATGGGGTGCAAACATGGTAGCCGGTCCATCCCACCCTACCCGAAGTAGTCTAGGGGAGGGGGGGGGAGGGAAGGGAAGGGGGGAAAGAGGGGAGCGAAGGTGAACGGGAGGGGAGACGCTGGTTATGCAGGTGGGGAGAAGATTAGGACGGAGAGGGACGAAGGAAGGGGGAGGGATAAGGTAATTGTGCTCTCATCCCGTCTCATGCTCCCCGTATGTTTGCTTCCTGGCTTCCAAGACCCCTCCCTCCCCCACCTCATGGCGCCCTCTGCCCTTCTGAACCGCCACTTACGCACACCACTCTCCATGCACCCCATGGTGGGGCCTTGTCACACGGTTGGTACCTTCCTCGTTACCCCCAACCCCAACCCCCCACGCCCCCCCACAGCAAATCTCGGGTGGCAAGTGGACGTGGGGGGCGCTCAACACGCTGTGCTGGGCCATCGGGTCCATCGCGGGGTCCATGGCGGACGAGCAGGTCGGGGCCCGGGGGGGGAAAAGGAAGAAATTCCAATGTGTGGTGTGATGTGTGGTCCCGGGGGGGGGTAAAAATTAAGAAACTGATGGGCCGAGGAGGGGCGAAGGAGGTGGGGTGGGATGAGGGCGGGGTGAGGGTGGGCAGCCGGTGGGGCGGGGGGCAAAGAGTGGGGAGAAAAAACTGATTACTCCTTCCCTCTCCCCTCTTGACTTATTCTTGTTCTTTTCCCTCAGCTTGTGTGCGCCTCCCCCCTCCGAATCCTGTGCCCTCACACCCCTCCCACACCCCTCCCACACCCCTCCCCAGGAGAACCGCTTCCTGGTGACGGTCATCCGCGACCTGCTCAACCTGTGCGAGGTGATCCGGGGCAAGGACAACAAGGCGGTCGTCGCATCCAACATCATGTAAGAGCAACAGTGGGGCTTGTGAAGTTACGGCAGTAGCAGCAGCAGACGTGGCAGAAGCAGGAGCGGTAGCAGAGTAGCGGTGTCTCGAAGCAGGTGCAGAGCCGTTAGCTCTGAGATTGTGCAGGAGCATGCAGCAGCAGCAAGCGGAGACGAGGGCAAAGGAGGAGGACTAGATGGGCTTCCTTCCTCATTATTGTTCCTCGCCTCCATGTATTGGTACTTCCCTGCTGTTTACCCCTCCCTCTCCCTGTCTCCTTTCTCCCTCACTCCCTGTGTGTCACTTTTACTATGTGTTTTCCTCCCTTCCCCCCTGTCTCTCCCTCTCGCTGCTCACCTTCTCCCCCTCCCCTTCCCCTCCCCTCCCGTACGACAGGTACGTGGTGGGGCAGTACCCCAAGTTCCTGCGGGCCCATTGGAAGTTCCTCAAAACAGTCGTCAACAAGCTGTTTGAGTTCATGCACGAAACGCACCCGGGCGTGCAGGTACGGCATGCCGTGCATGATGGTAGTAGTTGTTGCCGTTGTTGCCGTTGTTGCCGTACCCCAACCAGCAAGAGGACAGCACGTGTCGCTTGTGTGGTGATGACCCTGTTTTTGTGCCTGGTGAAGCCGTACAGAAATAACTTCAGGCAAATCCAGAGATTCAGCCCTTACCTCCCTCCCATGGTGTAGCGCCACTTAACACGTCTCTCCTTCTTCTCCTCCCCAGAAATACATTCAGGCAAATCCAGAGATTCAACCCTTACCTCCCTCCCATGGTGTAGCGCCACTTAACACGTCTCTCCTTCTTCTCCTCCCCCCTTTGCAGGACATGGCCTGCGACACCTTCCTGAAGATCTGCAACAAGTGCCGCCGCAAGTTTGTGGTGCTGCAGGTGGGACAGGGCGCCGTTAGTGGGACACATGCGGGCAGGGAACCCTTTCTGCGACAGGCTGCGTAACCTCTGTTTATACTGCCCGTTGGGAATAACCACATACACACATCATCCTGCTTGCTCTTGTTTCTGCTCAACTACACATCATCCCCCACCCCCACCCCCTGCACCCCTCCGCCCTTGCTGCACTTATCACTTATCTTCCCCCCCCCCTCCCACCCCCACCCGCCCCCCCTCCCACCACAGGTCCAGGAGCGCGAGCCCTTCATCTGCGAGCTGCTCAACGGCCTGACAGACACCATCCAGGACCTGCAGCCGCACCAGATACACACCTTTTACGAGGCGGTGGGGCTGATGATTGGCGCGGAGTCGGACCCCGTCAAGCGGGATGATTACCTGGTGAGGAGGGGGGAGGGAAGGCTGGGTGGAGGGGAGGGAATGTAATTGAAAAGTGAAGCAACGGAAGGAAGGCGGGATGAGGGGCGGGGTAGTGGAGGAGTTGCCCGGGCAATGGGGGACCTGGGATTGGGGAGTAAACACGGTGGAGGGGGGGTTTCCTCCGCACCAGAAGCCGACCGTTGCTCTTACGGCTCTCCTGCAGTGCCGAATGCCGTGCGACGTGACCCCCTCCGTGCTTTTGGTTCCCGAAAACCTGAACCCCCCTCCCCCTGTTACCGGTACCCCCACCTCCGCCTCGGCATCCAACATCAATAGTATCTACTGATTACGGCTTATTTAATGCCACTACGATTACTAATACTACTTTGTTGGTAAACTGGTTCATAACGTTTAACCCTAAACACAAATACACAATACCCTTCCCCCCATCCTCTTCCCCCATCCTTCACCCCGCCCCGCCCCGCGCCTCTCAGCACCGGTTGATGGGCCCGCCCAACACCACTTGGAGTCAGATCCTGGCCCAGGCCCGCGCCAACCCCGACGTGCTGAAGCAGCAGGAGGTGGTCAAGAGCATCCAAAACGTGCTGCAGACCAACGTGTCGGTGTGCTCCTCTCTGGGTCAGCCCTTCCTGGTGCAGTTCAACGTCATATTCACGGACATGCTGCAGGTGGGCGTGTGCGCGGGAGGAGTTAAAAATAAGGAAACCGACGAGGCAACTGACGAGCTGTATGACATGGCTTCACCAGGGGGTGCAAACATGGTAACCGGGGGAAGAGGGGGGGAAGAGGAAATTAACGAGCTGTATAACACGGCTTCGCCATGAGGTGCAGGGTGTGGGCGGAAGGGGGCCGGGGTGGCTAGGGTGGTTGGATACGCTTAGCCACGATAAATACTGACCGTGACCGTGGCATAAGCCACACGATGGTGACGCCCCAGGTTGGGGGATGGTTGGGGGGCGTGTTGCATGGCTGTGGGGGATGTTCTGCTGCCTCAGCAATAGCAGTGTGCTTTTACTCAATGTGCTGAACCTGCTTGATCTAGCGCAGCTACAGCGCAGGCAGACATACGCTGAGCCTGGGTCGCTTCCTCCTTTGACCCCGTTTACCCCCTTTACCCCCCCAACACCCACCTCACCTCCTTCCCTTCCACCTTCCTCCCCTCCCCCCTCCCCCCAGGTGTACCGGCTGTACAGCGAGCTCATCAGCCAGGCCATCTCGGCGGGGGGGGCCAACGCAGCCAGGTTGGGGGGTGGGGGAGGAGGTTAGGTAAACTGAGCCGCGGAAACGCTGACCCTGACCCTAGTATACCGGAGGATGATGGCATCCTAGATGTCGAGGGGTCACAGATAGACCAAACCATAGGAGAACCACAGATGTGGGGGCAAAGGTGGGGGAGGGGGGAGGGGGAGAGGAAGGGGCGCAGCAGCAGTAGCAGCCGGGGAGTAGTGAGGTGGGGAGGGGGGGGCGCAATGTGAGCGGGGATAGCGTCCATATGGATCTCGCTCACTATGCGTAAACTACATTAGCTGGATACTCCACTATATAACACATCTTAATTACCTCGGTTATCCCTAGCCATATCCGCTGGTTCACCCACTGGTCCAACCATCTGCACCTCCCTCGCACACACCTAATCTTCCGGCAATCACAGTACGTTCCGACTCGCGGCCAGTTTCCTTACCATACCTCCTCTTGCCAGCTTCCCCGCGGCCAGCTTCCTTACCGCACCTCCTCGGTCCTCGCACACCTCCAAGCTCACTCCACCTCACCCCCCCCCTCCCCCCTCCCTCCCCTCCCCCCCCAGGACCACGTTTGTCAAGTACATGCGCAGTGTGAAGAAGGTGGCGCTCAAGCTGATTGAGACGTTTGTCGACAAGTGCGACGACCCGCAGCTGCTGGCGTCCGCCTACGTGCCCGCCATGATGGACCCGCTGCTAGGGGACTATGCGAGGAGCGTGCCGGATGCGCGGTAAGGGAGCGGGGGGTTATCCTTATCCCCTTCCCAAGCTTTGCACGTCTTCTCACGCCCTTCCCCTTCTCTGCTTTCCACGTCGTACACCTTCCTCCACTCATGCCGTCCTCTCCTTCCCCCCCTCCTTCGTTCCTCTCTCTCGTTGCTTCACCTTCCATTTCTATTTTCCTCCGTCTCCCCCCCACCCCCCTCACTCCCCCGCCCCTCCCCTCCTTCAGCGACGCGGAGGTGCTGAGCCTCATGGCCGCCATCATCAACAAGCTGCGGCAGCTGATGGAGCCCGAGGTACCGCGCGTGTTCGAGGCGCTCTTCGAGTGCACCCTCACCATGATCACCCGCAACTTCGAGGACTACCCAGAGCACCGGCTGCAGTTCTTTGCGCTGCTGCATTCAATCGTGAACTCGTGCTTCAAGTAGGAGAGGGGGGGGAGAGGGCGAAGGGGGAGGGGGAGAGGGGTTATAGCTTACAGGTGAATTGAGCCGCAAGGAAGAGGAGTTGAAACTCCCAACCATCCCCCTTCCCCTATCATTACCCCCGCTCCTCCTCACCCCTCCCTCCTTTCCCCTCCTCCCTCCCCCCCCAGCACCCTCTTCCTCATGAGCGCCGCCCAGCTGAAGCTGGTGATCGACTCCATCGTGTGGGCCTTCCGCCACACCGAGCGCAACGTGGCTGAGACGGGTCTGGCGCTGCTGCACGACCTGCTGGTGCAGTTTGCCAACAGCGAGTACGCCACGCAGTTCCACCAGACCTACTACCTGCACCTGCTGAACGAGATTCTGGCGGTCATGACAGGTGGGGTAGGGGGGGCGGGTGGGGTTGCGGGTTTGGGAAATTGGGATGGGTGGGGAAGTAGCGCGGGGGGTGACCCATGGGTCGATAGTGGTGTTGTGCTTGAAATATGTGCATTTGAAGTACGCTGTTGTGCGCACTACCGGTATCACGATCCAGCAAAAGCTCGTTAAGATCCATATTGATTCCATTCTGCAACCTTGACGTGTGCGTTTTGTTTTGTTTTTCTTTACCTACCTAGTCTGCCCACCGTCGCCCATACACCCTATGTCATCTAATCCCGCCGCTCATACCATCATACACCCCGCCGCCACCGCACCCCAGACTCCTTCCACAAGCCGGGCTTCAAGAGCCAGGCCCGCATCCTGCACCACCTGTTCACGCTGCTGGACAACAACGTGATCAAGGCGCCGCTGTGGGACGTGGCGGCCAAGGGCGCGGCGGCCTTCCCCACCAACTCGTCCTTCGTGCGGGTGCATGTGGTGGGGCTGCTGTCCAGCTCCTTCCCCAACCTCACGCAACAGCAGGTGGGGGAAAAGTAAATGAAAAGTGGGGGGAGGGAAAGAAAAATACACATTGTGTTGGGGGGAGGGAGAGGGAGGGAGACATGGGGTGTGGCAGGGGCAGAGAGGGGAAATTCAGGTCATGTGGGTAGTTTTATGGGTAGGAGGGGTTTGTACGGCTACCTCTGCTAGTTTGTGTGTGTCGTACTCCTCCTAGCGCCAAGCGTGGGAAATGGGTTGATGTCATGTGGCCCATCCGTCGGGTGCGTTTAAAACCTACACGTTTAACTTTAAACGATTCTTAATGAAAAGTGTTTGGCTCCCAACTGCCTCCAACCACCTTGCCTGCACATTGCTGCCCGCCTCTTCCCTGTCACAATCACTGCTGCCTGTCTGACCCCTCCCTGTCCTCCCTCCTCCTCCCGCTCCCTCTCCTCCTCTTCCTCCCCCTCCTGCGCGCAGGTGAGCGCCTGTGTGGCGGGCATGTTTGAGTACAAGGACTTTGCGGCCTTCAAGCACCACCTGCGGGACTTCCTGGTGCAGACCAAGCAGTTTGCGAGCCAGGTGGGTACCTGTAGGAGGAGGGGCGGGATGTGGGAGGGGCGGGATGTGGGAGGGGCGGGGAGTGGGAGGTGGGGGGGGTTGAGCTGGGGTAAGAATGGGAGGCGGGGAAGGGAAGGAGGATAAAAATGGAGGAAATTGACAAGCTGTATGACCTGTATAGGCTTCACCATGGGGTGCGAACATGGTAGCCGGGCCATCCCGCCGGAAGCATGTTGGTGGCTGGTTGTAGAGGGGCAAAGCAAGGTCGGGCGTAGGGGTGTTGCGCTGGCGCGTTTGGCGCGTTTGGCCATCGTTGGTATTCTATTCTGTTACTGCTTCTGGGTTACTCTCTCGCGTTGTTGTTCCATAGGGTAACAGAAGGTGGAGTGTGTAACGTGCTACACCATGTCTACTGTAGTGGTAACCCCCTGTCCTGCCCTCGTACGTCGTACCCCAAGCCCCATACCCTGCTTGCGCCCCACTGCAACTGCCTCGCAAGCGCCTCCCACCTCTGCCCTGACCGCCTCTCCTCCGCCTCCGCACCCGCAGGACAATGCGGAGTTGTTTGCGGAGGATGTGGAGAAGCAGGTAGTGGAGCAGCGGGAGTCGAGGCAGCGTGTGCTGGCAGCCATTCCCGGGATGATTCCGCAGGTGGGGGTTTGGGTGGGCTGCTGCATGGTGGGTCTTCAGGACCCCTGGATATCGGGTGGGTCCTTACAACCTCTGGGCTGTAAGGAGGTTGTGGGTTGCGGAAGGTGCGGGGCTAACTGCCCATGCGAGGAGACAGGGAACAGGAGATATGGGCGTGTATCGCTTTTGTTTTGCTAGTAGGTGTGGTTATGCGGTTTGCGTTGTTCGCTGACCGGTATGAATGCGTTGTGGTACGGTTACCTAGTAGCATGGAGTGGATTGGTGACGCCAATTTTGGTACCGGTATACGAGACATTTAGAGCGTGTATGTGTTTTGTATTGTTCGTTACGCAGGCGGAGACTATGGCGGCGGAGGAGATGAACGAGCAGTGATGAGGGTACACTGGAGCAGCAGCAGCAGCCGGCAGCAGCAGCACCAGGAGGAGGAGGACGACGTAGCAGCAGCAGCCGAAGGAGACTAGCGGCGGCGGCTTGGGGCGTCCCTGACGCGTTGGTGGCTTCCACAACAGGGACAGCTGGGTGGACCTTGGGGCACCACCTGGTACGGGTGGCTGGCTGTGGGGGCGCCAGGGCGCAATCGGCCCTCCTGGACTCTGCATGCTGTCCTTCCGGTGCGCTGCTAGCCCCTTGTTGCTGCGGATATGATAGCGGTCGCGCTTTTAATGTTTCGAGTTTTGTTTGGTAATGGTAGGAGGATCCGTTTTGCAGCTGCAGTATGGATGCGCTCTTGTGGGAACCTTAACCTGACTTTGTCATTTTCAATGACGCGGCTTTCCGTGAAGGCCGCGAAACGGGGTTGATGCTTAGGGTATGTAGCGAGTCGGTTGCTCATAGTTTGAAGGTTTAGCAGGCGCGGGGCTTTTGGGACGGTAGCTCAAGTTCAGTTTGACAAGAGCGAAGTAGTTTAGGATTATGAAAAGCTTGCGGTTTTGCACTTCCCTGCCTCCGGCATGCAGTAACAACCATATGCAAGCTTGTAGAGTCTGCAGTAGGTCATGAACATGCGAGAGAGACGAAAATCAGCTGCGCATGGGAGCTTGGTGTTGATGCACGCAATGCTGAGTGGGCTTGGGTCGTGGAGTGGTAGCAGGGCTCTTGGTTTCACGTGGATAGCGCAAGGGTGCAAGCTGCAGGGCTGCGGGGGTGCGGGGCTCTATAGTTTTAAACTGGGATTTTGGCAGGTGTGTGCAGCTTGCTTTCATGGGGGGGGGCTTGGGGCTTGCCGCGGTACGGCAGCAGGCCAAATTATGAGCAGGCTATTGTGGACAGTCATTTTTAGCACATGGGTTTGTGCTCTGCCCTCTTGTTTGCGCGAGTTAGTTGTCATTTTGGTTGGGTGGGTCAGGCTCTTCCAGATGACAACTAGTGCTACCACCCTAGGAAATCCCCATTTGCTGTATGCCGAGACGAATACGAAGAGTCGGGGAACTGTTTTCGCCCTTTTTAGGGTTCTATGGTCTCGCTGCGTGCATTGCTTGCCTGCTGCTAGCCGAGGTGATGAGCTTCCCTCGGTGCCAGATTTGCACAGGTGCGCATGCAAACCGCCGAGTCCCCGTTGCAAAAACTTCCAAGCCCGTTGGCCTCTTGAGAGGACCGCAGATGCGCATCAGCAGGCTACCAGTTTCGCGATGAGGAGGAGGGGCCCATGGGGCTGTGGGGTGTCACTCGGCAGCTTTCTACTCCCTGCATGGCACGCGCTGGTGTGTCTGCGTAGGAGTTAGGGCTGCTGTGAAGTGGACCTGCACCTGCTGCCATGGGCCCCAGTCGTTCAGTCGCTTTAAGCTTGCCGTCCTTTCAGTTGCAAGACGTGTGTATGTACTGCAACCTGCGCGTTTTAGCCTGCACTTTGTGGCTGGCGAAACGGTATCCCTAAGCAGAGCTCCGTTTCATGTTTGTCTTTGGGAACGTGCAACTTGGCTCCTGGCTTGGACGTGTATCCCGCATTGTCTTTTGCGCCATGCGCATGTGCTTGCCTGAGCTTTGTGCGTCGTCGTTCCTAGTCCAAGTACCTTCATTGCTTTTCCGACTGTTGTCATACCCGTGTGCTGTTTTCCTGTCCAATCGTCCTGTCATGTTACCCGTTCGCACGCCGACATGGCTTTTGCCGCAGAGCTTCAGTCTGGCCAGTGGGCTCTCGGTTGCCTAATCTGGCACCGTGCGTGGTCACGTCAGCTGCATGTCGGGCATGTGACGCGGCTGTGGCTAACGGAAGCGGGTGGGACGATTGGACACACTTGAAGGCCGGTGGGTTCGTTTGAGGGACGCGCGCTGCCTCATCTAGGCGCGTGTATGCCTCAAACGGGCTGCGTGTTTACAGAACGATGCGAAGGCTGGTCTTAATGTCGTCTCTCAAGGGATGAAGAAGGCCTTCATTCCTGCGTTTTGCTTTGGTCCGTTCGTGTAACAGGACTTCCTTTGGTACTTGCCAATACCCACAAGCCTGTGCACCTCAACCAACGAGGCCCGCCCTACATACAAGAAGGGGCGGGCACCGTAGCCTCCTTAGCTCCAAAAGCCCATAAGGCTGCTAAGAGGAAAGGGCTGTATCTCAGTCGCCACTTCTAAAACAATATCCGCCGAAAATGCACAGGCAACCGCCGTACTGCGGCCGCAGCCGCTTCCTCGTAAGCAAGCTTCAATACCGTCTTAAGACATCGTCCTGCATTAAGCGCCTCTTCCGCGCCCTCTCCACCTTCTAAGACGCTCCTTCCAAAGCTCTCGCTGCAATCCCACCTTTAAAGGAAAGCACGCCGCGCAACAGGCCTGGCGCTACGGGACAAGCCTTGCTATGCCACCTCCGCTACAACCCTTGCCGCCCTCAACTCTTGCAGCCGCAAAAAAGCCATGTTGACAGCTGACCTGCAGTCCTTTTTTTTCCGATGTGGACTCCCTGCCTTAGAGCAGCGCTGTCGGGCGAACCCTATGTCTGGCACTACCTCTCTTCTACTGCCATCCTCCTCATGGTGTATGTTCTCCTCCACCACCCGGCTGGAGCCTCTCCTCGGCCCTCCTCTCCCGGACACACTGCACACGGGCGCAGACTGTAACTGTAGCTGTATCCTCGTGTGTCCTACCACCCACTACTACCACCCCCGCCTGTCACCCCCTCCTCCTACCACCTCCTGCCACCCCCGCCTGTCACCCCCTCCTGGCCCCCTCCAGGTACGCTTGCCGCTGCATGACGGCCGGCTCCAGCTTGATCATGAAGGTGGTGATGGGGCGCGGGCGCTCCTTGTGCGCCACGAAGTGGGCAGTCACCCTGGGGGGTCAGAGGGGGGGAGCACAGCAGCCAACGATCCCGAGTAGGGGGACGAGTGGCGGAACGAGTGCAGGGGTAATGGCAACAACGCGTGCATGTGCCGTCCATGCTGGACATGAGGCCACACCGGTGTAACGTGAGCCTTCACCACCCAACCACCCCAAACGCAAAAGCATATCACTGGTTTAGCAGACCGATGCATTTTAGCATGGCATGCCGCCTTCCCCCAACCCACCAGTTACCACCCGCAGCATGCTACCACCACTCGATGTCGTGCTCAGCACCCTTGCCACGCCAGCGCCAGCGCCCTCCCTGGTCATCTGAGCCCCATTGCTTTGCCCTAAACTGTGGTTTGGCCCACCGGTATCTCCTGTCCCCCCTTGTGCCCCACCTGTGCCTCGTCATACAGCTCATACAGCTCGTCAGTTTCCTATGTATATCCCCCCCCGTACCCCACCTGGCCGGGAAGCCCGCGCTGTCTAGCATGCCGCGCATGATGCCGGCCGCCAGCGTGCCCGGGTTGAACGGCTCGTACGAACGGGGTACGGAGATGTAGCGCGAAATCAGCAGATCGTAGTCTCGGATGTAGTACTCGTCATCAGCCTAAGGGGGACAGGCGAGGGTGGGAGGGTGAGAAGGGCCGGGGCAGGGCCGGGTCCAAAGGGGTTAGCAAGCGTGCTGGGACCTAGCAAAAGGGGCCAAGCAAAGGCGTAATGGCTGATGTCTGACCAACAGAGCTTGCAACGGCTGCCGGCTATCATGCACATCTGCCCCCGGGCTACGGAGGCATGCATCCAATGCCCATGGCCATGTCTGCCCTCAAGCCAACCGTTCGAAAACGCGCCACCTACGTTGGCTGCCTGTTGCAAGTCGTCGGCGGTTTTGCCGAACAGGTATTGCCACGCGGGGCCGTGGATAAACCGAAGGATGTCCAGCACATCCGTCTTGCGTCGCAACACCTTCTCGCGGTACGACAGGAGCTCCAATACGCGGATTCCCACGTCAAAGCCCGCCTTTTCCAGTCTTTTGGAGATGCACATGAGGAGGGGGGGATATGTTCATGGAACGTATGAGGGTTGGGGTACAAGCACCATCCTGGGGCATCCAGAAAAGGTGAACAGAATATCGCACCTGTCTTCCAACTCGGTTATGCTGTTAGCTCGATCTACTAGATACTGGATATACTCGCTGAAGAGGTATGCAAACGCGCTCAGGCTAACCGTAGGCACCTGAAGTACAAGACGGTGCCATAATAAGGCCGGTTGCAAAAAAGGATTGCAAACGGGTGGCCATGACTATAATGCTTGCCTCGGCTCTGCTTTTTGTAATGGGCCGGTCCACAATGTTCAAGCTATGTTTGGGAGGTTGCCGAGTGTTCATCTCTAATGTAATCCGGAGTAAAGCCGGCTATGCAGTGGCACCTATTTATAGGTATCTTCGAGCAGTTAAGGTGGCATATCAATAAAGTTCTGGGCTTGCATGCCCCAGGTATTTCTTGCTGATCACGCCTGTAGGGGACTCGGCTTGTAGTAGTAGACTCGGCTTAATAGTCATCCGGCAACAGACACGTACGCTTTTGCAACGATTCGGCAAGCGACGCATAGCCAGTCGTACGTTTCGCGACATCCAACGGTTAACGCACTAGTGTCATCTTAGATTAATTCGTTATCATGCGATATCATACGATATCATGCGCGTATGACATGCGCGTATAACAGTCCTGTGGCAAAGGTAGGCTGCACCAGCACAGTTTACAGCGCATAGTGTTTCAAGCCTTCAGGCACGTCTCGCAAAGGCTATAGAAGTTCACTGCTGCTTCCAAGCTTCCGGGGGCAAAATGCGCTGGACGCGTTTACCGCAAACTGGCGCTCTGCCGGTTGAGCGGTCCAGCCACAGCATCACTGTTATTGGCGACAAGACTCTGCGCCGCTCCATTTCTTTTGAAAAGGATCTCTGCAGACTGCTTTTAATTTGGCTGCGAATGCACGTGTGGGGGAAGGGTCCCCTTCCCCCAAACCCCCATCCCCCCTCTCTGCATGCGTTCAATGTGTACTTGCGTCATCATCTCCCAACAGCGTTCTAGACATGCATGCACTTGTCCCTTCTTCGAGCCTTGTCTCTGAGCTTGCAAGAGCCCAGCCACGACTGCAGGGGCGGGGCCGCGTGATCGCATTCTTCGAACAAATTGGCCTCCGTGCAAAAACCCTGCAACTATGCAATAACTGCGAAACCTCTAAATTAAAGCGTTTCTTTCATGGAAATGCGTTGCGATTGGTTAGGGGAAGCATCGTTCTGTGGGTAGGGCCATCACGCAATCGCACTGAGAGGCTGGAGCTGGCCCAAAGAAGGCGCTAAAGGGAGCACGCAGCAGGTGGAGGCCCCTAATATGCCTTCCTAATAGGGTGTCCTTAAGTGATGTGTGCGTTATGGTGTAAGGGGACGGGATTGGAGGAGTGTAGTTGAAGTGGGACAGGTGGGGTAGAGTGGGGTGGGGTTCAATGGCGTTAGATGGGATGGCAGCCCCAGCACTGTTACCCAAGCATCCAACCCTCCAAGGCAGCATATCAGAGGTAGCAAAGTTGTTATGCAATGTTGTGTGCCATTGCCAAGCCCTGGCACGGTATGGGGCTCTTTGTCGACTAGGTCAAGGCGACATACAGTGGTGGCACGGGACCACCACTGATTTCATGCAACAAACATAATGCCTGACGCTCAGAGGGCGCATATTGTACATCTCAGAGTCCTACAAGGCTGAATACCGCACGCTCGCCAGAAAGGAGCTTCCTGTACAGCAAGCGTCGAAACTGCGAAAACAAGTTTCGGCATTTATGCATAGCAGCTATACAAGATGGAGCGGCGCAGAGTCTTATATTCATAATTAAAGTATTTTGTGATGACGGAGACAGTTTGAGAACGACTCCATTCCTGTATGCATAGGTTGGACACCCCGCTGTTGTTGCTCATGATAGCGTGTGTTATGCTTTATGGATTCATGTTTTTAACGATGCATTTTGACACCTTTTTTTGTGACGGACAACGGTAATTCAGGTCGTTGTTCTTCTGTGCGCATTCTTGTTTGCACTTGACAACTTCAGCTCGTAGGTCCTGCACCGCCCTATTGCTTTCTACACTCTGCTCGCTCCTTACGGCTTTGTACATGTACTTCACATTACACGGTTGGAGGTTATGCCCCTGAAACGCTGTTCTACTTAGCGGCTTAAAAATCCTCCTCTTTGGTGGCGAGCACGACCCCCGCGTGCCCGTCGGCAACGAGATATACGAGTACAGCATAACCGATGGCTCATGGCAAGTCCTTGAAGTGCAAGGCGAGCGCCCGAGTCCATGCGTCGCGCATGCTGCTGCTGCCGTCGGTGCTATGCTCTACGTGATTGGTGGCAGGTAGGTCGATGCAACAGGGGAGGATGGGTAAAGCAGGGGCCACACATGGGGACATGGCCCAGGAAGCCGCAAACGAGCTCGCAAGACACCGAGATGCCGACAAGTACATGGACTACCTCCAGCACCACATACATTGGCCGACCGGCCTTATTCCGTCCCACCCACATGCCCTCACCCTCCTCTCCAACGCCACGCAAAGAGCGCATGCGTTTGTTCTATTCCTGTTCACTAGCCCAACCCAGCAAAGCATTTCCGCCAATTTGGACACTAGTTCGTCCTTTCCTAACTTCGTAATCCTTACCACCGCAGGTCTGGTCTCGCAATGGGTGAGGGTGCCACCAATGAGCTCCACGCCTTCGACACCACCTCGCGCACCTGGACCCGACTCAGCCCGCAAGGCTCCCAACCGCCCAAACGCTCCTACCATGCCATGACCGCCCTGGGACCCAAGCTCTACGTGTTTGGCGGTTGCGGGGAGGACGGTCGCCTCAACGACCTGTACGAGTACGACACTCGTACGAACACATGGACTGCCCTGGCGACGCCCTCGCCTGATGCCGTACCGGGACGCGGTGGCAGCTGCCTGGCAGCGGTTCCGCCAGAGGCGGCTGATGGGGCTGCGGAGGGCCCAGCTCGAGAGGGTTTGCTATATGTGATTGGGGGCTTCTGCGGCCATGAGCTTGATGACATGCACGTGTACAGGTGCGAGTTGGCTGGAGCGGGGCAGAGAGGAAACTGACAAGATGTATGGCATGTAGAGGCTTGACCATGGGGGAGTGCAAACATGGTAGCCGACCCATCCCGCCCCGCCCGAATTACCGGTAGCCATGACGATGAAGGGCTTACCGGAAAGAATAGACACACCGAAGCCAGGGCCCGCAGCGTTGCATAGCTGTCCTGCAGCTTAATCCCCGCAATACTCACCTGCCATACCCTACTCGGCAGCCACTCTCATTGACGAAAACTTGCTGCCGTACCCGCCCCCGCCCAACACTCCTTCCCATCCCTCGCAGCATCGCTGACAACATCTGGTGCAGACCCACCTGCCCGACCTGCTGCGGCGCTGCAAACGCCGCCGGCGAGCTCTCGGCTCGCAGCGTCTTCGGTACCTCCCTGCACCGCTGTGACAAGAGCGATTGCTCGTACAAGGCTGCCGTACTCGCGTACGGAGGCGAGGTTGACCCCTCCGACAAGGGCCATGCGGGAGCGGGTGACTTCTGCTCTAGCTTGATGATGTACGACAAGGCTGGCGGTTGGCGGTTGGTGGAGGCTGACGGCGAGTCGCCGGGGCCGCGAGGCTGGTTCGCAGCTGCGACAGGACCCGCGGGTCAGCTTATTGTGCATGGAGGGCTGGATGCAAACAACGAGCGGTTGGGGGATATGTTTGCGCTAGACTTGCATGCGTGAAGATGGAAAACGGGGTGGCGAGGTGGGAGGTCAAGACTTCCGAACGCCTTAGATTTGACTAGTTGGGTGCTAGGAGGCCGGGTGGCGGGGGAGACAGGTGCCATGCAAGGGTGTGTAGGAAGAAATGAGAGCGGCTCCAGCACCGTTGCAGAAGCCTGCTGCCCTCAAGGGTTGCTGACTTGCTATTAACTGGATTTGCCACGGCTGTCTGAAACAAGAGCCGGGGACGGTAACAAGACCGGCAAGGCTATTTTTAAGCCCTTCCATGCTGCCTGGTTGGGAGGAAAAGGCACGCCGCGGATGGTTGGGAAATTCGTAGTGGCATATGCGTATTGTAGCAGCTGTCGGGAGCGAGGAGCCGAGAACTGTACCACGTATCTGCAGTTTACATGAACTAACTGATAGGTTGTAAGTTGGCGCTTGCAGCAAAGTCGTGTGAGCACGGTTGCATCACCATACAGCCACCGCATTGTTGAGTGGAGACATCCCATGCCAACCCCGCGGACCGCCGCAGCATCCCTTTCCGGTTCCACGCGCGCATGCCCCAAGGGGGAGCTATAACTGCGGGTGAACCCTGCTAGGTCAACTGTAACCCGGATCACGAGCATCCCCCATAAAAGTATGTGGGGTGTCCATATCTGCTCAAATTAGGAAAGCGCCTGGGTGTAGCGCCACTAGCGCTATCAAACCTAGAAACCCCCCAATCACCGCATCGCTAGTTGCTCACCCTGAGCAGCAGCTCTCCTGTTCCACAAGACAAACTGAGCCGCAGAATCACGAGGCTATAGGTGCGAAAGCACAAAACCGGAATCGCAATCACGACCTCGTACGGCAGCCTTAATAAGCATCCAGAAGCTGAGCGCCGAGTAAACATCAGCTCGGAAAATAACGCTAGAAACAATAAGCTGGGTCACAACGAGTAGCTCACACCGACTACACCGTCTCTCCACAAAGACTACCCGACTATTTCCTGATACGAGAAGCAGGCTGTTTACTTGGCCTGCTGCTGGACCATGGAGCGCAGAGTGCTGAGGTCCGGCACGCCGTTGCGCTTGATGCTGCAGGCAGGAGAAAAGAGGAGAGGGGCTTAAGGCAACCAGGTTTGGAACAAGGGGGAGTAGTAGCACACACGGACTTCCAGCAGCATGGTTGCGTTTGGACACATCAAGGACATCCGCATAGGCTCCCAACGGCATCCAGAACAGCGGAGCAGCTATTGCACGGGAGTACCGGTATCAACAGGAGAACACGGGGAGGGGGCCCCGACAATGCCATCCAGCCTGGAAAGGAAACCCAAGAGCAAAATCTTCCGCCAGGTCAATAGGACCCGACCATGCAGTCCAGCATTCCCCACCCACCCGAAGTTGTCTCCGTAAGCAGTGTAGCGCTTGGTGCGGGTGGTGCGGCGCTGGTTGGGCTCCTCCACCGTGTAGGCCCAGCCGTGCTTCTCGCAGAAGCGCTGTGCCTCCTCCTTAGTGTAGAAGTTCAGCATGGCGCGGCCAACGTTCTCCAGAGGATCGGCCGTGGAGGTCCAGCCCATCAGCGGGTTCTGCCACCTGCACACAGCGGAGGCCCAAGGGCAACTCAATCCTCCTTCCCATGCGGCTGTCATACCCCGAGCAGCATCGTGTTCCAGCAAAGGACGTCTATGCCTACTTTGCAAGGGTATCGAACTCAATCTTCCAGACGGGGGACGTGCCAGCGTTGTAAGTTGTCCTGCCAAGCCCCGATTGCATGGGATTCCGCGCAGGGCTGTAAATGCGCGCCTGAAAGTTGCAGGATAAGTTTGTTAATGTACTAGATATGTGGCAAAGCGTAGTCACTGTAGGCACAAAACGTACCTTTCGCGAGAACGTGTTCAGCGGCACGCCAGCCGTATATCCTCCCTCCTTTGCCTGAACAGAGGTCTCCGAAGGGGTCACTAGCTCAGCAGCCGTCTTAAGGGCGATGCTATAATCATTGCTCGCTGTGGCGTAGCCAGCCGTGCACCGCGGCAGCAGAGCAGATACAACGCGGCGCTGCATTTTCCCGTCAAACCAAAAATCGTAAAGCGGAATGCAAGGATGCCTACACGAGCGCATTGCTCTATACAATTAGTGGTACGGCAATTGTCCTTCAGTCGGGGATTTGCTTTCAGTCCCATGCCCCATGAAAAATCCCTGTTGCATGTGTGTGCATGCGATGAAGTGCTTGTAATAAAGGGGAACCATATATCTCACAACCTCACCGTCTATGACGTATGAGATGGTTATGGGCTCTCTGGCATACATGTAGTTGCGATGTATCTCTGTTGCTTTCCTCATGTCTTTATTCATCAAGCACACACTGCGTGGCTAACTGTCAGGAGCTGGGTTGGAGCGCTTCAGGCTGCCAACAGCGGTCATTGGGTGCTAGATGATGCTTGATAACCCGTTAGAGACGGCTTGATAACCCGTTAGGGACGGCGCTGCAATTCTTGGAAGGCAATGGGGTGTCCAACTACTGCACGGCTTGCGCAGCCCAGTACCGGTACTCGCATCGTCGCATGCACCTGAAACCCGTCCTTCTTTCAAATCGAGCATTTGCATCGAGCGGGGAAGTGTATACCGGTACCCCTATTACTAAGATGGTGTTAACCTGACTACCCGCCGCACCTTCTCCTCCATGATTTGCGAACCCTTGTGTCGCGTTGCCCCTGGCAGCCACGAGCAGCTTTCATACCCATAGACATTCGGCATAAGTGGGATAGCTCCTAGAGATGACTGATGAGTAGTCACCACGCTGTGATTAGCAACCTGCAGGATCCTCCTGGGCCTTCCTCCTCGCCCAACAGGCAACTGTAGTACGGGACCCTTATACGACTTGTAACGAGACGGCGGTCCATGTGAGCAATTCTCCGCATTCAGCGTACGCAAAACTCTCTCCTCAGATGCTGCACTGTATGCGGGCCCGAGAATCTAGCCGCTTGCAAGCTATCTGTGGCAAGCTATCTGTGGCCATTGACGTTCCCTCCGATGGAAGGCTACACTAGCAGCCATGCATGCGTCGGAAATATGTATTACCCCATACCCGATGCCCCAGGCTTAGCTGAAGCATGCCCACCCATGTATTACCGGCAGGAGCCACCCATGTATTACCCCATACTCGATGCCCCAGGTTTAGCTGAGGGAGTGTGCAACGTAGCATAGAGCGATGCCGTGTGAAGGCATGATGTTTACGTGACTGCTGGATAACCGCAGTTATCAAGTGGCGGACGGCAGAACTGAACCCCCTTCTCGAGCGAGCTGCGTGACTTGGACGTGGCAAAGGTGTTTATCGGGTATGGTGTATGTGTGTGCATTGTATGGCAAACGGCTAGCCAAGATCACAACAAATGGCAACAAAAGCGCGGCCTTTCATCTTCCTAATACAGAACTGAGGTTGATCGAGGAAGCATTTAACATACAAGGGGGGGAAGAGACTGGCAGGCATGCCGTGTTTGAGCCTTTACGCGGCCAAACCCCTGCCAAGGCTGTGGGGTGCGGGCCGGTTTCGGTTCTGGTTTATTACTGCGTACTTGCAAAGGCGTATACGCATTCACGTGACCGGAAATACCAAGCGGCATTTCCGAAGCACGAGTCCTAGCTTTCCGTCGTAACGCTTCGGGTCGGCAGTCCCAGCAGCGGACAGCAAATCGCAGACCGGCACTGAATGGACTATTTCGTGGGTCATTGAAACCTGTAAGAAATAGCCCACATATCTTGCAAATTGCGTACAAAGGCCTATTTGCCGTACGCTATCGAATTCTCCGAAATACGGCAAGCTGGCCGAGCGTATCACGCAAAATCTAGGCCAGGTCATCAAGACAATAATTCTGCCTCCAAACTTTACCCTATGGACACGATGCCAACTTAGAGACACTCATGGCACAACAAAATGAAAGCGAGGTCATAGGCCACTATCTGATACCAGCTCATGGACGGCCTGCGCAGCCTCTGCTCCATGAAAGCACAGCTCTTTTCCAGGATGTCGTTTCTGATAAGCTTTCAACAGTGGAGAGCGCAATTGAGGCGGATGCCGGGAAGCTCAACCAATTCTTTTTGATATTGCACTGGGCTTCGGACGTCAAAGGCGGGGCAGGCCCCAGCCCCGAGAATGTCGACGCTGGAGATGCCGGAGCAGCTGCTGCCAAGGCCTCGGTCACGGTCAAGCAGCGCACCCTGCTTATGATAGCAGCTCATGCTGGAAGCTTGCGCGTCCTTGCGTACCTCCTGGCTCGCGGCGCTGAGCCCAGCCGTAAGAGTCCAGACGGCCTGACAGCTTATGATGTGAGTTCTTGATGGTTAAAGGCAGTGTCGGACGCGCTTCCTGCTTGAGTGCTTCGAACTCTTTTGCCTTTGCTGCAAGCCGCAGTGGCTTCCCTACGCTCGACTTATTTACGCACAGTTTACATTTGTCATATATGCTTTAAGCTTCTGTATATTCTTGCTGGGACCTGAAAGGTTGTCTGGAACGCACTATAGGCCTGTCCACCTTGACTTCGGGACTCTGTACTTTTTGGTTCCTAGCCATTCATCTGTTTTCTTTTCCAATCAATCTGCTTGTGCAGATGGCGTTGGCTGGCGAGTCATCACAGGCACCCACCGCTCTGGCCATGATGCGCGACGCGGACTCGCATCCCTCGTCGAGCACCAGAAGCAGCTCTACAACGGAGGCGCACAGCTTCAATGGGACGGACGGATTGCGAAACGGCACGCGACAGGTATGGGGCAGTCTCGATTCGTACGACAACCGTCAGCAAAACGCCTCGTGTTCCCCCGACGTCGAGTTGTTCCCCCCCTGTCATATAGGAGATTAGGCACACACTCCAAACCCCATACGTCGTCAGTAATTGTCAGTGATGCCACGTTATGCAATCTGCAGCAGGCGATGAGCTGTCACCGCATGGTATCTAGTTCCTTGGGACACGCCCTTGGGGAACTTGCAGTTTAGGACTTTCCCCATATGGCCCAACCACACCTGACCACAAACCCACTGTTCCCTTGCTTGCTGCCCCCCTCTCAGGACCTGGCTGACTCAGAGGGCTCCTCCTACAGTACGACGGATCTGACGAGGCCGGAGTACTCCACGGACGACTTCCGCATGTTCAATTTCAAGGTGCGTTGGCTACTGCTGGCTGGCTAGCGGAACTCAGGAGGTGGCTTTGAATTGCGCATATAACCCTGGAGGGCGGGCTACCATTAGGGGCAGGAGAAGGGAAGGGGTTGGCACTCGTGCACGCACAATCGGAGTGTATGCCCCTTCTATGATGTCTGGATTAAGAAATACTACACCATACTCATTAGATTATTGGGTGGTACTATGTGCTGTGGACACTCGTGTATTGTGTCTATCCACACAGCAGCACCATGGAGCAGTTGTCCACCTCTGCTTTTTACCGGTACTCCTCCTTCTCGGTCGTTTGCTCTCGCTCTTTTACCGTGCCGTTTATAGCTGCAACACCTTCCTGACTCCTAATCGCGCCCTCTTCCCCCCCTCCCCTCGCTCACCTCGTACAGGTTCTGCGCTGCTCGAAGCGCCACGCGCACGATTGGCGCGCCTGCCCCTTTGCGCACCCCACCGAGAACGCCCGCCGCCGCGACCCCCGAGAGTTCAAGTACTGCGCACTGGCCTGCCCGGACTACAAGCAGGTGGGTGCAGGGGGATTGGGCAGGTAGAGGAGCGGGGGGCGGCAGGCATGCAGAGGGCGGCGGATGCGGGGCGGCAGCATGCGGTAAACTGACCCCGCCGTCAATCGAGGCAGTGCGTGTCTAAATCGCCTGAGGTTTGTCGGCCGCATGCAAGACGTATTGAGTTGTCACCCCGCTGGCCCCATGGTGTGGCGCTTCATGTAGCATGACGGCGCTTCCACGTCTGTCTGCCTGCCTGCAAGCCTGCCAACTCCAGAAGTCGCACTTTCCTACGCCGTTACGTCACTACCGACCCAAACCTTGCCCTCGCAGGGCTTCTGCATCCGCGGCGACGTGTGCCCCTACGCACACGGCGTCTTCGAGTGCTGGCTGCACCCCTCGCGCTACCGCACGCAGCTCTGCAAGGACGGCGCCAACTGCCATCGCCCCGTCTGCTTCTTCGCGCACAGCCTGCCAGAGCTCCGCGCGCCCACCTACACCTGGGTGCCCAGCCCGGCAGACCTGGCCAGGCCGCCCATGTCCCAGTCGGCTGCGGGAGGCGGCGGAGCGGGTGCGGCGGCCGGCAACACCGCCGGGACGATGTCGGGTACTGCTGCCGGGGCTGCGGGCGCAGGCGCTGTGGCGCTGAACGGTGGCGCGGGTGCGGTGGAGGGCCCAGGATCGCCGGCTGCGGCTGTTGTTGCGGCAGGGGCGGAGGCGAGGACGTTGATGTCGCAGGGATCGGCCGGACTGCCGGTGAGTGGGGGCGGTGGTGGTGGGATGAGGGTGAGGGCTGGCAGGGAGGCGGTTTGGATGACAGGCTTGGAAGGAGGTCTTTTTGACGGGATTGGTCTTTTTGACGGGATTGGCGTAGATAATTGTACGAGCCCTTGAATGCCGCGCGAGCTGCTGGTAGCTTGGCCGTCCTTGTTCGTGCTCTGCTCTGTTCCGATTGGCCTGTCTTGTCGTACCTTGCAACACCTGTCGTACCACGTTTGCTCTTCTTTAGGTTCACCTCTACACCTCTTCCTGCATTAATCTCGCTCACCTCCCGACCATTCCTTGCGCGCCTCCCTCACCATGTTGTGCTCCGCAGCCCACAAGCGGCTCCTTGGATGGCACTCCGGTGGCGCTGTGCGGCTCGCCGCACACCGGCAACATTGCCAACGGTAACGGTAACGGTCTGGGCTCCATCGTCGCCGCCAACGTTACCTCCCCGACCGCTTCCGCTGCTGTCGGCAACGGCGCCACCGCCGGCAGCCTGAGCAACTGCGGCAGCGGACCCATCAACGTGACGGTTCCGCCCGCCTCCATCGTGGTGTCCAAGGAGGGCAACGCCAACGTGACGGCGGCGATTGCGGTGGTGGAGAATGGCAACTGTGGTCGCAATGACGGTAGGTCATGCATGCCAACTGTGTAGGGTCTTTGGGGTACCCTGTTTCTGCATGGCCTGCTGCCGAAAATGCACAGCTGAAGTTCCGTGAGACCAACTGACAGACTGCACGTCCAGCAAGATCAGAACTTCTCGAACTGCGCGCCGACTCCCCTGTGTGCTTCCAACCGCAACAACCCCAGGCAAGGGCTGTGTGGTGCTTTCCACGTCTCCCGGCGGCACCAGCTTCACCGACCCCTCCTCCGCGTCCAGCGGTGGGGCGGCCGGCAAGGTCAGCCTCAACCTGACGCAGCCCAATGCCGCCGCGAGCATGCTGGGCTTTACCGCGCCACGCATGTCCAACGCCTTTGCTCGGCGCCACGGCCTCAACCCCAAGGATAATCCCATGATCAACCTGCAGAAGATCGCGCTGCAAAGCCACCAGCAGCCACAGGTGCGTAGAGGGAGGCGGGCTGTATGGAATAGGAGATATTGGATGGATTGTAGAGAAGACGTCGGTAGATTTTGAGCATGCCGCCTTCGTCATTTTACCGTGTCTGCCTTGTACACGCAATGACAATATGGCATGCGTGGTGACGAAACCTCCCCTGTTCCCGTGCCCACCGCAATGGTACCCTTTCTTCACCGCAGCAGCAGAACGGCATGCTCGGCGTGTCGAGCCACATGGGTATGGGCGCCGCATACAACGCCCAAGACAACAACCCCGCTACCACGCTCCGGAACCACTCGTCCGCCGCCTCCGCCGGCGCCACCCTTCAGGCTGCCGCCGCCGCTGCCGGCCGCGGCGCGGGTTACAACGGCAACGCCGGAGGACAACAACGCCTGCAGGCTGCTGCCGCCGCCGCCGCTGTGGCTGCGGTTGCCGCCGGCGCGGGTGCAAACTCGGGCGGCTTTGCTATGCCGTACTCCCCTCCTGCGGGTGCTGCGGGTGCTGGTTCCTTCGGCATGGGCCCTATGCAGATGCAGATGCATGCGGCCGCCTCACAACTGACCGGCGGCGCCGCTGATTCCTCCCTCCTCGCGGCACAGCTGGCAGCCCTCGGCCTACAACAGCAGCAGCAGCAACAGCAGCACCAGAGGCAGCAGCAGCACATGGGCATTGGTATCGGCATGGGAGGCATCAACATGGCCAACGGCGCCGCCGCTGCTGCTGCGGCCGCTGCCGCCGGCATGGGTCACGGTCAGGTGCAGTACATGACCGCCGCCGCCATGCAACCGTACGGGCTGATGCATCCGGGGATGTACGGCGCTGGGCCCAACGCGAGCATGTACGACCATTCTCAACAGCACCTGATGGCTGCCATGAGTGGCGCTCAAGCTGAGGTTTGAAGGCTCCTCGAGAGACCCATGGGTCTGTTTGCCAAGGACACGTTGAGGTAATGTGTTTTATCGGTGTCGTATGGACTTGGATGGCTGCCATGGTTGTTTGTTGTGCGTAGCTTGCTTGTAGAAGAGAAGAGACAAGGAATCGGATCGGGAGTATTATGGCTCGGTTATAAATGGGTGTGGGGGCTGTTGGGTTTTCAGGCGTGTTCCTTGTCTTTGAGGTTGGTCTACTGATTTGATAATCCTAATCCAACGACGTTTGGTCCAGGGGTTCTGCCGAGCAAGAAAGCTGTGCCATGGGGTACGGGCGTGGGTGGACGTTTGAAGAATTGACCTGCGTGCGTGTGCGGTAGGGCCAGTGCTTGCCTTTGGGGCGAGGTCTCCGCCTCCCCTTGGCAACCCCTGAGCGCTGCCCTCGTGCCAGGGCGCATTTGAGGTGGTCTTTGTTACGACTTTTACAATTTCTATATCAAAAAATGTTGCGGCGCAGAGGAGCTTCTGTGTTGTAGGTTGGTCGGTTGTGGTGAGGCTGCGCTGCCGTAGGACCGTGTGGGTGGTTGCGTCGACTGTTGTAGCCGTGACGATGATTAACGTATGCGTGTTCAGTCGGTGTGGTTGGTACAACGTATTGTGGTGTGGTGTAGTGGTGCTGCGTGTAACACGGTTTTATACGGAAGGCCTCGACGAAAGGTGGGGGGGTGGGTACGTCGGTTGTGGAGTGTGGTATGCGAGGCACTTGTTGATGGTGGTAGTGGTGATGAGAGTGCAATGCGCCCTTTGTTAGTCCGGCATGTTAGGTTTGTTCGCTTGGCTGTCTTGTAGGAACGGAGGAATAAACCTAGAGCTCGTCTTTCCATGTTTGTCGTCCACTGTTTTTTGCTGACGTGTGGCCACAAGAGCCGTCGCGAAGCGCATGACGGCTTTCTGTCCTTCCCTATTTGAGGGATACGGCTGGCCTGCCTTCTGCCTCGGAACCGGCAACCCCCACATTGCCCGCAAGTCCTTGCCTAGCGGGTGATATCTGAATCCCGTCTGGCCAGGGGCGACTTTGTGGTAACAGCGGTTTTGATGCAACGTTTGTTAGGAAGGGCCGGTGGAGGTTTGCCGCGGCTTCAGTTTGTTGGTGGGTCCGTTGCTAGCGTGTCGTCTGGCGGTTGCTGCTGTTGACAGATCCACTGTTTGCTGTGGTAGCGACCGGCGACCTTGTATTGCGGAAGCACCGTAGAGCTTAGACGTATGCGCTATTAATCACTTTTGGTGTGGAAAGTGGGTTTAAGGAGGAAAGGAAGTAGCGGTAACCGTCTGCCATTTTGTGTCGATGTTCCACATGTTAATCTCCACGACTGCTTTGGGCTTGCGCTTTGGTGCCTGATATTAAGTCGTAGTGTTGTTTGGTTGTGGTGTGTTTAAGCAGTGACGGAAGCAGTTGGGCTGGGTACGGTAGTTAAAAGGACATTTGCGTGGGTGACGTGTTGGTCCACTCTTTTCCACGGTGGTGGCATGTATGGCTGTTCCACGCATTTCCTATGCTGCGTGCACATCTGCATTTTGCATCTCCGCGGCCAATCATGTTGGCTGGTGGCATATCTGTCTGGAGTGGCTAGCCGCCATCACAGCATGATCCCGCGCCAGGAGTAGGCACGGCTGAGGAAGGGACAGCAAGGGGCCTGTGTGACGGCGGCGGCGGAGTTTTTTGTGGCGGTTTGGCTGGCCTGCTTCCTTGATCCCCTGCCCAGCCGAGGTAGGCCTGCTATGCCTGCACTACGCTGACTTCAAGGGTTGCTGTCGTGTTTTCATGTGCGCACGCTGGCAGGTCAGTTGGCTGTCCGGCTGTGGCTCACAGGCGCGGTTGATTTGGCCGTATGGGGACTGAGGAGCACCGGCGGCTTGTGGCTTCGGGCATGTGTTTTGTGAGACACCCTAGCCGTTAAGCACTCGCCGCCGCATGTTGGTTGTGCGCGGCAGGACAAAATTGTTAGGGCTATACGCACGTCGGGTTAATTGGTGTGCAGCCGTCTAACCTATTATCTAGCACAATGTATGGCGCGTGGGGGCATGCCGCTGAGATGCGCCGTTTGGCGCCCTGCGGCTTGGGCCCAGCAGTCAATGCCCTCAATTTCCGTGAATTGCACTTGCGGTTACTTTGATGGTTACACATCCTTTGATATCGTCTTTTTATGGGGCGCGGGTTTACGCCATAGAATGAAAGAGAGCTTGACTAGTTCATGGCCGCCGCGGCGGTGCCGACCTCCCGAATTTGTGTTTGACCGCGCATATGTCGTACAGGACCCTTCATGGCAGCGGTGGTACGGCTTTTATGGGCCTTCCAAGCCCGCAGGCTCCTTTGTCCCTGATCCTTTCTGTGTTGCTGAGTACTCGTGGGGGTGTTTGTCAGGCTTTGATGGTGTTGGTTGTGGTATAGTTGGTAGCGGTTAAATAACCCTTAAGAAGACGTCTGTCGCCGTGCCTCCCCCTTGCGTGTCCCACCACGTGACCGGCGTTCATATTGGCGCTGAGGCGCGTGTGATACGTGGAGCGCATAGGATTGGGCGGCGGGAAAGGACATGTGTTCTGCTATTCGGTCATAACCCATCATCGTTGCACAGAGCATAGCAGCATTGATGCGAGCTCTGGGGGTTTCTCCCAGGGTTTGCACGCAGCTGCGGGTCGCATTAGGCGGTCGCCGCGTGCACAGTGTATGATGTTTTGGCCGTTCCAAAGACACATTTCTCTATTTGTTTCTGGTATTCGTTCGGTATGGGCGCGTGTCGCCTTGTTGAATTTTCTGCGTGCAGCAGGCGCTTGTTCGTGAGGGATTTACATTACCGAGGTGTGCTCCAACTCTGGTGGGAATTTTCCAGGTGTCGGCAACATTGCGTATGAAGACCAGACAGCGATGGTACGGTTTTGCGCACGCAGCCTCATGCTTCGGCATCCTTGACTTCCCTTGACTGCATGTACTACTACGGCTGTTCGGAGTGGTGCGGGTTGTATACATCTGCCCGGCTCTGCATAATTCCCATTATGACCTCGTCCTTTGTAACGAATGATCCTGGCTCCATCCACAATGACAGCGTTCATGACACCAAATGTACTCTTCCACAGGCATCGCACACATGGTCAGCACCTGTACTAAAGAATAACACGTATGCATGCTATGAGAGTGCCATTATGATCGTGGCATTTCGGCGACAAACAAATATCTTATGTGCAGGAGGCAGTGCCCGCACTCGCAAGACGCAAACCGTTCGACAATACATATTAGCCACGAAACAGGCCTTAACGAACACCCAAACGCCACCAACGGGCGCGGCTAAAACAACAGGCTAGTGACATATTACAAGTCGCACACGCATCGTCCACTGTACGAAGGCCATCACCCACCTCCGTCCGGTATTCAAGGAAAACTACCCCGATCATAGAGAGTGCAAGCGGGCAACGCTACTCCAAACAGGGAAACAAAGGGAACATGGAAGTGTTTTTTTGCCTAGCTCGGACCCACGGGTCCTGGCAGAGAGCTGAAGGCCTAAAGAATACCTTTATTGCAACCATAACACCTCTATGGGGCTCTCCACGCCTCCACCCAGAGTATGGACGCCATCAAACCGGCGGCGGGAGGGAAATAATACCTCTACACACCGCATGCCTCACTTTATCACATATCACATGCAGCCATGATAATACCAGACGACCAACCCATTGCTGTTACAACGACCCTCCTTACCTTAGGCCAAGAACCCTGATCACCCGCATCGGCCACAAACACGTATTGGAAAGCCGCCATAGTTAAGCAACCTTCGCTCTTATGTGCACGCAGCTCGCAATACAACGCTTTTAGGCCCCTCACCACAAAAGCAAGAACCCAGCTGCCGCGCAACCTTACCGCAGGCCGCATCACTTGCTTAACATACAAAGCGTCACAGCTCAACCCGGCCTAATTCCCAGCTGATGCCCTACACCGCGCGGCTGAAGGAGCGGCTAAAGGACGACCGCGAGTTCGGGGAGCCCTGCGTGCCGCTGGACACCAGCTGGCAGCCGCTCTGCCCCAGCTGGTACGCCAGGTCCACTGCGCGCAGGACGGGCTGCCGGTCGGCGCTCAGCGTGTCACGGCCATGAAGGAGAATGGCTGCGGGTCGTAAGGAAGGGCAAGGAAAGGGCTTAACAAGTGGGTAAGGACAAGGGCTTAGGAATAGACAATCGCAGGCCCAGGAGGGCGGCCCTCTGGGCTCTAGGGAAATGTCCCATCGCCAGCCAACGTCTACACCATCCTGTGCCAACCGCGTCCTTTAAATCTTTATGCACGCCCCAATGCCAATGATCGCAATACCACCTTCCATCATGCCCCCGAACCCTGCACCCTCCTCACCAGTGCCGGAGCCGTCCCACAGCCCCTGCTCCCGCGCAAACGTGGCTGCCCGCACCAGAAGCGCATCCACGTCTGCCGCCATGCTGCCGGCCATGCTGCCGCCGCTGCTCAAGATGCCGCGCAGGGACTCCACCAGCAGCGCGTACTGCCCAAACACCACCGCCGCTTGCCGGGCAACCACCGCCGAATCAGTCACCACAATCTGAAGGCAAAAAGGGAGGAACACGGTATTATAAGGGGCCTCCGGCAAAGCGGTTCATGGAGGCATTGGGCGTCGAACACGATTGCGGTGAACTTCGGGAAAAGAGCAAGATGATAACAAGGCATCCCGGAGGCTAAAAATTCCCAACGCCAGCCCCCGCATAAGGCGCCTACCTGAGGCACCGCGGGGCGGTACTTCGAGACCATGCGGCTGGCGTAGCCGGTGGAGGAGAAGGTGACATGCAGCTGCGCGTTGCAGTCCACCGCCGCCGCCACACTGGACACACCCGTCGCCTCCGTGATGCCGAAGGGCTTGGGCGTGTGGTCCCTGCAGGTAACAGTGAGCGGGCGAGGGTTGGAAACACGCCATGAAACAAGCCCTACAACCTGGAGTTATGCATGCAACATTCCGAAACCGTGCCCCAAGTTGTTATCCTGTTGCAAACCAAGATTCGAAAGCAAGGACCCTTTTACCAGTATCCTTCTTGGATCTTGGCCCTCTCCGCGAGACTTACCGCAAGAACGCCTGCGTGGACACGTAGGCACTGCCGTTCTCGGCGTTGGCCACGATCGCGGCCATGGTGCGCACCGCAGCATGAGGAAACTTCCCGTTTGCCGTTTCCCCGCTGAGCATGACCGCATCGGTGCCGTCAAACACTGCATTTGCCACGTCCGTCATCTCGGCGCGCGTGGGCAGCGGCGAGGCGGTCATGGACTCCAGCATCTGCGTGGCGGTGATAATGAACTTGCCCGCGATGTTGGCCTTGGTGATCATCATCTTCTGCGCCAGGGCCACCTTCTCGGAGGGGATCTCCATGGCGAGGTCGCCGCGGGCCACCATGATGCCGTCGCTCTCACGCAGGATATCGTCGTAGTGCGTCAAACCAGCCTCGTTCTCGATTTTGGAAATGATCTTGACGCTCACACCACCCGCATCGTCCAGAACACGGCGAATAAAACGCACATCGTCGGCGCTCTGCGAGGTGGTGTAGTGACATGGCATAGCAGTGCGAGGAGCTGATGGAAAGGTAGTGAAGCGCATGCGCCCACTGAAGAACCAGGCGGCGCAACCTGGGCTACGGTTATACATTGCTAATGATTGTAGTTATGCCAAGGAGTCTTTTGACTACCCTACTACTACGCAGCAACCAGCTTGTGTTACGAGGTAGTCACCCTTTAGGGGTCAACAGCGCCCGACACCGCACCTGCACGAAGGATGCCGCCACGAAGTCCATTCGGTTGCGGCAGCAGAACTTCTGCACGTCCTCGATGTCCTTGGGCGTCAGCACGGGGATGTCCACGTGGACACCTGCGCAACGGCATACCAATCACGGCGTGAAGAGCGCGCAACAGCTCACAAGCAGGTGACAAGGGAATGCCGCAAGACGTGCCGCCCAAAACCACTGCATGGGAACTCTTCAACCACCCTAAGCAGTCCTGCTGGCGACAAACACCATCAGCAGCGCCGCCCGGTCACTCACCCGGCAGGTTGACGTTCTTGCGCTGGCCTAGCGTCTTGTCGTTGAGGCAGCGGCCCAGCAGCTCCGTCTCACTCAGGATGGACAGCACCTCGATGGTCAGCGAGCCGTCCGCCACCAGGATGCGGCTGCCCACGCAGACGCTCCTGGGGTGCGGTCAAGTTAAGGAGCGAGCCGAGCAATGGGGATGGAGTGAGCACACGGGGCGCACGGGGCAGGAAGCCGTGCCGGAGGACGGATACAGGAATCGTAGATGAAGGCATATCGTGGGATGGTGCAGAAGCAGGTGATCAGTGCCATGGTATAGCGTCAAAACCAGCTCTGTCAAAAGGTACAAAAGCAAGGCTCGCATCACAGGAAGAGAATTTCGACGACAAATTGCCCCGTGAAGATGAAGATCAGGAGACTTACTGGCACAGCTTGGCGTAGCTGATACCGATCCTGGTCTCGCCCGTGGCCTCGTTCTTGTAGCCCTCCCACTTGTCATAGGCGTCCCCTACAGCCACCACCGTGACCTCCTGCCCAGCCACCAGCTCGATGTCCTTGCCACCCCGTAGCATGGCGGTGCGAATCTCGGGTCCCTTTGTGTCCAGGAGGTATGCAATCCGCCTGTGCCTGCCGCTGCCCGCCTCCACCTGCAAGCAGCATCAAGCAGCTACACAAGATCAACACAAGCTTTAACCGCAGCCCTTGATAAAGCCATGACAGCAACCGTTGGAAGGTTATCAGCGGCAGATCCTAGAAGCCCCCCTGGAATCCCTCCATGCGGACCTTCCTCAGCCTGTCCAGCACCTCCTGGTGCGCTGCGTGCGTGCCGTGGCTGAAGTTGAATCGCGCCACGTCCATGCCCGCGTCCAGCAGCTGCGCCAGACCCTCCTCGGACCAGCAGGAGGGACCCAGCGTGCACACGATCTTGGTCTTGCGGCCGGCTGGCAGGCTGTGGTCCATGATGTCCGACAGCGAGATTGCAGTGGTACGCAGACTCAGCGTCTTGGCGGCCACCGCCATGGCAGCGCCCGAGGGGCGCCCAGGCGAAATGCCAATGCTTGGGAAGCGCGTCAAAGCAGCCGCGGCAAAGGGATTCGGCATGGATCCTGCTGCGGTGCCAGAGCCCTGGGGCGAGGTCCCGTCAGGGGTGCGCAGCAATGAACGCCTGCCCACGCCCAGACGGCTGGGTGATTGGGCAGAGGTGGAGCCCAGACGGGGAGAGGAGATCTCTAGCGAGGGGATAGTCTTGGAAAGGTTGCGGTTGGGTCCCTGGCTGACGGTGGCGGTTGCGGTGGCCATTGCGTTGGCGCCCTTCGCAAACCGGTGCAGGCGAGGGGTGTCTAGCTCCATGCCGGCAACGCTGGCGCGCTCCATTAGGGAGCCGGTGCCGCGCAGCTCTGCGGCCGGCGGCACCTGGTCCGAGGCTTGTGGCGTGAAGGTCACCCCGCCAGCGGCAACCTGTCCAATGGACATGCCAATGGCAAGGGAGAGGCATGTAATGCGCACTGTGACCGGATTTCATTGCTATATTGCTAAGAACCACGAATCGCAACGCAATGGAATAACCGCAGCAGTGAGCCGTGACCCCACATGTCCGGTCGGAACCAATCCCATTAGCCGCCCTTGTGAACCGCCCACCTACCTGGATGGCCACCATGGGCAAGCCGTCCTCCGCGTCCGCCTTGTTGCAGCCGTGCACCACCACCACCTCCTTGCCCGGGGGACACAGCCCCGCCTCCATGGCAAACAGCGTCGCCTCCTCAAGCAGCAGCTGCGGCAGCGCAGGACAGGCAGACAGACAGTGTGGGAAAAGCATGCAACATGCAAGCTAAGGAGGGTTCCCTTGGGACTAGCCTTGCAGATGGTGAAAAAATAAAGCAGCAGGGTGCTTCGGAAAAAGCCAGCCTCGAAACCGTAAAACCCCTGACCAACTCCATGTGCCGCCGCAGATAGCACTGCGCTCGCGCTATCGGTCCAGATCAGAACAGGTATCAACACAAGGGAGATGTTCGCCCCGCTCGCCCAGGCCCCTTCCCCCAACAATCTAGCTTTGCTTACCTCAAACTCGACCTGTAGGCCACAGGAGCCAGCGGACCAATAGAGGTATATGTGAACAATTGGGGAACGCGGAAGAGGTAAGCCAGGAAAGCAAGTAGGCGTGTAAGTAGCGAGACGGCTACGGAGTGTAGACTGCCTTACAACATGGGCTGATTGCCCTGCCTGACCCCTCGAAACCTCCATACTACCATAGCCAAATACCAAGCGCTCGTTCCCTGCCCGCGTGCTTACATCGAAGCGTGACGACGGCAGTTCCTCGGCGATGCTCACGTACACGCCAAAGATTGGCGCGCAAGCACGGGCCGCGGCCATGGAGTCCGTCACCAGCAGCACGGGCACGCGAGGCCGGTACTTAGCCACCAGCCTGGCACTCTCACCTGCATGTTGCGACATGACGAAGCAATAAATTGCTAGCTACGTCTATCAGCCATAACGGCGAAGGCAGCAGCGGTGCCGCAACGGATGTGCATGCCCGAATCTGCACAGCCGTACCCAGATTACCCACCCGTTGAGCTGAAGACGACTATGAGCGCGGCGTCCACATCTAGCACGTTCTTGGCGGCACAGCCCAGCACAGCCTCCGCGGTACTCATCGGGCGCGAGGAGAAGTCGCGGATGTAGTCGTACACCTGGCGCCAGACGGGTTAAAAGAGGGCTAGAACGTTAGGGGCACGTGTGTTACCTCGCTTGGCTTTCTTGCATGTAAAAAATAAATAGTGACGTGGCACTTTGTACACATTCTGGAGAAGGCACCATATGCCCCCAAAAAAACAGAGCCTTCTACAGTGTTGCATCGTCATCTCCCCTGCAGACCACGTGAAGCCGCTCCCTAACCATCCCACCTGCGGATAGTTGATTCCGACCTCCGCGTTGGCCACGATCGCCGCCATGGTCGACAGTGCCAGCTGCGGGAACGCGCCATTAGCTGTCTCACCTACGGAACATGACGGGAACATCCCAGGAGGCAAGGGGCCCAGCCGGTTACAGCGGTGTTCAACGGGTGAACGCCGTGGGGGAAGGATCATACCAACACGATTTCTCGTGATGAACGCAGTGCCAACTTACCGCTGAGCATGACCGCATCGGTGCCGTCAAACACTGCATTCGCCACGTCCGTCATCTCGGCGCGGGTGGGCAGCGGCGAGGCGGTCATGGACTCCAGCATCTGCGTGGCGGTGATGATGAACTTGCCCGCGATGTTGGCCTTGGTGATCATCATCTTCTGCGCCAGGGCCACCTTCTCGGAGGGGATCTCCATGGCGAGGTCGCCGCGGGCCACCATGATGCCGTCGCTCTCACGCAGGATGTCATCGTAGTTGAGCAGGCCGGCGGTGGACTCGATCTTGGGTATGATACGCACACCCTGGCCGCCAGCCTCGTCCAGCACCTTGCGGATAAATCTGTGGGGTGGACCATGCAGCCACGTACGGTTCAGGCAGGGCTGGGCAGTAATGTTGCATGGACTTTCCTTTAAATCTGCAGTAGCAATAGCACGGATAGGGCCAGGGAATGGGAACAGGGTGAACTTGGGATAGGTCACACTACAGCGGCAGGGGCCCCACCTAACGTCGTCCGCGCTCTGGACAAAGGACGCGGCAACGAAGTCCATCTTGTTACGCGCCGCGAACTGCTGCACGTCCTCAATGTCCTTGGGCCCCAGCACCGGCAGGTCCACATGGACGCCTGGCAGGTTGACGTTCTTGCGCTGACCCAGCTTCTTGGTGTTCAGCGCCCGCGCGCGCAGCTCGGTGTCGGACAGAATCTCCAGCACCTGCAATAAGAAGCAGCAAAAGCGAACATGTCTGTCGCAAAACGGACAAAATTATAAGCTGACTGCCCGGTCTTAGCTTTCAGGACACAAGGCGAGCCCCCTAACGTGGCCTCCTAAACGCGACCTTACCTCAAGCGTGATGAGGCCATCACCGATCTTGATCATGCCGCCGGGCTTGACATCACGGCAGAGCTTGGAGTAGCTGAGGCCGATCTTGGTCTCCCCGGTCGCCTCGTCCTTGTAGCCCTCCCACTTGATGTACGCCTCGCCCACCGCCACCACGACCACCTCCTGCCCAGCCACTAGCTCGATGTCCTTGCCGTCGCGCAGCATGGCGGTGCGAATCTGAAGGACCGAAGCAGCAGCAGTAAAATGGAACTCAGCAAACTGCTTTACTTAGGGGAGGCATACGAACATGGCTCCATCAATAAGGACCTTTCGTGGTCGGCAAGCCCCGGTTGCCTAAGCCCTGTTGCCTACACTACATATGCCTTCACCAGGGCGATACATGGGCCTTGGTGCTGCATTGCACCCCAGGACGTACCTCGGGGCCCTTGGTATCGAGCAGCAGGGCCACACGGTGCTCCGCTCCCTTGGCCTCCAGCACCTTGCGCAGCCTGTCTAGAACGGCCTGGTGGTCGGTGTGAGCGCCGTGGCTGAAGTTGAACCTGCGTTCGGGCGTGAGTAATGGAGGAAGCTGCATGAACGGGCCTGAAGGCGGTCTTGGAACTGGATAGACCTGGGCGGCTGACTATTGAGGACCCTCATCGGGCTATGCCATGGATTCTGCGGCGGTACACGCTTCTTGAGTACATGGCCTACCTGGCTACATTGAGGCCATTGTCCACCAGCATCTCGAGTCCCTCCTCGCTCCAGCACTTGGGTCCCAGCGTGCAGACCACCTTGGTCTTGCGCGTGCGCGTGTCGGTGGGGCCGCAGATGAGGTCCAGACCCACCTTGGTTGAGCGGTACGCAATGGTGTCAGCGCCGTTGTAGCCGCTGTGCGGAAGCACCTGTGATCAGGAGTACAAACAGGGGAATGCACAGGTAAGCTGAGACCACATCCTTACTGCCACGTACGCATAAGCCCAAACCGCTGACCTGGTTCGCATCCTTTGTTGCAGCGCATGTCCCCATACGTATTCACACCCAAACTCCGCGCGTGCTCATGGACAAACTCACTGCTGCCGACTCCTCCCCAATCACGCGCGTCACGAACTGCATCTCCGCCAGGTCCTCCTCCGTCGCGAACATGCGGTTGCTGGGCCCCTGCACCACGATCAGCTGGTCGCCCTCAGCGTCGCCGTCCTCGAAGGCCGCCAGGCGCTGCCTGCGGGCGAACTCGATCACCTGGCGGACAAGGCAGGACAAGGCCCGACAGGGCCGAAAGGGTAAGCAGCAAGGGGCTTTGGAGAGAAGCACACCAGCCTAACGTAGGCCAGCGCATGCTCCGATGCGGTCTGCAGCGCTGCAGAAGCAGACACCTCGTGTCTCCCCGGAGGGGGGCAGGTTACATACCGTACCAGGACACCCGCACGTCAGCGTCTCTCAGGCCGTACCTGCTGCACCACGGCCTCCTCGTCGGACTCCTTCCAGCCGCGCAGCAGCAGCGGCACGCAGCCATAGTTGAGGTTGCATTGCTTGGCCACATGGGGCTTGGTGGTTACTACTATCACGGCCTGGACGGGGAAGCGAGGAGGAAGCGGACAACCGTGCACCAAATAAGCACCTCAGCGTACACAACCCTCCTTCCCCCGTTGATGAAGGACTGCTTCGGCGGTCGCAAAGCCATCGGCTAACTAAGCTAAATCCCGATGACACACATCATGTAAGCATGCTAGTAGCTAGCCTGTACATGGCATGTGGGCAGCGCTATCCCGTCCGCTACTTGCCTGCGAGGGGCGATACTTGGCAATGGCGCGCACGGGCGCGCTGGTGTTTGTGACGACAGCAATCAGAGCCGCCTTCATGTCGACCGCAGCCTTGACGGCAGACGAGCAGAGGCACTGCATGGCAGGAGGTGTGGGGGACATAAGCAACGACGCAAAGCTGCATGATTTGGGCATGGATTGGGCACCATGACAAGAAAGCCTACTCGAGGCAAGCGGCAACACCACATTTTGTATTCACGCGACCCCAGCCTACCTCAAGGGTAGCCATGGGCTTTGGCGTGTAGTTCCGCAGGTAGTTCAGCTGCGCATACGTGTCCACACCCACACCTGCGTCCTTCAGGATGTCAGCAGCGATGGCCACCTGCAGGGGAACAACCGCGGAAAATGAGGAACTTCCGCCATCTGGTGTAGCTCCATTTCGATAGTAACCGCATCAACACTTGCTCCTTTGCAATGCCTGCTGCGCTCAGGGCCGCGATAGGAACCACCTGCGAACCCTCCTCGTCGAAACAGCAACCCTTTGCGACTCTGCCCCGTGCTCACCGTCCTCTCCACGAAGGAACCGTTGGCTGTCTCCTCGCGCAGGAATATGGCGTCAGCTCCATCGTACAGCGCGTTGGCCACGTCAGTGATCTCAGCGCGTGTTGGGCGGGGGCTTTGCGCGGGGGAAAAGGGAGGAGCACATACCGGTAAGTCCGGCTAAAAACACATGCAGTATAAGCCCAGTCCACATCGGAAACCAGCCGGGAAAGACAAGTGTCTCAAGCGGAAGTGCCTTAAGCGTCATCCTCTTAGGAAGAAATCCCTTCCTAAATCCCTACCTGTCCACCATGCTGGACATCATTTGCGCTGACACGATGATGGGGCGGCCCTTGAGGTTGGCCTTTGCAATCATCCACTTCTGGGCCAGAGCGACCTGATTGTCCGGGGCGGGGAGGGGAGCAACCGACCTCCGTACATCAGGTGCACATGGTAGCCTCGCAAAGGAAACATCTCCCCAGCAGGTTAAGTAGGAGAAAGGGAGAGGCACGCCCAGCCCCATCCCTGTCTGGGACATAACTCACCTTGGCTGCAGGGATCCGCATGCCCAGGGCGGCGCGGGAGACCAGCACCGCATCAGAGGCATCCAAGATGTCGTTGTAGTTCATGATGGCACTGGCGGTGGACACGTGGGCCACGATCTGCGGAAGACAAGACAGCACACACTAGAGTCGCGATTGCATGGCGTCCCCTATACCGGTACCCGGGGGGTAGCATGGCTAGCATCTAGCAGCATGGGCATCAGCCCACTTGTCACGTACTTGTAATGATTGCCGTACTACTGTGCATGGTTGTTTTCTATATCTCTGCAACGGCTTGTGGCATTTGGTGCCGATTGGTGCCAGGAGTGTGACCCCGGCAACGACACAGGGGATAGCGTAGCACCCCACCTTGATGCGCGCGCCGCCGTTGGCGTCCAGCACCTCCCGCACCGCCGTGATGTCTGCCTTGTCGCGCACGTGGGGCACGCTCACGAAGTCCACACCGCTCCTACAGCACCGTGAAGGCATACGGCTGGGTTGGAGCTAGGAAGGAAAATACGGACTAGCTTTATAACAATCATGTTGTTCCAACGCATACCAACGTACGTAACAAGGCCACGGAATTCGAAGGAAGCCCGACTATTGAAGGAAGCCCGACTATGAAGTAATTCGTCAGTGCATCACCGTGTCATACCCTCCCCCAAACTGAAGGGCGTGTTTGTGGGTCTTACCTGCAGCAGAACATAAGCGCCTCTTTGTCCCGATCATCCAGGAACTTATCCTGCAACGCAGGTAAACAGTACGGTCCGTAAACCCTCGGGAAAATAGGATACAAGCGCCTGAGAAGCGCATGGCGCCAGCTCAAATACAAGTCGCCACAGCCCATGCGAAGCCGCACACCCTACGGTAAGAAACACCAGCACGTCACACAAGGCAGCACGTACATGCAGCAGGTGCCCTCCCACGATGTCCAGCACTCGGTCCTCGCCCAGCCGCCCGCCGTCCACAACGCGGCAGATGATCGTGCCGTACGGGTAATCCGTGTCGTCCTGGCCCCCGCTGGCGGAAGCCTCTGCCGCGCCGCTGTCGCTGCTGTAGGTGCTGAGGTTGCTGAAGGCGGAGTGGTAGGGCTCCAGCACCTGTTCCACTCTGGCGGTGATGCAGCCCTCGGACAGCAGCAGCATGTCACCTGCGAGGTAGGGAATCGAGGTATGTAGCGGTTGCGTTGTGTAAGCTGTGAGCTGCACATGGAAACCCAGCATACCATTACGATACGCATGTCCACATGGAATGGCCACTGGAAGGAAACCCACAATGCCCATATAATTGTCCATCCCTGCGCAAGATACCGGTACTTGAGGAATCAAGCCACACACTGACACAGGTCCTTACCAGCACGCAGCTTGCGTGTAAGGCCAGGGAAGTGCACGCCAACCACGTGGGTATCGCCCGTAGAGTAGCCCATAAAGAGCGGGTCGGCGGTGGGCAGCAGCGTGATCAGCTCGCCCGCCTTCATCTTCAATGGCACGTGGTTGCGGAGCTGCGTGGTGCGCACCTCCGGGCCCTGTGCGTTGGGATAGGGCAGCGCAGGACAGCGTGCAAAGAAGTTACGTCCTTGCTGCCCCTGCCTGCCCTTTCGCAGTCTTTGCACATCACGCCGCAGCTCATCATCGACCGGGTCTTCAACTTCCGCAGCACCAAGATCTTCGCCACGCTGGGCCCCAGCAGCTTCGATGCCGCCGTTAAGTCCTTGCAAACCGCATTTACGTTGAGCTTGGCTACCCGTGTAGACCTCAACAATGCGAGCTGTACGTCTTAAGCGCTTTCCCCTTGCGAAACAGCAGGCAGCCCGTAGGGCGCATTGGACGCATACCGTACCTTAATAGTAGCCATAAGGCCTGGCATGGTGGTGTAAACGGGGCCGAGGGAAGGATCCGCGCGGCGGCCCAGCTGCGCGCGAACACGCTCCAGGAGGCCTTGGTAAAATGCCTGTGCAAAGATTGAGGAAAAGTGATGCTCATGACGACAAGGGGAATCTGTGTAAACGTCGTGCCATCCTTACGCCAACCACAGTCCAAGATACCATATCCCTATCTTACTCCCACAGTCACCTGCCGCTGAGTAACGGCATGCCCCATCCATGCCCTTCCGCGCTTACCAGCGGCTCGTCGTGGATGAAGAAGCGCACCACGCTGACCCCCAGGTCCAGCATGGCGTCCAGCTTGGCGGCGTCGAAGCTGCTGGGGCCCAGCGTGGCGAAGATCTTGGTGCTGCGGAAGTTGAAGACCCGGTCGATGATGAGCTGCGGCGTGATGTGCAGGGACTGCGAAACGGCAGGCAGGGCCAGCAAGGAGGGAGCAGTCAGCGGAATGGCTGCGGCATGCTATTCTGGCGGCAGGGACGGGCACGCTTCTCCGGTAGAGTTGCGCACCAGCTGAGTCGCGCAGTGCAGGGAGTCCACATTGGGGAACAAGGCCAGTGCGCAGCGATCCTTCGGAGCCTTTCCCTTATACACATAATAGTGAGCAAGCAACGCACCTGCACGCAAGCAACTGAGTTGCCGACGAATGGCGACTTGTACTCAATGGGTGCCGTGTAGGTCATGCTGCAGCTGACGGCGCGGCACAGCGAGCCGGCCGACCCCAGCTGGTCAACGCTGATCTCCGCCACGTTGTCCGCCCAGGGCTCTCCGCTGCCCGCAGCAACCAGGATGCTCTTGCCGTCAAACACAATACCCCGCCGCCTGTAGGGGTGGTACAGCCAATGACGCCCACATGGCGACTGGATCAGCAACGCCTAAAGCAAAAGCAGCCTGGCTAATGTACCGGCAGGTTCTACACGTGCCAGAGGCATTAGCTCAAAAGCAGTGCCATCGTACATTCACAGGGAAGAGCGGGTTGTCATGTTTTGGGCAGGAGGAGCGGTAGCAGGAAGGAAAGGTCGGGTTGGCAGGTTGAAGGGGATGAAGTACGTAATTAAAAGCTTGCGTCGCACCTGCCGTACTCGATGGCCTTCTCGACAGCCTTGCGCACGCCACCTGGGCCCGACACATCCACCCGCATGGGGTATAGGCCGTACGCAAGCGAGGCGTGGCGCAAAACCCAGTCGTGGTCCGAGATGGTGATGACGGGGCAGGGCGGCCGGTACTTGGAAATGAGCTGGCTGGCGCGACCGCTGCGGGTGAACACCACCGCAATACAGCCTGCGAGTGCAACAGAAAGCATGATGCGCACTGTGTTTAGGCCCGCTGACCTAAAATTTCTTATTCACCACTCCTTGCCGCAAACAGTGCGCTGTCACTTTCAAGGATGGGGCAAAGCGGCCCAGTCCTCTCCGATGATCCTTGCAGGAGGCAGATGCGTCATGAGCCACGCTGCGTCAAAAGAAAGGTCTACCAGCAACCGCACCTTCGGAGGCATCCAGGACGCCATCGCCGTTGGAGTCCATGGAGAACGTAATGGCAGACTTTGCCAGGCACGCGAGGGTGGCCTCAAGCGGGCTCACAGGGGCCTACGTGTGGAAGACAAGTCACACATGTTAACGGTAGACAGAGCAATCTAAGTCCTTACCCGCAAGACAAAAGAATACACCCCTCGCACACATTATGTACCGCTAACCAGGATCTCGCCGTGGACCTACCACGCCCGAGTTGTTGCGCTTGAGCCAGTCGTGGTGGAATGCGTGGTCCACACCCAGCTCAGCGCATTCCACGATATGGGCCATGGTGCGCACGGCCACGTGCGGGTAGGCGCCGTTTGCGGTCTCCCCGCTGAGCATGACCGCGTCGGTGCCGTCAAACACCGCATTCGCCACGTCCGTCATCTCGGCGCGGGTGGGCAGCGGCGAGGCGGTCATGGACTCCAGCATCTGCGTGGCGGTGATGACAATCTTCCCAAGCACATTCGCCTTGGCGATGATCATCTTCTGAGCGAGCGCAATCTTCTCCGCAGGCACCTGGGGAGCACGAGGGAAAGGCCTGATGGTTAAAGGCTGTTTACGGGCCTTAGCCAACGGGCCACTCTTTCCAGCCCAAAATTGCACACGCCCATGACCACCAACAACCGAGACGCCGCTTTATCCCTCCCCCAAGCCATCATCCGGGCCACCCAGGCAGGCCCCACCTCCATGGCCAGGTCTCCACGCGCCACCATGACGCCATCAGCCTCCGCCAGGATGCCGTCAATGTTGCGCAAGCCAGCCTCGTTCTCAATCTTTGCAATGATCTTGACCTGGTAGCCAGCCGCCTCATCCAAGACACGGCGAATCATGCGCACATCGTCGGCGCTCTGCAGCGGCAGCAGGGTCAAAACAGGGCCCAACATCGCGTGAGTGTGTCTGGCGAGTTGGGCAGCCGACCTCAGGAGTTTGCACCAGCAGGGTACAGCCGCTAACGGACTACATGCCCCTCCATTGCCTGCGCAGTGCAGCTGACGGCTGTTTTACCAGGGCCTACCTGCACGAAAGACGCAGCCACGAAATCCATGTTGTTCTTCACGCAGAAGTTCTGGACGTCGTCGATGTCCTTGGGACTGAGCACCGGCAGATCCACGTGGACACCTGAGGGAAGCACAGAACATCCGGGATCCAACTCAGTTGGGGTACCAGGACCCTTGCCCATAAGACTGCCGCTGCACATCTCCGTGGCGCCTGTGGGCTTGAACACAAGGCGCAGGCTGCCACGACCCTACCTGGCAAGTTGCAGTTCTTCCGCTGGCCTAGCTTGTGGGAGTTGATGACCCGTCCCAGCAGCTCCGTCTCACTCAGGATGCTCACCACCTCAATGCTGATCGCACCGTCCGCCAGCAGGATGATGCCGCCAGGCTTGATGCTTTGGCACAGCTTGGCGTAACTGATGCCGATCCTGGTCTCACCCGTGGCCTCCTTGTAGCCCTCCCACTTGTCGTACGCGTCACCCACCGCCACCACCGTCACATCCTGCCCGGCTACCAGCTCAATCTCCTGGCCCCCACGCAGCATGGCAGTGCGGATCTCGGGTCCCTTGGTGTCTAGCAGAAACGCCACGTGACTGTCCTTTGCCTCGGCCACCTGCGCTAAGCAAGACGGCCCCGGGTGAGGATAAAGCACAAAGGTAGCGGATTTCCGATGCCACAAGCCTTCTAAAGCGGCTTGCGGCAAGGACGTGACAGCAACATGCCGTGTCATGCAGTCGCAACTGAACAAATGGAACCAGCCTTGCGCATCACATGCCTTATACTGGGCGCCTTCCCTTGCACAAATAACCTCTTTCCAAACCCTGTTAATCCGCCGCACCTTCCTCAGCCTGTCCAGCACCTCCTGGTGTGCTGCGTGCGTGCCGTGGCTGAAGTTGAATCGCGCCACGTCCATGCCCGCGTCCAGCAGCTGGGCCAGACCCTCCTCGGACCAGCAGGAGGGACCCAGCGTGCACACTATCTTGGTCTTGCGGCCCACCGGCACATCCTACAGTAAGGGGTTGAAGGCGTACAACAGAGGGCGCGATAAGCTCCGCATACATACCGCATGCTTTGTTTCCGTAATGTGCAAGGCACGCGGACAAATTCAGGCGTGCGTGCAGTGACCCAGATGGAAATACGCAATAGAAGGCCATGTGTATACCCTGATAATGTGGTACACCTGCCACCGGCTTGCTTCACACCCGGCTTACATTCAAGATGCACGCCTGGCTGACACGGGTGACCCTCTCCAAGTGGGTCAGCGCTCCGCGTGAGGGTGGCACAACCGACACCGGCCTGTACTCCGGCAGCCAGTCGAGGGCCTTCTCGCGTTTAAGGGAGGCCGCAGCCATCTCACGGAGGTGAAACTCCTGCGATGACAAATCAGGGCGCCATGGCATGGGTGCAAGACGGCAACCCATAGTAAGCATGGGGGCAGAGCCGTGGGATAAGCAAGTCCTTAGCCAAGAGGGCGCAACATGCATTGCAAACCCGCGCATAGCATGCCCCTGTGCGGAAAATTTCGACCTTATTCGTTACATACTGCACCGTCCCCATTCCCTGCAACAATCGCACTTCCCCACCTTGAGCAAGTCCATCCGGCTGTGCACGCTGTTGAGTGCGGCACGAGCTGTGCTCAAAGGCTTCGACAGTTCTTCCAGCTGAGCGAAAGATACGACGCTTGAAACCTTTAATCCACGGTTAAGCCGACTGGCAACGGACTCATTGTGAGGTATTCCAGCAGCTTTGTCCGACAGCTGACCCGTGGAAGTGTTGCCCACGGGCCCGACTCCACCATACTTCGACACAGCGTCCCCATTTTGACCAGCAGAATCCTCTTGCTCAAAATGCCCAGTTTCCTTCGAGCCCCTTCCACCCATGTCGACTAAAAAGCCTAGTTCTCTAGCCTATGAAGATGCGACCGAGACTGATAGCAAAGATGGAATTGAGATCTGTAAGAGGGAACAGAAGCCGGCATATGCTCGCCGGTTGGAGTTCCCTGCGGTTTGGCTTAACAGGTCGTTACACAGGCCAAAGATGCCGCAAAAGCCGTAAACTTGTTTGTCCAACCTATATATATATATATATAAGCTGACGCTTAAGAACTGGCCTCCGCTTTCGGGCAGGGGGCAGAGTGTTGCGTGGTCTCCCTTATGAACTCTAGGCGCACGGTAGTGCCGGAAGGACTGATTATATATAAAGGATCACAAGGATACATACAAGGCTTCCGGCTACCCTTTTGGGGTGGGGGTTAAGATGCATCATGGATACCAGGAGTGTCGTGCACTGAAGTTTCTATTGACCATTACTGCGACTCTAGATTCACACGTCTTAATAGAAAATTTGATCGCCTATTAAGTTACATATATTTCGTTTGGCAAATCCGGAGTTGCGTAAACCCCTACTGTGTAACACGGTGATACCTTGCGAGCAAGTGCATACCACAGAAGTTACAGACGAACATGCAATCAGGTAGGTTCCTATGGACTATCTGTGTTATGGGTCCCTTGGCGGCGGCTTCACACGCCTTTCTGCTGCGCAGAACAAACTGCATCAGAGCCGGGCGTCAACGCAGCCGCAAGCACGTCGACCACCGACAAGAAAAAGGAATGTCCGATATGCGTGATGTTTCGAGAGGGAGGGTGCGAGCAGGAGTTTAACGTGAGTCGGCGCGGACAAGGCGGGTCCCTGGGTCCAGGCTGTTTCGTTGGGTCTACCCTAACCCCCGTCCGCCTTCCTGCAGAATTTCATGGACTGCGGTGTGCGGGGAGAAACTGGAGATGGAGATTATAAGGACTGTATCCCTCTGGTAAGCATTCAGGACCGCCGCTACCTCGACCTGCCACCTTCCACACGCCCACTTTGCGCGCGGTACAACCCTCTCGACTTGCTGAGCCAATCCTGGTCTTTACTCCATTCACCCTTGCTCATGCAGTTTGAGGCGATGCGGCTATGCATGCAACGAAACCCGGCAGTGTTTGGCGCCGTGCTAAATGACGTAGAGGAGCTTGCCAAGACGAACACCGAGTACCCACCACCTGTAGACGCCAACGCAGCAAGCAGATGAGCCAGCATTACGGACGTCTGGGCTGTTCTGGGTGTCCATGGTCCTATGCTTGCATAGCTGTAAGGTCTTCCACGATGTTCGTGAGGCAACTTAACCTGCATACCGGTTTCGGACCCTATGTATATATTTAGCGCTATTGATGGACTGCCGGACTGGCACGAACCTAGCAGATGGAGGCGTTGCCCTGGGGCCATGTATCCCTATGGAACTCCCATGGGGCCTCACCTTGGGTGTATCCTTCTTGAGCGGTCACTACACGCAACAATGTGGAACGGTGGCGACTGTGCGTCCATCAGATGGGAGTCCCGCTGGCAGTCAGCTCGGTTTCATGGCTGCCACTGTGTCAGGGCTCGCTTTCAAGGCTGGCACTGATGCAGCCTGCGATTTTAAACAGTTGGAGGGATAGCGGACTCCCCTTCAACTGTAGCGCACTGATAGAGGGGGGACATTGGTGGCATGCTGTAAGACAGATTGCGTGCGTTGGTACTGGGAAGTTCCTCTTGCCCGCGCAGTAACAACATTAATTAGGACATTCCACGGCCGAATGGGCAGCCGCCAGACCTAGAGATTGGCAGTAGTAAGGGTACCGGACAATGACTGCCACAGCCAAGGAGGCTTCGGCGTCCTGTACGGCGACCAAGTAACGCACTGCGATATACCTCTTTGTACAGAGGAGGAAATTGTATCTTACACTTCCCATTACCAATCCAATTATTGTTCCTGCCACGGGGGCCCAACCAATAAAAAGGCATTGCTGTAGTACGCTGCCATTTGTGCGCATAAAGAGCGCTGCTCGACATATTGCCTTTATTTACACGACTAAGAGCAGGGTAACAACTTAATTGCGAACATGGCTCTCCGCACTATTCCTGGGGTGTCTATGCGCGCTATTCCTGGGGTGTCTATCCTTGCACCGGTCGCTGCCGGGCATGGGGGCATTTTGACACCACCGGCCCAGGAGTTCGTGGCGACGCTACACCGCGCATTCAACCCACGCCGCAAGGAACTTCTAAAGCGCCGCGATGATCGCCAGAAGGAGCTCGACGCGGGCAGGTGGGACTCGCTTCCATCAGGCCATGGTGGCGTCGGCCCCTTGCTATCACGTGCTTCCTGGGGACATATAATGCGCTACTCAGCATGTTGCATTAGTCGTGTAAAAAGTGCGCTTAATGCCGTGGCATCATGTGGGCCGCTTTTGTATATCAGTTTACGCGGTTCCAAGGATGGCTTGTCAAACTTGCAGTCAAGTCGCTTACCTTACAGTGACACCGCCCTTTAATGTGATCTCCTTTCCCCATACTGAATTGCTTTTGTCTTGTCTTGCTGTCGATCCTGCTCACATTCCTATCCATACCAGCTTGACCTGCCCTGGCGTACTGGTCCCTGCCTCTGGCATTTACCTTAAGTTTCCCCTGTTCTACCTTTACCGCTACGATTAGGCTTCCAAACTTCCTGGTGCAAACTGCTGCCATTCGCGCCGACCCGAGTTGGCGCTGCGCCCCCCCCGCACCGGGCCTGGTGGACCGCCGTGTGGAGATCACGGGCCCCGTTGACCGCAAGATGGTCATCAACGCCCTCAATTCCGGCGCCACTCAGTACATGGCTGACTTTGAGGGTAAGGCTTCAGTCTGGCAGGGTGTCTGTAACAGTATAGTTGACAACATCCTCCTCTCCCCTTCTGTCTGGCCACCTTCCCTCTTGCTTCCATGTGCTGGCCTCCTCGCTTGAAGCCTTCTGCGCTTCCTTACTTGGCCTCCCTTTCCAAACCCTTTCTGAATCCTAACCAGACTCACACGCCCCCACCTGGATCAACACCCTGGACGGCCATGTCAACATGTGTGATGCCGTCCGCCGTACAATCAGCTACACCGCCCCCAACGGCAAGCAGTACAAGCTCCGTACCGACGGCAAGCTCGCCACCCTGCTTGTCCGGTGAGTACCCCAGACGTTCGCACCTCGCCTGCTGCGTCCCTACCTGCCTGTGTGGTGCTTTGCATAGCTCCACACTGCTCGCACCTACCCAGCTACCATCGCGGCTAGGCCATGCAACGTGGCTTTCCCACTCCTCTAGTGAATAACTGCCACTACTCAAGTAATGGCTAATGCCCGTTAGGACAACCAGTGTTGCTGTTCGCGTGTCAAGCAAGTTACATCCAGATTAGCAAAGCCCACATCCCGCATGCCACGTGCTCACCTTTTTTCCACTCTCTTAACCTACTTCCCAACCTCCCCTGCCCGCCTCCGCTCTAGCCCCCGCGGCTGGCACCTGGATGAGGCCCACTTCATGGTAGATGGCGAGCCCTGCTCCGGCTCGCTGTTCGACTTTGGGCTGTTCTTCTACCACAACGCGCGCGCCTGCCTGGACGTGGGCCTGGGCCCCTACTTCTACTTGCCCAAGATGGAGAGCCACTTAGAGGCCAGGTGGGAAGAGAAAGGAGGGGAGAGAAAGGAGGAAAATTACCATGCGGGGAAGGAAAAGGGGGATGGAGGGGAGATCGGAGGGGAAGGATGTTGGGTCTGGGTACAGGGTAATCGGGCAGATGGAAGGGGGGGGCCAGGAGGACCCTGTTGGTGCTTGGCAGCGTGGTTATGGGAAGAGCGAGGCCACGGAATGAAGGGATCATCCGGATGCCGCGCTGGGGTTCTCCTTGCTGGGCTGATCGTGTGGGGACCGCCATGTTCAGCCTTGGTTGGGGTTTTGGGTTTCCACCCGGTATGACACCAATTCTGCGCGAAAGAAAGTTGTGATTACGGGTACGATGTATATACGGGTAAGTGGAACAACCGCTGCCTCCCAACATGTCATGCTGACGCCTTACCACACGGTCAGCTAGTTGTTTCCTCTTTACCCCCAACATGCCATCATCCACCCCGCCCTAGGCTGTGGAACGACGTGTTCAACACGGCTCAGGACATGGTGGGTCTGCCACGCGGCACCATCCGCGCCACCGTGCTGATCGAGACGCTGCTGGCGGCGTTTGAGATGGAGGAGATCCTGTACGAGCTGCGAGACCACTCGGCAGGTAGGTGTACGAAGGCCGCACGGCAGGGAACGGTGTGTATACGGCCTGCGGGACAACTGAAAGTCCTGCTCATGTACGGCAGTGAGAAAGCCCCCTCACGGACGCTCCCCTAGCGCGCATGAAGTCGCTGGAGGCTCCTCTTGTTGGCTGTCTGTGGCAACAAAGAGGTGCTCTTCTTCACCCTGCATCTGGCGTCATATGCATTCCTCGTGTCTTTCCGTCCAATCCCATCATGCATGACCGCTGCCCCCACCCCACCCCACCCCGCACCTCGTCATACAGCTCGTCAGTTCCCTCTCTTTTCAATGCAACCCACCGCACCCCACCGCACCGCACCGCTCAGGTCTGAACTGCGGTCGCTGGGACTACATCTTCTCCTTCATCAAGAAGCTGCGCAACCACAAGGAGTTCGTGCTGCCCGACCGCGCCTCCGTCACCATGACCTCGCCCTTTATGGACGCCTACGTGCGCCTGCTCATCAAGACATGCCACAAGCGGTAGGTACGCCGCACAGCTATAGCAGTATACAAATGCTTGCGTCGGACATGCTCTTAAAAGTGCCGGTACCTTTCGTCAACCTGCCCCCGCACTCTCCTATCTGTTCCCAATCCTCTGCCCTCCTCATCCTCACCTTCCCCACATTCCTCAGGACGCGTGGTATTCCTGTTCTTTCCCCCACCCCCATTCCTCAGCCCAAATAACCGCAGCATTGTTACCCCCCGCGTGTTTCTAATTGCTGCACTTATTATTTTCTTTAATTTTCCCCCTCACCGCCCCTCCCCAGCGGCGTCCACGCCATGGGTGGCATGGCTGCTCAGATCCCCATCAAGGACGACCCGGTTGCCAACGACGCCGCGCTTGCCAAGGTGCGCGCCGACAAGCAGCGCGAGGTGACTGCGGGCCACGACGGCACCTGGGTGGCGCACCCCGCGCTGGTGCCCGTCGCCATGGAGATCTTCAACAAGTGAGCTCAAGGGGAGGAAGGAGGGGCGGGCACGCGGGGGCGGGTGTGCGCGGGTGATCATCAGGGTAACATGCTAGCGGCCAGGAGGAGCTGCATGCATGCGGCAGCATGCCGTATGCGGATCAGGTCTGCTGGGTGGGGTTAGCGGATATGTTGTGGTGCTGGCTGCTGAGGCTAGGTGGGGTCTGCACTCGTTGCTGACTGCACCGTCGTCGGCGTGTTGGGAAAAGGCTATGGCGCACAGCTGCTGCGGGTTGGACGCCTGCTCACCCCTCACCCAACCCCAACGCCCCCCGCAGGCACATGCCGCAGCCCAACCAGCTGCACGTGCGCCGCGAGGACGTCAATGTGACCGCCGCCGACCTGCTGGACGTGCGCGGCGGCGCGCTGCTGGCGGAGGCGGGCATCACGGAGAAGGGGCTGCGCGACAACATGAGCGTGGGTCTGGCCTACATGGAGAGCTGGCTGGCGGGTGCGGGCTGCGTGCCCATCCACAACCTGATGGAGGACGCAGCAACCGCGGAGATCAGCAGGTGCGGCGGCCGGGTGGCGGGTGGTGGGTGGTAGGCGGCACGGGGCAGGGGGCGGGTGGTGGGTGGTAGGCGGCACGGGGCAGGGGGCGGGTGGCGGGTGGTAGGCGGCAGGGGGCAGGGGGCGGGTGGCGGGTGGTAGGGGCAGGGGGCAGGGGGCGGGTGGCGGGTGGTAGGGGCAGGGGGCGGGGGGTGAGGAAGAAGAGAACCGCGTGGTCGTGTAAGGGGCGGGTGGGGAGTGCGGCGGGCACATGTTTTGGTGCACCCCGCGGCGGCCTCCCATGTCATTGCACTGCCCCCTCCCTTTTGCGGTTTCAAGCACTTGCTTTTCATGTTGATGTGCTTCCCTCTTGTGGACCCCACTTGATTGGCCCCGGTGCCAGGTCGCAGCTGTGGCAGTGGGTGCGCCACGGCGCGCGCACCACCGCCGGCACCGAGATCACCGCCGACTACGTGATGCAGCTGCTGCGGGAGGAGCTGGCGGCGCAGGAGGCCAAGGTGGGAGAAAGGGGGGGGATGGGGGTGTGTATGGGGATGGTAGGGGTGGCAATATGTGTAGGGTGGCAATATGTGTAGGGTAACGGACTTGTTGAAGTCAGTTATCATAACCGGAGGGGAGCGGGGAGCTAAGGGACAATGGCTCGGTTGGTGTCTTACAAATTTTTAAATATCTTGAGCACCAGTAGCTCATCCGGTTCCGAACTTCGCAAACCCTTGGACATCCTCTTCGCCTCACCTTACGCTCCCCCTCCTCCCTCCCTCCTCCTCCCTCCCTCCTCCCTCAGATGGGCGCTGAGAAGTTCGCCGCCTCCAAGTACCCCCTGGCGGCGCAGCTCTTCTCCAGCACCATCACCGGCGGCCCCTACAGCGACTTCCTCACCACCCTCTGCTACGACCACATCGTCACCAAGCCCGACACCACCCGTAACATGGATGTGGCGAGCTTGGACGCCGCCTGGGCGGCATCCCCCGAACTGGTCACTGCCAACAGCGGAAACTAAAACTATTGGGGGCGGATTGGGGCGTGGTCTGATGAACAGTTTGGAGTAGGATGCTGGCCTGGGTTGGTAGGCTGCTGCGTGATGCGGGTGATACGTGGGGTGCGGCAACGTGGCAGTGGCAGCGTGTTTGAGTTTCGTGATTGAGCGAGCGGTTGATGAGCGGTTGAGATGTACTTTGCGATGATGTTCGTACAACTGATACATACGGTACCGTGCTTGGAGAGGAGCGGTGAACTTGAAAAGATGCGCAGAGAGGCTGTCTGTCCGAGGGGTAAGATAAAAGGGCCCGCGAAGAAGAAGAAGAACATACTGTGATTGATGTTGGAAGATGAGTGGTATGCGTGTATTTAAACATGGAGAGTGACAGCTGAATTTGAACGTTTTATTGGTTCCAAAGTACGATAATGCAGGTGGAGAGCTGTAACTGAATGGAAGCGCTGCACCCATGCACGCCATTGGGCTTCTTGCGTTTGATAATCCTCTGAGCGTCGTATAACTTGAATGTGAGTGTGAGTGACTACCGGTATTGTACTGTGAGTGTGAGTGACCTTCCCTAGTTTCAGGCCTGGTTGGCAGATGTCAATCTGCACGGGCCTGCAGCAACGTAAGCGCTGTAACATACCCTGTGCGGCACCGATATCCAAATCCAACAAGACCAGATGTAAAACCTGCCGAGGTCGTACCTTCAGGGCACATTGCGATACGCCGCTCTCACCAGGTGTGGGTGGTTGGGGGCTGTAGGCTGGGTTTAGGAGCAAGAAGGTAGACCGGCGCCAGCGGTGTCAGGCTGCATGGGAGCCGCTGGAGCCAGCAGGGGCGTTACAAACGGCATTTAAATCCTGGAGGTTGCATAGCGAAGGTGGCGGCGTGAGATCTCGGTCCGCTTACTGAGGGCTTGCAAGGACATTGCGATGGGCCAAAACGACGGCGACGCAACCCTACAGCTTTTGTGAACCAGTGTATGGCAGGATAAGTTAACCTATGCACTGACCTTGGTAAAATGTAGAGGTGGCATTGCTTGGGATACGTACGTATTTGACACATTCCGGGATGGCATCGCAGAGTGACCCACGGGTCACTACTACATTTACATCTTTCATTCCCCATCCGGCATCCTGGGTGCGACGCGCATCGTCATCCAGCATCTAGTATACAATGGGTGCTCACTCACTATAAGGCTCTTTCATCCATCCACTGCAAACTTCACAAGCTTCGAACCTATGTTTGCTGGAGCTGCTCACAGCAACACCTGCTGACCAGCTACGGCGATGCACGGGGCGCAAGGAGCTCGCGGCAGTCGAGGTCGGCAGGCAGGCAGCCGCCGCTCGACCGCCGCCCCAGACCCGCTGCCTCCCCACATCCGGACCTGCTTTCAGCGGCTGCCTGGCGCTGTGGAGAGGCTTCTGGGACCGCCGGCTAGCGCGAGCAGTGCTGACCGGGCGCCACCTGCAGGCCCGCAGCCGCAGGCGCAGCCGCCTCTCCCAAGGTTCAGGAACGGGGCTCTAGAAAAGGTCTCAGGTTGCCTAAAAGACATAGCAGACCATATTGCAAGTAATGGAACTGGTGGCGAAGCTCTAGCTGCGGCTTTTGCTGACGAGTCATTCCGTTTCGCGCTGCTGCGATTGATGGCTACCCTCTCCCGGCAGCAAATTGACCCGCTGCAGCACGCCATCACACCCCATGGCACACTGCAACACATAATTACTGCAAGAGTCTGCCACCTTTTTAAGAAATGTGCCCAAGCTGCAGCCTGCAACGTCAGCAGCATCGCTTCGGCGTTGGACCTCGCGACCAAGCTGCTGCGCTCGCACAGCCTGCAGGCCTGCAGCCGCCAGCTGGCTGCCCTTGCCCAGCTCCTGCAAGCTGCGGCAAATGTGGGCCCGGAGCAGCATCCACAGCAGCAGCAGCAGCAGGGGCGGCGGCAGGAGCGGCGCCGCCCACGCGAGCAGGGCCAGCAACAATCACCATTTCCTGAAGAAACGTTTACCGACAGCGTCCGCTTCGTCGGACGGGTGCTCATAGCACAAAGCACATCCCTCATCGACGGCTTTACCCTTCTTGCGCTCCACCTGCGCAAAGGACCCATGGGTCAGCGGCGGCGCCCCCAGCAGCAGTCCCTCCCGGCCGCCCACCTCGCCTTCATATCGGAGTTCTCATCCAACCTGCAGAGCAGTGCGGTGACGGAGCACATGGCTCGGGTGCTGCTGCTGCTGCTAACGACTGGGGGCACGGCAGGCCCTAGGGACCCCGACCAGGGCGCCATTTACGCAAAGAATGTCTTCCTGCAGACATGTAAGCTTCTCGAGATCCCGCCTTCAAAGCACGACATCGAACCGCTGGCCCAGCTGCATGCGGCACTTTCCGGGCGCTGTGTACGGCATGCAGTGCTCGTGTACGGAGTTGCCTGCCTGCACGCGGCGGACGGCGGCCCGACGTATGGGCTGCCGCCGGAGGTGCTGCAGCGGGTGCCCGTGGAGGTTGAGACGGAGCGGAGGGACGTTCCCCGCTCTGCCGGCGGCATCGGCGGTGGCAGCAGCGCCAGCGGCAGGATGACTGGCGGTGTCGGCGGTAGCAGCAGCTCTAGCCAGGTTCGGGTCATTGCGGTTGAGCCGCTAATGAGGGCTTTGTTTGTGCTGGGACACGATTTCGGAGGCCCGCCGCCGGGCAGGCGCACATGCCTGGCGCTGTTGATGCGCATGGGTCGCCTGGCAGTGGCGTCGGGGAAGGTCTGGGCCGGACCGCCCGCGGCTTCGGCAACCCCGTCACGTGGCGGCGGCAAATAGCTCCGTTCTCAGCGGCGGCGCTGGCAGCAGCAGTGGTGGCAGCGGTAGCGCCGGCGGCGACGCCGGCTCATCCTCAACGACGCAGCAGACCGCCGCCGCACCTGAGCCGCTGCGGGCGGTGCTTCGGCGAGAGGATGCCACGACGCTGGCGCTATCCGTGCTCTCGCTCACCAGGGCCCAGCAGACCCGGCGGGTCGGTGATGCCGGGTGGTGGGCGGAGGAGGCGGAGTGGTGGTGCTATGCGGCTGGAGTTATGCGACATGCGATGCAGGGCGCTTCGTTAGTAGACAGGGAGTTTCTGCTTCCTTCAGTGCAGCACAAGCTTGTCGCACTGGGGCTTGTTGTTGTCGGTAAGGCGCAAGGGGCGAGGGCGGGGTCAGGCGTTAATGGCTGGCGCCATGCATGCACCCTTGTCCGTACCGTTTATAGATCTAGGGGCGTCGAAAGGTAAGCAATTATTGACGTTACCGTGTCCACACTCCTTGCCTATCCCAGCTTCCCAGGGCCCATGCACATGGCAAGCAGCAGTTCGGGGTGTGTGCAGTTGTTCAGGGGGCGCTCGAGGAGTCCTCCTACCCGTTCTCAAGGGCTTTGCAACCTCACCCACCGCTGCTTATGCCCATGCCGTACTCGTCCCCCCCACGCGCAGACATGAACAGCGAGCGCTCGGAGCCCGCCTACCGGCCGCCCTCCTCGCCGCCTCCTCCCTCCTCGCCGCCGCCTCCTCCCTCCTCGCCGCCTCCCTCCTTCCCGCCGCCGCCCCTCTCCCTGCTGCGGGACCTGGCTGGCTCGCTGGCGCTGTGCCTGGAGTGGCTGCTGCGGCGGTGCGGTGAGGACCCCGGGGGACCGGAGGTGGAGGCGCTGATCGGCATGTTTGGACCCAGCCGACCCCTGGAGGGCCTTGTGACGTCCCTGATCTGGCGGCACGCCGAGCCACACCAGCTGGCGCCGCTAGTGGCCACGATGGGCAAGCTGCTGCGGGGCAGTGACCCATGGGTCGTGAAGGGTTCGGGGACATTGGAGGCATGCGTCCTGGTGCTGGCGAGCTGCATGCTGGACACTGTACGGGAGGATCCGCCGATGGGAGATGACGAGCGGCCGTCTGCCGCTCAGCAGCTTTCGGAAGAGCCGCTTCCACCGCAGCAGCTGCCGCAGCAGCAGCCATCGCCGTCGCCGCCGCCGCGGCAGCAGCAGCAGCAGCAGCAGCAGCAGGGATTGTGTCAGCCGCCTGACATGCCGCCTCGTGAGTTGCCGCCCACGTCGCCTGTCGCAAGGAGCTCCGCCGTTGACTCATCACCCCCCGCGCGCGACGGCAAGCTGATGTACGTATTCACTCTGTCTGAGCTCCTGCCAGCACTGTCTCAGCTGGTCCTCAAGGGATCGCACCATGCCCGCACAGCCACGGAGCCCGCTGTAGCGGCGGTGACAGCGGCGGCGGCGGCGGCGGCGCCGCTGACAGCGGCGGCGACCAGTGAACCTCCCCCAAGCAGCCGGAATCCTCGAATCTGGGCTGCCTTGGCTGAGATACTCAGCTGTCTTCCATGGCTGGTGACTCAGTGCGAGCAGCAGCTCCTGGGAAGCGCCTGCAGCAGCAGCCGCGGCGACCGCCACGACAGCAGCACCACAGCCATCACTAGCAGCACCGCAAGCACTACCGCCGGCGCAGCACCGGAGATTCCGGGGGTAGCAGCAACAGCAGCAGCAGAAGCAGCAGATGCGGTGAACGGCGGCGGTGGCGGCGCCCGCGGCTGGCGGCAGGTGCTGCTGGAGGATGTGGCTGTCGTACCGCTGCTAGGCGCCGCCATGCACCTGTTGCCGCTGTCATCTGAGGCTTGGATGTTTGAGCAGCTGATTTGGGGCTGTGTGTCCGTCACTCTAACCTTCCCGCGTCAGGTACGGCAGGCGGTCCACCGGTCCTGGCAGCCGGAGGCACTGCGAGCGCTGGCGGGGGCGCTGCGAGAGGCGGGAGGGCAGGATGGGGTGGACTGGGTGAGCTTAGCGGAGGACCTGGCGGGTATGCTGCAGCGGTGGCGCGCTGGTGGCGGCGGCGGCGACGGCGGCGACGGCGGCGACGGCGGCGGCGGCGGCGGCTCCGAGGGGAGCTGTGATGAGGATGCGGCCCTCACAGCCCGCTTGCAGGATCTGCAGAGTTGTCTGCGTGAGGAGGCGGATGAAGAGCAGGCGGAGATGCCTTCGCCGGCGGAGGCTTGCGCCCGGCTGCTGCCTCGCCGCTGCGGCTACCCCGGCTGCGTGAACCTGGCGGGGGTGAGTGAGGCGGAGCTGCCGCTGCAGGCGTGCGGGCGGTGCGGAGGGGTGTGGTACTGCGGCCGGGAGTGCCAGATGGCACACTGGCGGGCAGGGCACCGGGAGCAGTGTGGCAGCGGCGGCAGGCGGCGGGAGGGGGCGGGAGGGGGCGGCTGAGGCAGCGTCTACGGTAGCGTGCCGGTGGACGGCGGATGCGCTCGCTTGCATGCGTAGGGTAGAGCAAGCGTAGCTGGATAGTGTTGCTTGGGGGCCACGGCAGGCCGAAGGAAGGGAGCAGGAGGTGGGTAAGAGGGCTGAAGTTCTGGGACTGCTGTGCTGCAGAGCTCAGCAGGCAGGTAGCATGAAGCCCTGAAGCGGGTGCGGCGGGCAGTTGTCCTTTCCATGTGCCTATGGGTCGCTGCAAGGCTTCGAAAACGAAAATGGTTCACGTTGCGGCGACCATGCTTTTGACGTCGAGAGGAAGTACCGGTAAATAGGCGTCTAGGGGTGATGCGGTTTTGTACAGTACACTGGGTTTGCGGCAAGGCTTGACGAACAGTAGTAGTGCGTGGTGGCTTGCCTGGGGAGTAATAGCATGTTCAG